CCAAGCGCACACGCATTACTCCCCACATCGAGCCGATACACGCCCTCCACGCCGCCCAGCACCTCGCCCACCACCTCTGCAATCGCCTGGTTCCGCGACGCCCCGCCAACAACATACACCCTGTGCGGCTGCTGCTTCCCGCCATTCACCTTTGCGTCCGGCCGCAGCAGCGGCCGCGCCCGCATCCGCATCGACAGCGCCTGCGACTCTAGTATCGCGCGTGCGTCGTCGCCCGCGCTCCATCCGCTGGCCTCGGTGAGCTGCTTCTCGGCGGTGGAGTACTCGAAGCGCCATGTGCCCGCCTTGACGTTCGGCACAATCTCGGGGATGGGGAAGTAGATTCCCAGCTTCGCGGGGTCCGTTGGCGCGGACCTGCCGAGCGGCGGGGTGGCCAGCGCGGTGCTGTTGAAGCTCGCCCAGGGGTCGGTGGCGGGCGGGGGACGCAGCTTGTTGAGTGCGTCGCGGACGGACTCGCGCGCGAGGGCACCGTTGCAGTAGCAGAGCATGAACATGTAGAGGCCCTTTGTGGTCGGGTGGTTGAACATGTGGTAGGAGGGCGAGGAGACGTATGTCGGCGTGCTCATCAGCAGTGTTGTCGACGTCCCCAGCGACACGATCACGTCCAGTGGGCGCAGAGGCAGCGCCAGTATCGTGGACGGGTTATCGCCCGTGAACGGGGTGATAGTACAGTCTATCATTGGCCCCCCCCCCCCGGCCTCTGTCAGCATAGGATATCACTCGGCTCGATTTGGTTGGGGGCAGACTGACCTGCACTGAAGCCGAACCGCTCGACAAACCACGGCGAGACAGCACCAAGGTGCTTCCCGTGCTCTGTTTCAACAGGGCCGAGGCGGGCCTTGAGGCCGTCGACGCCGCCGGGCTCGCCCTCGGCCGTGGTGGAGAGCAGCGTCTCGTCCCACTTCCCGCCCTGGATGTCCCACAGGTTCATTCCGCAGACGTCGCTGATGTCGAACGGCGCGATGCGGCCGAGGAAGAGCGAGCACAGGAACGACGACACGAGAGATATGCGCGCCGTCTTTTCGTACACCTTTGGGAAGCGGCGGTGGAAGCGGAGGATCTGCGGGCCGGTGAAGCGCTGCGTAACCAATCCAATTAGCATTTTTTTTTTTTTTTGGGGGGGGGAGGGGAATTTGCAGGATGAATAAGAGAGAGAGTGGGCCATACGTGATGCGCCTTCGATCCAGTCAGTCTTGCGAGGGCGTCCGCGCCGCCAATGGACTCTTCGAAGGTGTCGCACTCGGCCTGTGTGCTGTGGTCCTGCCAGTTCGGTGACCACGGGTGCGAGAACGCCGCGGGCGAGAGCTGCTCCACGAGCCTCTGCTTTGCGTCAAGCTTTGCGAGGATCGTTTCGGCTTCGGCGGACCAGTAGCTATGGTGGAATATTAGCTATTCGCTATTGCCAAAGCTTAGGTAGATTATATATTGCGACTTACACACTGCCGTGCTGCTGCCCGGCGCCCGAGATGCCCTTTACGCGCGAGAAGTCGAAGCCTTTGGCCTGCATCCGCGTCAGGATGAGGTCCAATGCCTCGATCCACATGGCGACGGGGGCGTAGACTTGGTGCTGGTCATCGTTTGTGTGCACGCCTTTGGTGACGTTGTAGTGTGCGAGGTCGGTATCAAAGGTGATGATTTCCTCGTGCTGGGGCTCTAGGTCGCTGGAGCATGCAAGAACTATTTGGGGTGGAGAGAGGTTCAGTTAGGAGTCTCCAATTCTCCTGCCCACGATGCGAGAGTAACTATTACTAACCTTTCAGCTGCTGGGTTGAAAGGTCTAAGCCCAGGTACAATGGAGAAGAGGAAGCCATGAAGCTGATATTGCAGTACTTTCTAGTGGGTATCTCTACAAAAAAAGCTCTAATTGCTAGTAGCGAAGAAAAGAGGGAAACGATAAACTTATTTCACATTCAATTCCCCGCTCTCAGGGGAAAGCATTTTATATCTGCTCCATCGCATCCATCGCATCCATTCCATCTGTCATTGCTCTTCCCTCACAGTGACGAGAGCGGGGCAGGGAATCCCACCCTCCCCCTCATATTTACCCGGGACTTTATCCGCGGTTGCTACAGAGCCTCACCCCCCTGCTGTATAGCTCATCTGGCCTGCATTAGCCCGAACTAACCTTAAAGACATTTCACGAATCGCAGAATTGGACCCCTTCACGGCTGATGTGGTGAGTGAATGATGCCGGTGGGGTCTCGTGGTTAACTACAATACCATATTATCCATTCCTATAGATCTCGGGTTGGGGTAATTATCCAGAATAAACGGCTCTTTAAACAGTGGAGACGTACGTGGGCCACAGTGGGCGGTGAGGATAATTCGCTTTTACTTGATACATGTAGTTTGGTTTTTGCGCATAGTCCGGTTCTTGCAGGTGTAGTACGTACATGAATTGTTGCACATCTGCCGGCTGTGCAATGCGTGAAGAGGTATTATGGCCAACTAATTACACCAAATCTTGTTGATTAGTATTCAAGAGAGAAAAGACAGTTCCTTTCTATATAATGCAGCTTTCTATATAATGCAGGACTCACTAGCCAGTACTTCATAGGAAATCACTCGGTGACCTGACTGTACACCGACACCGTTGTAACATGCTTCCGCTAACCTGCCCCACACCGTCCTGTGGCAGGCCTCGGAAAACCGAGTGAGTAGTTGTGAGCCAAGACCCCGATGGAGTGACAAACGGAGTACTAGGCCATCTTGTCACCAACAACAAAGGCACTAGCATGTCCTAACAGATTTCAAGCCAGTCTCGAGACAAGAGTCGATATAAGTCTTCAATGTTTTCTGGGATAATCTTTCAATTAATCAAATAGAGAACCGAGAATACCGAGCGTATTGTATTAACAATGATTAGAAATAAGGAAGAGGTAGAAGGCTCCTTCTTTATAGGTAAAGTTTAGAGAACAAGATGGCTTTAAGACAATCACCGCAACAACTTGCCACAAACAACAGACGTGTCATCTCATGGAAAATAACATCCGGAAACCACTTATTCCCTACTGTTCTATTTTTAGAATGAACCCCTATGCTTAATCGACCCAAGGTATCTGGGGTTCAGAAATACTTGTACTTACCCAAGGTGGCCGGATTTAATACTATTCTGGCCGGCGAATCAATAAAAAATCGCCAATTTCCATAATGACACGCTGGGAGAGTATATGATAAACCACATGCACTAGTAAAGCATTTACTGGCATCCTTTTCGCGGCTTTTCTTTTTGGAGAACGCCTAGCACTACATGTAGTTTGGGCGCGTATACTCGGAGATAGCTTGGCAATGAAGGCTACATAATCTGGGTGAGTCAACAGACCCAGAGATGTTATACGTGCCTGTGTAGTTGTGATAAAAGATTAACCAACAGAGTTTTGGCTAGATGAGTTTGGTGAGGGGTCAGTCTTTCTTGGTAATGGTAAAGGTTGGTGAAATGCTTCATGATTGGAGGGAATGGGATTTTGGGATCATAAAGGTGGACTAGATGTACACGTGTATGTATTATGTACATGTATGTACATGTGGCTTCCAAACTTTATCTTTTATAGCACGTGTGCACACATGTCTACAAAAGGTCAAGAGTGATCTGAAAGGTGAGCAGGCACGAGGAAGATTACCTCCTCGTCGTATCACCGCTTGAACTTTAATATAAATCAGCGAAATTTCAATACCGGAACTTCTCGATATCGCTAATATTAATGACCATGCGCCATACATTACTACCGAGGAGGCCATACCGCAGCGCCTTTCACCCAGTCTATCTAAGTACCGATTAATAAGAGCCATAATTCCAAGTATTATTCGAGCTCCTGTCAACACTGCTATTCAAAAGACGAGATTTTCATTAGAGTTCAAGATTAATCTTATATTAATAGAGATTATCTAGGCTCTCTTAAAACGCCGCCGCCAACCGGGGCCCGAGTGATCTCTCATGATGAACAGCATACCATGCCAAGGTCTATGCGATCAAAACAACACTTCAAACATATCCATAGTATGGAGTGAAATGCTAGACCGTGCTCGGCACGGGTAGGACTCCGACTTTTCTTGAGTCACGTACTCTAGGTGGTACTCTAAGTCTAGATACTCTACAGTTTACAGAGGATCCGTGCCCTGTGTTTGTCCGTAACAAGGCGCCACGATCTAATGACGAATATCTTTGTATGAAGTTTCGACGTCAGAGTATGTAGGCACCCTAAATCCCACCAACTTGTAAACCGGAACACTCAGGGCGTCAGCGGCGATTCATGCAGCGCCTGCGATTATCACTCGGGTGGCTAATCGATGAGGTGGCTGGGATTGGGATGTGTATCTTGGCGGCAACAACCCCGACAGCAAAGTTGGACGAAACAGGTATGATGTTTAGCCGAGATCACCAATAACAGCTCGGAGGCGAGCTGAGGTGGTCTGGCCGGGATCGATGGCGCTGTGGGGGGAGCGAAGACTTAAGATTTTCTCAGATCAGTCGTTAATTTTGGGTTTATTGCATGCTGCAATTTTTTGACGTTTCTTTTTGACTTCACATAAGGCAAAGTTCATCGGAAATAGAAATTACGCAAAGTCTCGCACGGGAAGATCTGGAGTGGGATTTTCACCTGCTTTGACAGAGCACGGTTGTTATTGCCGTTGGCGGTGTTTCACTTGTTGTAGCATTTGACATAATTGAGGAGGCTGGCTGCGCGGTTTGGAGCCTCTTCAGGATAGAGTTTGATTCGCAGGCCTTTTCTGTTCTGTGTTTCCCCCCAACCTCCTTCGCCCCGAGGGAAATACTCCCACACCTTTCTATTCTTCTTGGGAGATCTTTTTTTCCCTCTGTTTACCTGCTTGTTTCTTCGCGCATTCCATATCCACAAACACGTTACCACCATCTTCTACGGCTGCTTTAGCTTGGAACTTTCTACTCGACGACAACGACAACAGCATTCCATTACTGGAAGTATTAGGGCTAGAGCCGAAGGAGAGGGTCATTCAGTCTCAGAATGGCGCCTCGAGTGACCGGCTCTGCGTTCGACGGCAGGTGGGATGGGGCAAAGTCGTTATACCTCCTGCCGCCGCTCGTGGGCCTTCCCTTGCCTGATATGCGGGCAAATGGTGTGTGGCTTTACTATTCAGTACTAATAGCGTGTTCTTTAACTCGAGCAACAAGCTAATAGTTTGTTTGTGGTTTTTAGGATACGGAGCACGAAATGCAGGGAATTCAACTTACTACAGGCTCATTGTTGTCCATGCTGTCTTCGCATGTTTGGCATTCCTATTGTTTATGCCCGCGGCAATCGTCTGCACAAGGTACCTGATCCACGGAAGGAACCCGAGGACTGCTATGTATGGGCATATTGGTTCCAACACTGCGAGTATCATATGTTTGACTATCACTTTTGCCGCTGGGTTTTCCGCTGTTGGAAGGGAGAACTGGGGTACCAATCCACACCATGTGAGTTTATTTAGGCTCTTATCAACGAAGGGAGTTACTGATTCCAAATAGATCATTGGCGCAACACTGTATGTTGGGGTACTCTTCCAGGCTTTATTCGGCGCATTCGTCCGTTGGCGCAATTCTACCAAAATCCGAAAACGAATTGCGCTTCACACTATGCTGCACCAATGGTTCGGCCGCTGCCTTCTATTTCTCGGATTGGCGCAGATTCCTTTGGGATTCTACCTCTACGGATCGCCCCTCGTATTGTTTATTCTCTATGGCATCTTCATGGCCTTGTTCGTGCTTGTCTGGTTCATTCTTGACTATCTTAGCGCCCGCGACTATTTCCACAATGGTTACCACAGTCCCAGCAATGAGAGGCCGCCGCGCGAGATGTCGGAAACAGGAGCTCAATCAAGAGTCCATTCAAGAGTTCAATCAGGGATTACCCCACATGCAAGTGAGCTTGGGGAAGTCTCTAGGTTCGATGAGCCTATGCAGACGCCGAGGCGTGGAAGGTTCAGCCTGTTTTCAAATGTGTTCAAAAAGCGCGAATCGGGGATGAACAGAGAAAGTGAACAAATGGTCATTGACGATCGCGGAACGTCCTTTGACACCAGCAGAGCTCCCAGCACTAGCCTTGTCGCAGGAGGCCTTGGTGCCCCTCCGGGCAGACAGCCAATACCTCCCGTCCCGAATGTACCGCAAGCTCACCTTGTAAATCCTAACAACCAAGCCAATCTACACCGCGATAATAACGATCAATATGCCCCTCAACGAGAAGAATATGGACGAGGATATCGGGATAGCACTACACTCGGCCATGGAGCCCATCTACCACCCCCACAGCAACAGCAGCACATCTCTATGCCTGAATCTCCTTACTCTTCCCAGACAACTAGCGGTATCAACAGTTCTGAACCTGTATCTGAAGTTAGTGCGCTTTCTTCAGGTCGCAGATTTCCATATGCCCCCGTCAACGCCCAGTACGAGCGCATAGGCAATGAATATGAGGAGATGCCAAATTCTCCAGTTAACACATCCGATGTCAGCGCGCTCTCTGCGGCTGGAAACAGGAGGTACCCTGTACTCAACACCCAATACGAACCTATTGGCCGCGAGTATGAAGAGATGCCACCTTCTCCAATGGGGTACATGGAAGTTGATGACGGGTTTGCTCGTCCTCTCCAGGGAGGCGCTGTTGAACCGCCTATGGTACCGCTTCCCATGCCGCCAGAACCCCCACGCCGACCAAGCCATAGTCGCGGAAACAGCCGTGGTAATGGTAGTCGTGGAAGGACCAGTGAGGACGTTGTCCGTCTGCCTATTTCCCACAGCAATGAGTTCTTGACTCTCGATAGAAGAGAGGCAACACCGGGATTCGAGACAATCCGACTATCAAAAGGAAACCCCAACGTCAGTGTCCAAGTTCGTGTCAACCCCGATGGGAAATCAGTTACTGTGCGCCGAATCCCCACCGAGGAAGCCGAACGTGACCGTAGGGAGCGAGCAAGGCAGCGGGCGGAGCGTGCGCAGCAGCGGGAAAGGAGTATGGACATTGAGCGACAAAATCGCAGATCTGGATCTGCGAATCGGGGCCGTCGATCCTCTTCTGTAGAAAGACCCGATACACAGCACGGCAGCAGCGTCCTTGGAGCGGATTCAAACATCTCCAGTGCCATTGCAGGGCACAGCGGTGGCCTCCTCGGTGGCTCCTCGGCAGTTCCATCACCGCCCTCGCGACATCCACAACCGCAGTATGTGCCGTCAATACCAGAACCGCCAAGAGCAGTGGTGCAGACACCTATAAATCAGGGCGTTCCGCTACCGGGGTGGACTGGCCTTGGGGGTGGTATATCCCCCAGCCAACAGGGAAGCGTAGTTAGTGCCACGGGAACAGAGGCAAACTCAGAGTTAGAGCAGGAGATGGCGAAAGATTATCGGAGAAAGAAGAGACGTGAAGAGAGAAGTGGAGTGGCGCCAAACTCGCAAGTCGCCAGTGGGCCAGGGAGTACACTGATGAGTAGCAGTATCGGCTACGGCGATGACGCTGAGGATGGCGGCGTCCAATGGACATGATTTTGATGAGAGCTTTTTTGTTATTTGTTTTGGCGGAACTTTGTATTTTTTTATTTTCTTCTCAATCCTTCCTTTTCCTGGGTGAATAGATGGGTGATGAATCTTTTTATTTCTGATTTCAGTGGGTTATACGGGGAAGTGGGTTATTTTCTTTCTTTCTTTCTTGTTTATGAGATATCACGAATATTTTCTTTACGTCATTTACGGGGGTTAGGATGGACGTTAACGAAAAAAAGAACAGCAAGGGTTTTTCTTCTTCTTTATATAGCCATGTATCCTTTTTCGTCTTTTTGGGAGGGGTGGGAGTTTTTTTCTTTCTTTTTTTTCATTGAAGATATCCTGATTATGTGGTAGCTGAAGCTTATATGGCTTGTACGTTAATGCGGCTGGGGGTTTGAAATCAAGCGTGTTGATTTCGGGCTTGTGGGGGGATGGGGTTATGTTGAATCCAGGATGCTGTTACGATGTCAAGTAGATAGAACGAATTGAACGACACAGATGAAAACCAGTCACCACATGGTCTGTTTTCAAGGCAAATCGCTTGAGTGTGATTTTGTTCAGATACTTCCACGACAACTTTTGAAACTCTCGGGAATGAACAGTTTCTAGCTCCTATAAAAGAGCATTGCACGCCACATAAACCGTCCCTATCACAACACCCTCAAGCTACTACAATACTCTAAAACTACTACAATACTCTAAAACTACTACAATACTCTAAACTCTACTATTCCCACAAGATGTCTGCACAAAACCAATCTACCCCAACGCCCTGCCCAGAGTGCACTGTCATTCCTACCACCACCTCAAACACCTTTTGCACATCCCCCGCCTGCCCCGGCTGCAGACAAACTAAACTCTGGATCGACTGGGCGCACGAAAACAGTCCCGACATCTTCCAATGCCCGCAGTGCCACAACACACCCACAGACATGGCAGGTCTCGTCCTACAGCACACCATCTGTGCAACCTCCCTTGGGCGTAACCTGACCGTAGATGAAGAGATGGAGCTAATCTTCTGGCTGCAGGACTTTTCCAACGACCTGAGATGGATGTTGAGAGTGGAGTATACACGTATTTGCGAGGGAAACATGATCATCACGGAGGTGGGAGAGGATGAGGGGGGTGATGATGAGTGGGCGACCTGGATGTTGGATGAACACTGGTTGGCTGAAAAGATTGATGACGAGAAGTATGAGGAGTTGGTAGAGTATTTAAGGGAGAAAGAGGACTAGGAGTGTGCTATGTGGTAGCTTTTGTGTTTGGTGATGAAATTAAAGAGGGGGGGGGAAGGTTGACTGGAAACCTGAGAGATTATCATTGGTACATAAAATGTACCGAGTGATGAATTGTGACTCAGATACAATATCAATAGAAAGCATATAAACAGTCCATGTGATACAAGTAATATAGTAGACTAGCTGGCATATTAAATATTGAGTGATAGATTGTGTTGCAATTTTGAAGCTATACAACATGCACCGTTTTATTAATTGGTTCAGTATAGTTTGCTTGACAACATAAGCAGAGTACGCTATAAACAAAAAAAAAATTTCCACAAAAGTCGCGTTAAAAAAACTTATTTATTTGCTTTTTTGTACTTTATCCCTCTCCGAAGAGCAGTTGGATTTATGCCATCATGTTGTCCCCCCTTCCTAATGCCGCCACATTACTTCAACTATATAACACCTGACTAGCACACATACACATCTGCCGCTATTTCTTTATTTCAAGATTTGCAGGCAGAGAGGCATTTCAACTTAATGAACCGGGATGATTTTTAAACTTCGGTGTTCAACACACGGAGACTAAGCATCAAGAGTCAGTCCACAACCTAAGTTCTGGCACTACGATCCCAACTCTCTTACTTTCCTATCGCTCTTATTATAAGAGCGATAAGGAGAGGAAAAGAGAAGAAATCGAGAGCGGATAGGGGAATTCCTACGTGTTGGTGTTTCCAAGACCACCCTTCCATCCCTGGACGGCGATGACGGTGTCACCCTTGGAGAGAAGACCAAGGCGCATGGCCTCAGCCATTCCCCACCTGAGACGCTTGTCAACGTCCTCTTGCCAAACGGTCTTGTTAAAGTCGGGCTTTGCCTCCGGGTAAACGAAGGGGTATATACCACGGTACAGATGTGAGTACCTGGCGGCATTGTTGTTTCGGGTGATCTATTGCACAAGTATCAAAATCGGAATTCTATTGTTTTTTCAAGGAATATCTTACCATGAAAACGGGGCAGCTAGGGCGGTATTTGGAAATGAGACGGGCAGTAGACCCGGACGTAGACAAAACAATGATGGCGCGAGCCTTCTGTTCCAGCGAAGCACTGACAGCGGCAATAGCACAAGTCTCGCTGGTCTCAGTGGGGCGAGCAGTCAAGCTTCGGAGCTCGTTGAAAAGAGGGGCATATGAGATAGCAGTCTCGGCAAGCAAGCAGGTCTCGTGCATCATTGTGACAGACTCGATAGGGTAGTCACCCTTGGCAGTCTCCCCGGACAACATGACACAGTCGGCACCATCAAGAACAGCATTTCCAACATCAGAAACCTCAGCACGGGTAGGGCGGGGGTTGTATGTCATGGACTCAAGCATCTGGGTAGCGCAGATGATGGGCTTTCCAGCGAGGTTGCACTTGGCGATCATCATCTTCTGCGCAATGAAAACCTGCGCAGGGGGAATCTCGATACCGAGATCACCACGAGCAACCATGACACCGTCGGTCTCCTTGAGAATCTCGTCAAAGTTGTTGACACCCTGTTGGTTCTCAATCTTGGCAATAATCTGGATTTCCTTTCCATCTTCGCCGAGGACCTCACGGATAGCGGTGATGTCCGAACCGTGACGGATGAAGGAGGCGAAAATCATGTGCACGCCGTTCTTTACACCAAATCGTAGATCGGCCTTGTCCTTCTCTGATAGAGGAGGAAGGTCTACATCTGTCTTGGGAAGGTTGACACCCTTCTTTGAAGAGATTTTTCCGTTGTTCAAGCACTTAGCCTTGATGGTCTTTTCGTCGACAACTTCGATGACCTCGAATGAGAGAACACCGTCGTCGACGTAAATGATACGGCCCGCAGAAATGACCTTGGTGATGTTCTTGTAGTCAACGTACATGATTTTCTCGTCGCAAGCGGTGGCATATTGGTCATCGGTGGTGATTATGATCTCCGCTCCCGCAGAGATCGGGTGGTCACCACCGTCCTTGGTGTTACCGGTACGGATCTCGGGTCCTTTCTATAGATGGTTTAGCTATTAAAAGATAGAATTTAAAGCTTAGTAGAACATACGGTATCAAGAGCAATTGCCAATGGACGACCAGGCTGAATTCTCTCAGCCTCCTTGGAGTTGTCGATGACAGATTGGTGGTACTACTCGTCAATTCTTATCAGCACCGATAACAAATTTTTGAAACACCCCCACTATACACCCCACCATAACAACAACCACACGTCACCCAAACAAAGGGGAAGTTGAAGTGCGGTATAGGGAGAGGGAAAAAAGGTTACCTCATATGAACCGTGAGAAAAGTTCATTCGCACAATGTTCAAACCAGCTGTAAACTTGTGATTAGTGCCTACTCGTATTTCATTGAAGCGGGGCGGGGTAAAAAGATACCTTTACGCAGGTTGTTAATGGCCTGGACAGAGTTTGTCTTAGGTCCTATTTCGAAATTTGATTAGCTTTCACCCAATAGGAACAGAGCAGAGCAGCGAACGAGAAAGAAAGTATATAGAAAGAAAAACATACCAATCGTACAAATGATAGAAGTCCTCCTGTAGTTCTTCTGCTGAGGGACATGGTCCACATCAAGCTGGCTTAACCACTGGTAGTGGGACTTAACACTCTCATGCTCGGTGAAGGCCATCTTTACTTTTGATTATATGGGATGGTAAAAGGGATTAGGTTTGAGCAGGTGGATGAGTGGAGAGTGGAGAGTGGAGAGTGGAGATGGGGTGATGAAGATGGAGAGTGAAGGAGGTTGAGAAGGAAAGGAGGAAGATGAGAGGAGGCGAGGGTGAATCTATAGTACGGCAGAGACCCGTGTAAGAGGCAACCCAATCTTCAGAAATTCGCCGGGCTAGATGGATGCTGCAGAGGGGCGGGGTTTGATCGATTAATTGATGGTGGTCATGATCTGTATCCCATCCCTGTGCTATTCTGACATTTTGTTACCTGTTTCACACCCAACCAGCTTATTCCCTTCTATTATTTCTTCTACCATGAGTGCATTTTTCTTTTTCGATTGAGTCCTGATTGCTATGCATCGCAAAAAAATGATTTTTTTTTTTACTTCTCCCTTTGAAATTTGTTTACATACCGCGGATGCGGCCAACTTATGAATTTCTCCGGCGGGACGCGCCTCGCCAACCACCAAGCTCAACTTTACCTGGACTGGGCTGGGATTTGCTGGGTTCGCACCCCCACCAAACCTATAACACAAACTTTGTTGACTAAAAAAAAAAGAAAAGGTGAGATCGAATCCCCCGCTATCTATGGACCCCCCTCCAAGCAAGGAAAAAAAAATCTCAGAGGAGCCCTGTCTTTGGATATTTATCAGGTAAGAGAAGCTCCTCTATTTGCGGTGGTAACCATAATCCACGGGGATCAGATCGAATATTAGGAGAATTATATATCTATATGTAACCGCATACAGATGTAGATCAATGCATTGTTCCTGAGCGTAATCTAGCACAGGCATAGGCACCTTATCTCCCCTCATAATTCCCTGTCTAGACTTGAGAATAGCTTTATAAAATAACTGATAAGACGGCTGAGAAAACGTGCAGCATAAGAGGTCAAATACCAGCCTAGGATGAATCCAACCCACGTGGGCCTAGAAGTGACGTTTTACGGATTGGATACACTGAGATTCGTGGATAAAATGAGAAAACAATTCCTCCGGGTTAGGCACAGGCTGAAGAAGGCCCAGCTCACCGGTATTCACTGCGGGGCCTAATTAATGGTGGTGATGATGCATATGAGGGGTCAGTTGTTTTCTTAGAGACCAGGCCGGGTAACGAACGGCCAGAATAACAGGGCAGGTCGATACTGTACGTTACAATCCATGCTGTACGTGCTGCACGTCCATACCCCTACACTTGGAGAGGTGGGATTGAAGGAATGCGAATCCCCCTCCGGGATACTGCTGCCGGAGTGCATTTGTAGATGGCGTGGGTCCCGTACCCATCCCACCATCTACCTAGCAACAGGGTAACACCGTAATAAAACCCCTTCTTACAGGCCAGCATGGCAGGGTTTGGGTGTGTAACTGCAGTAACAAATAGCATTTACCTACTCTCCCAGTGCCCCCACGGTAGATGTGAAGATCATCGGCAATCACTCGCGAGTACATTACGTTTGTTTTCGTCAAGGAATCGTTAATCATTTGTTATAAAGTCGAACTCCCACCACTCCTCCCTACCCAACCCGCTTAGACTTTTAGGAAATACATAATAAAGAGTATCCAGATAAAAAAAGAAAGAGAGAAGGAAAGATACCACCATGGATATGGTTTAAGGGAATAGGTAAGTGCGTGGCGGTAATTTACTTTGAATCCAATGGTTTAACACCCTTCCAGATACTTGCGACACCAAAAGTTAACTCCTCATATCCTTTCCCAACATTCATAAACCCAGCTTCCTTAATCATGACCGCAAACTCCTGTTGGGTTGGGAATTTCTTAATAGACTCGACAAGGTATTGATAGCTGTCCCTGTCACCGGCAATAAGTTGTCCCATCAGAGGGATAATAGAGAAGGAGTACTGCTGGTAGATGGCGTCTAGCGGCGCAGGTGAAACCTTAGAGAACTCAAGACAGGCGAATACACCACCGGGCTTTAGAACCCGATGGGCGGCCTTGAGTGCCATGGGGATGCGGGTGACATTACGGATACCAAAGGAAATGGTATAGAGATCAACTGAGTTGTCTGGAATGCTGTCAAGTGTCTCAGCGTTCTCCACGCGGAAAGAGATACGATTGGCTGTGCCCAATTAGTAAGAATGTCTCATGTGGTGATGTCTTATCGCTTATCGAAATGAAAAGTGCGGGGGTAACAGATGATCACAGGCACTGAGGAGAAGTTTGGGAGGAGTAATTACTGGATATGTATCCTTGCTGCTGAGCACGTTTTTCGCCCTCTTTCAACATATCAGCGTTAATGTCTGCGCAGATTACGGTGGTTTCACGGTCGCCGTTGATTTTGTCGGCGTGATCGAGCATGCGGAAAGCAATATCTCCGGTTCCACCAGCGACATCAAGGATGGCCATAGGTGAGCCGCCAGACTTTCGGCCAGGGTTGAGAGATCGGACGAAATGGTCTTTCCATAGACGATGGATGCCAAAGGACATAGCATCATTCATAACGTCATATGAAGAAGCAACGGAGGAGAATACCTCAGCAACTATTAGTATAACTCAAAATGTCAATATTTATTATTATATTTTGTTTCTAATTTTAAGTAAACAAATAGCTTTTGTAGAAAGAAATACTCGCCCTTTCCTGCCTTCAGGGATTCTTTGACAGTTTGGAACCCAAAGTGAGTCTCTGCTTCAGATGCTTGGGGTTGACCGGAAGAAGCGGGTTTCGAGGAAGTTGAATAAAAAAGGGCAGTACGGGGAATTGCTCCAAGGGCAGATTTTGCAGGCGCTATTAAGGCCCTGTTTCTGGCGAGACGGAATGCCATTATTATCAATGTTTAAAAGTTGATAATATGGGTAAGATATCGTGAGTACGGCAGTTGTAAGTGGATAGGAACTTTGATACCTTTCCCACCCATGTATATTAAGAGTTGCATGCAAGTCTGCGGCAATGCAGCAACTGCCAGGTTACCCGGCCAATGTGTCATTTGTTGACGCCACTCGATCAGCCACTGTTGTGCGTTGTCAGCCACTGAATTGGCGACTGTCGGCCTTCTCTCTCCCTTTTCACTCCGCGTCTTCCTTCGAAGCAGCACACTCGACACGTTCCACCACTGCTAGCAGGAACAACTAATACAGCACTAGGAGTTCACATTTTTACATACTGCTCTCCCAACTCCACCCATTGGGAACACAATATCCCTACTAAAATCATCCTACTCCATCCATCGCGCAGATCACTCTTTACCCTTCTCGGTAAATAAGTATTTCTTCAGCGGCAAAACTCCTAAACATTTATCTCATATAGCAAACGTTTCTCAGCCTTCATCGTCAAGAATAATGAACGGTGACAGTTACACCTCGTCAAGGGGCGGTATGAACCCAACTGGATCAACATCTGCTGGAGTCAAGCAAGAGCGGGTTACTGATGTTGCAGTCCGCCCTGCAGATAGGCACAATTATTCATCGTCGCGTGAATATCACGTATGTTTAACTACAGCCTCGCCACTTCTCAAAAAATAACTTTACTAATACACACTCTCTAGTCATCTGATCGTCGAGACAGGGACAGGGACAGGGACAGAGATAGAGATCGGAACGACCGACCCCGTCGCGAACGCTCGCGATCTCCACATCGCTCTTCGAGAGCAAGTAGGCGCGAGGATTACTATGACGGCGGAGCAAGGGACAGCTATAGAGAGCGCGATCGTGACGGCGGAGATAGGTATACCGGCGGTGGTGGCCGCGATAGAGACTTTGATAGGGAGAGGAGACGTGGCGGCGATGGCGGCGGACGCGGTGATAGACGAGGTGAAAGGACCTCTAGACAAGAAACCAGGAGCACAAGGAGTGCTGTGGATGAGTTCCCTGCTGCTCAAAGAAAGCGGTCGGCAACACCGCCTGTAAAGAAGAGGGAGCCGACACCTGATTTAACAGATATCATTCCTATTAATGAGAGGAAGCGGAGAATGACCATGTGGGATATTAAGCCTCAAGGATATGAAAACGTCACTGCTGAACAAGCAAAGCTTTCTGGTCGGTCGCATACATACCTAGGTTTTATCTTATATGCTAATATACAACTCAGGAATGTTCCCACTCCCCGGTGCACCAAGACAGGCCCCAATGGATCCCACTAGGCTTCACGCATTTATGACGCAACCAAGCAGCGTAGCCACAGCAGCTACACTCAAACCCACAAACTCACGCCAAGCCAAGCGTCTTTTACTCAGCAATCTTCCCCCAACATCTGACGAGGAAAGCTTACTGCAGTTCTTCAACCAATCGTTGTCTTCGCTTAACGTCGTTACAGGCAGTCCCGACCCTATAACCTCCGCGCAGCTCTCATCTAGCAAAGACATAGGTCTTCTTGAATTTAAAAACACAAATGATGCCACAGTTTGCTTAGCTCTCTCAGGAATTGTGTACAAGGGTGCCAAGGTTGACATCAAGAGGCCTAAGGATTACATTGTACCTCTTGTAGCTGATGATTCTGGTCACCACGAACCAGGAGTTATCTCTAGCAATGTGCCTGATACACCTAACAAGATTTTGGTATCACAAATTCCGGACTATCTGCAGGACGAGCAGGTCATCGAACTCCTGAAGAGTTTTGGTGATCTTAAGGCTTTTATTCTAGTCAAGGACACGACTGATGATGTTTCCAAGGTACAACCAACTCCAGATATACTAACCAAAATCAAACTAATGTCCCCTTTGCATTCGCAAAATCTTTTGAAGAAAAATATGCAAGGCAAAAAGTGCGAACGGAAAATCTATTCCGTTTCAACAAATGCTTATTGGGGACATTATCATTTTAATTTTAGTATAGCTATTAACCTTTAATTTTTTACTTTTCTATATTTAGGGAATCGCCTTTTGTGAATATCTAGAATCCAGTACCACAGATATTGCAGTAGAAGGACTCAACGGGATGGAGCTAGGCGACAGCACACTCCGGGTCCAGCGCGCTTCTATTGGGATGAAACAAGCTGCCGGAGTTGAAATGGGTGTTAACGCAATGGCCATGATGGCAGGAACTACAAGTGTCGACCTGGAAGCTAGTCGCGTACTGCAGTTGCTAAATATGGTGACACCGGATGAATTGATGGATCCCGACGAATATGAAGGTAAACTAGCCTTTTCTCAAATGACTCTGACTGAATGGTTACTAACTTTTGATTAGAAATTTGCGAAGATATTCGTGATGAGTGCGAAAAGTTTGGAGCTCTTGTTGACATGAAGGTTCCCCGTCCTAGCGGCGGTAGTAGGCAAGCAGCTGGCGTAGGAAAGGTACAGTATTATTCTTTATATCTTTTGATGATTATTGGTTAACTCTTCACAGATTTTCGTTCGATTCGAAACACAAGAATGTGCATCGACCGCCCTCCGCTCACTTGCGGGAAGGAAATTCGCTGATAGGACTGTAGTTTGCACTTACTTTTCAGAAGTATGTTTCTATCTCATTGTTTCCTCACTATCATACGCTAACCAATCGCATCGGTACAGGAGAATTATGAGGTGGGCGCATTTTAAAACCCAGTAATCGTAACAGTAACAAGCCGCAACAGCAAGATCCTCCCCCCTCTACATCGTATTTTTTTTGGGCAGAAAATAAAAAGAAAAGTGAAAGTAAAAAATTTGCATCAGCCCACACTTTCGCATGCCTTTATGTCGTTAGTTAGTCCGTATTTTAGCTTAGTCTATGCCTCAATTAGTCCTCAATATTCAAAGTTCAAAGCAAATCGTAGACGGAGGCTCACCAAGCAAGAGGATAGTGACGAATTTAGTTTAGCGCTCGAGGATCATCGCTGTCCCGCATTGAGTAAGTTCATATGATAACATGTATATACCATCGAGTGATTGCCTATGATTCATGATTATGAATTCTGTGAAATATATTAAATACCTACAAAACTTCCTAACTACAGTGCAAGCTACATCAACGAGGTACCGGGTATGGAAGATCAGCCCTGGTTATTAAAAATGCAATTTTAGCGGAGGTCTAATAGGACACTTACATGTATACATACATGACTGTAAAACCATACATTTTATACTCTCGACATACATGTATATACTTACTAAACCGAATAATATTGCATGTATTGACACATGCAATATTATTCGATCATGTTCTAATACAATAATCCTTTAAAATGAAGTGAGGGCCTAGGAATAATCAATTGATCTATTCGTGTATATAGACTGCTAGTCTTCTATAATATACATACCAATATTACAGTACAAACCCTAAATAAACAAAAAAAGAAACATCCCACGAGACGAAAACTACGACAGGGGTTATCTGGCGAATTCGCGAACTAAGAAAAGATTAAGTGCTCCCACAAGTATAGATCTTAGAAAGCTGATTTTACAAACTCACTCATAGCGTTCCCCAGCCTCTTCTTTGAGCACTTCCACTGGATCAACTGAAGAAACCTCCGGTCTAAGCGCCTTCATTTTGTTCTTACTGAGATTACTTTTTGGAGGAGCTCCTTCGGGCCCGTCTTCCTTGGTATCCTTAGCTGTCCCATCTTTATTATGGGCGCGCACTAGGTACGCGGCGCTCATCTCTTGGTACACATTGCTTAAGGTGTTGTCGGTATTAGTATTTTGAGGCGTGGGATGAGTCCTAGAGACCCCGATATGGGTAGTGTAAGGGGAAGAATGAGTCACACGACCCATTGCCCTGTTGATCATGTCATCCGTTGCATATGGTGAGCTATATGGAGCATAATGTCCCCTCCCTAAATCTGGTTGAGGCTCGTGTGAACGATTTTGTGCTTGGTATTGATCGCGGTTTCCATCCTGTTCGACTCTGCTAGGCATTTCGAAAGTCCCCACCCGGGTTGGGGGTAAGTGCTCAGTATATTGTATATCCGGTTCAGCGTAGTGTATATCAGGTTCAGCGTATTGTATTTGTGGGTTGTGGGGAGTTGAGGATATAAGCTGCTGTTCCCGGCCATTTTGCCGTCCACGGAAAGTATGCTCCGGCAATCTATATCTAGGAATATCGTTCTGCGGCGGGGCAGCTCGATAACCTCTTCCCTGAGATTCCATTGCGATTCTCCTTGGTAAATATGGGTTCTGGCGTTGGTATGCGTCATAACTGTTAGGGTATGGGTCGGGTTTCCCGGAAATCTGCATGTCCTGCATAGAAAATTGCTGGATAGGCGACACCGGAAGTACTGGCCTTGCTTGTGATTCTGGGAAATTCCATTTGTCTTTTTTCCCCGATAGCACTCCCTGTTCAAAAGTAAGCTCTATAATCATGCTGTATATACAAACCATTATTGAGTATATTTTTACCTTTGCTTTTTCTGCAAATGAATCTCTTGTCATTTGGGAATCGTCATGCCACATACATCGAAGAACTTCAAGGACAACCCATTTTTCAAGGCCCGAATTACTAAATAGCAAGGAGTGCCGGTCGCAGTAAAGGCCAAAGCCGATCTCTACGTCAAATAAACATGATATTTAGAGGTTATGGATAATAGTTTATTTACCTTCCAGTTGCTCAAGTAAATCATTTAATATCCTGTTTTCAGTAAGTGCTGCTGACTTTATTCTGCCCCAGAGATAACCATCTGAGCGCTTTCTGGAGGTCTTTTCTGGGGGATAAATTCCCCCCTGTAGTCGTTTTTCTGAGGGAGATACATGCATTCTGCGTGTATTCCGAGGGTCTCGTGGAATGTATCCTATATAAACTGGTGTATCTCGCAGCTGTTTGTTCGCATACGGTGCCGGTGCCTGTGCTTGCGCTTGTGCCGGTACTTGATCCCACGGCTGGTAAGGTGCCGGTGCCACTGCCCGTGCTGGTTCTGGTTCTGATGCCGGTGCCATTGCCGGTGCCATTGCCGGTGCCATTGCCGGTGCCCTTGGTGATGGCGGTGATGGATTTGGATACCATATGGGCGATGGCGCCCTCCCATAGGCGGGGGCCGTGCCCGAACGAGGGTTTCCTTCAACATGTTCCCCTGGAGGGTATGGAGAGGGATGTACAAATGAAGGAAATTGAAGTGGCTCAGGAGGAGGAGGAAGGTTAAGGGGTTCAACAGGCGAAGAAGGTTGGGATTTTTGGCTATCTTTTATATGTCGAACGGCCTGATAGACTTGCGAGTGAGCTCCCTCTCCCATGTTTGCTTTTGCCATTTCTAATGACCTAACTAGGGTGATCAACGTCTTGTTCGAGTCCTTTAAGCTCTCAATCAAATACTCTGGAAGAGGCCTTTCGTCAAATATGATAGTATACGCAGAAGATGCCATGGAACCTCTGGACCCTGGACGGGTCGGGTTGGAGCCGGCAGGTTCTGCGGATTCATCTAACTGGGTAGGTCTATGATTGTTAACGTACTGGGGCGAGGTACTTGGTCGAGGATTTTCAAGCGGGGCCGTACGCTGTTGGTGTGAAGGGGGTTGTGGTAATGTGTTGAACTGGGATGAAGTAGCTCCTACTGTTATATTGCGATTCTCTGCTGGAGTTCCAGAAGGCGAATGCATGGGGCCCCCCTCGTTTAGACTTTCCTCAGCGATCAATGGTCCTGGTTCGGGAGTCCTTGGGGAAGCATCAGAAAACAAATAGTTTTCTGTTTTATTGGACTTGTCAGGAAGAATTGTCAAAAGCTTTTTAGCTTCATCGAGCCATTGGTTGCGTACTAGTACGACGATTTCTGGAAAGTTGTTAGGAAGCTTAGCTTGCCAATATTTTCAAGGATTACTACTCACTTTGAGCAGTAGAGTCCTTGGTAAAGCATCCTTCACAAAGTGATATCAGATCCACAAGAATACTCTGTAATACCGCTCCAGCTTGCTTGTATAAATCGTGGTTGACTAAAATTGACAATGCACCTTCATCTATCTTGGTATTGGAGATCCAAACCTTTAAGCGGTTATGTTCCTCTTTTATTAGTTCTAAACAATCCCTTGCATCAATTGTGTCTTTGAAGATAGTAGTTCCTGTGAGAATATTTTCTTTTTCTAGTAGCAATTCGGTATTTCTGATGACCTCTGAAAACCCCTCGTCGCATAATAGTGATAAATTTTTGTTGAGATCTCCTGGTATCTCATTCCCGTCCAGTCCATCTCCTCTCAACCCGCTGTCGTTCTCGCCTTGCCATATAAATCTTCTCAATATATCTATGTTGGAACCGAGCCACTTATTTAGGCGTATGAATCTTGCATGATCAAGTTTGATTCTTTTCCCGGTTTCGGGGTTCTTGACTTCAAGTCCTATCGCTGTGGGTTGACCTCGGACTTCGCTTAAGATATGATCTGTGGTTTTTTTGAGGGATAGCAATGCCCTGTCTAACATCGCTACCTGCGTTACAAAAATGTTTTCAAAGCTCTTATCTAACAAGTCGGATTCCGGGCTGGGTTCTTGGCCTGTAGTGCTGCTGGTATGTCTGTCATCGTCGGTGCTTGAGCTGTCACTAGTCGTCTTCTTGTCCCTCTCATGCTCTGACCCGGACTTGTTTTGTTCTCGAAAATCACTGTACCAATATAAGAAGCCATCCAAGCAAACCCATGACTAGGAGCACTCACGACATAATTAACAACTATATTTACATCCAGGTATTTCTGAATATATTCGTGAAGGTCACGTTAGAATGAGCTCGGAGCCCAGAGTCGTGTTAAGTCTCGAGTGTCAGCTTAAGAAGGCGAGCGAGAACACCGGGATTGCATCCTCAAAGCACATATGCGATTAAGGCTGTGTGTTGAGAGAGAAGTGCTTGTTGCGGCACAGCGGGATTACCCCATCCGCACATAGCTAGATAAAGCATCAAACGAAGTTTGTGACACAGCATGATGCAGTCTGAATCAAAACAGAATTTGTGGCGCAATGCGAAAAGCGCTGCGAGTCAACTTGGGGATACCAGTTATCAACCACAAAAATCACAACAACGACTATACAGCACAGATTCTAGCCAATATCATGGAAGTTGCTGGGCTTGTCTTTGGTGTCCTTGGAGCTCTGGATGTCTGTCTTAGAGTTAGTAAGGAGGTCAATGCTCTCGTCCGTGACTTCAAGAATGTTGGCCTGGATTTCGAGTGGGCAAGCAAGCGCTTAGATATCCACAATGCCCAATTCAAAAGTTGGATCGAGTTCTGGGATATTAAAAAGAGTACTCCGACCAAAACATTCCATACTCTATGGGGACCCGAAGGCACAAAAGCCATACATGACCATCTAGAAGGCCTTGAGATCCTATGCACGAAAGCTGCCAGGTCACAAGAGAAGTACAAGCGTACTCTTGAGGGAGCCGGCAAAACGAAATTGAGGGCATTCCAGATGTTCCGAGGCAAGGTCCGCTACACAATCTCCAGGAAGGACGAATTCGAAGAAAATTTGAACAAGCTTCGGACCGAGTTCGGTTTGGTGGAGAGGGAAGCGGAAGAATTTTTTTTGCGCTGCCATCCTAATATTTCAAGAGGTTCAATATCAAAAGCTATGATTGATGACATTGTTAAAGAATCAGCCATGATGGACCCGGACAACGTCATGAAGATTCAACAGATTACGATGCATTTGTTCAAAGGGTTAGATGTGGATAATTTGCAAGGACGTCTCGAGCTTTCATTGCAGCCCGACTATGTGTCAAAAAACCAATTTCGAGAGTTGGAGTTTGATACTCAGAGATTAGACAAGAAATCTACGAAATTACCAATTATCGTTAACGGTAAAGCCGACGTCTCCTTTCCCGATTGCCAATACCACCTCCCTCTCCAATCCGTTTTTGTTCTTGAGGCCGGAGAAGAGTACGCCTTCGAGACCCCACGACCAACTAGCCTTCGGGTAGAAGACTTTATGACTATAGTTGTCTCGGATCAATTGAACCTTAGAGAAAATGACACCAGCCTCAGCGACAACGAAAGCTTCTCCCTCAAGTGCCCCCCTAACCCCAAGCACGAGGGATACCGTTTTCTTGTCCACAGAACTGGGTCGAATTCAATATCAAATCAACCAAGGCCACTAAATGAACTTTTCGACAACATTCCTCGGCATCCCGACCAACATCCTTTACGAACCAAGTTTACGATTACACAGCAGTTTGATTTAGCCTATACCCTCGCCGCGTCCGTTCTGAACCTCCAGGGATCTGGATGGCTCAACACATTTCATAGCGAAAACATTTACCAACGCGAAAACTTCCATAGGTCAACTATTCACACATTAGAAGTTTGGACCGGCGGATGTAATCTCAGCAACTATGATCTTGGCAAGACGGCTTTGGATGGAATATTCCACAGGCCCAGGAATTCCTATCATCTAAAACCTGAAATATTTCTTTTGGGTGTTCTTCTACTCGAGATTGGTCTGGCTCGGTCTGGCCGGGCAATTTTAAGAGACTTGGAGCATATAAGAACCCGTGAAGAAAAATTACTTCATGTATTCCTCCGTCTCGACGATTCGGTCTGTCCAAAATACACCGACATCACAAAAGCCTGTCTTGAAGGAGATTTTGAGTTTGACGACGATCTGGACCCTAAAAAAACTCTTACGAGTTACATCTCCAAGGTTCTTAAACCGTAGGTTAGCCTTGAATATTCCTATACCATAAATATATATCTTAACATCAGCTTTTTAGATTAAAGGAAGAATGCGATAATTTGAGCGGAAATCGAGGTTCTCGCCACAGGAGAAAAATAAATGTACCTCGGAAAATTACACTACCAATAGCCCCGAGAGGAATTGATTTTCCAGAATTGAAGGAATTTGCGGATATCGATGTTAAACGCCGTATGAGAAGAACTTCAACGTGGGGCGGAAGCACTTTCTCTGATTGAATACTTTTTTCGCTCTCTTTACAACATTATTCCATGTTGTATATATGTATGTATCTATAATTGAATCGTGGAACGAGCTAGAACCGCATGTCGCTAAGTTCTGTGCGGTATCTAGCTCTCATTTCTAAATAATTATAGTTGATTTTGTCATGGACCATCACTCGCGCACTCATGATGCAAATACTCGTTATGTGCTTCCCAGTATTCCTAACCATCTTCACCCAAGTGGCCTATTAATTTAGAGTAGACAAATGGACTAGTTCGCGTGGTAATCCATGATCCACACCCTCGTGATAGTAATCAAATAAACAGACATTACGTAACATATATTATAAAGACTTCTTCGCATTTGCAGTCGCCCTCAGAGATTTTGCACCAGCCTCCTTTCCTTTCAGTCTATCGTGAATCTCACCTGCGAACCACCATATGCAGTATGAAGGAAGAAGCACCCAGAATCCGTTAGGGGTGATGTACAACAGAACCAGTGTCGCAAAATCGTTACTAAATCTCAATTTAAAAAAAAGATTTACAAAGTAAGCTGCAGGCGGGACGACTCACTGTCCGATATGTCTCCACCCCGAAAAGTATTCGACGCACAAGTATAGTATCGTTTTACTCAATGTCATTGTCGCACTCACCAGCCCAACCAAAACCGCCGTCGAGTTACCACGCGCCCAGAGCGCCAAGTACGTAAAATTCAACGCACTCTCAATCAAGTTCATGAATGACTGCGCGCCTGGGAAACCATCATTACTTTCAAATGCTGGGAACCCATAGACATGGTCAACTGTGCCATAAAGACCGTAATGCTTCCAGAATTTGTGAAGATCACCACCAGGCATTGAGCGGGGGCGAAGGAAGATGTAGCCACAATCCTGAGTTGTACGTCGAGGTTAGCTGAACTTGGCATTGTTGTGAAAAGGACATCTATTAGTCAGATGATCTTAATAGTAACATACCCAGAGGACTAGCAAGGTCGATATTAGAATCCAGGTGGGAATTATCTTGGGTGGACTGTGTGAGAACGTCATTTTCCTGCGTCGCTGGTAGGAAGATTAAGGAAGGAAGGTAAGGTGAGCATGAGGGGAAGGAAGCGAGTAGAATATATACCGCGGTGTTGGCTGTAATCCTGCTGTAAAAGGCTCTGATCTCTTCCTTTAAGGGTGATATTTTTCAGCTCCTCTGTCCTCTTGGCAACCATCCGAACGAACTCTGTATGATAGCTGTCACATACCACGATCGACAGTTTGTGTTGCCCTTTTAACCAAATGTCTTGAATCCGCTGCCACGAGCCTAACCAATGTAACACAATCCAACGAGCTTTGATTGGTACATAACTTTCTTCTGGTAGGTATAAAGGTCTTCACTATATTTTGAATGGGCGTACGGTTTGATACCAATCGTTTTGTTTCAAAATATCTGTAATCCTCTAATGTAATATTCACGAGTACATACATGTAGTTACATGCCCATGGTCATAGGTCTTATTTTTATTAAGAAAGTACGTAAAACCTGGACCTCCTAACTGCAGTGACATACATTTACATGTAATTATTGAGGATGGAAGCGGTACATGTACTTATATGTATGTAGCCAATTATAAACCCCACTAAACTTGAAAACACGCTTCATTAAAGTGAAATAAAAACTTAATATTTATCATATTGTATCTAGGACCTTGTAACCAACTATAATGAAGACCATGCCACAAATTCTGGCAACGAACAAACCCATACGAAATGCTCCGTCAGAAACCAGTTACTCAGACAAACTAGTTTGGCCAAGCTTAGTTATTGGTCCTTACAAAACTCTTTAAAAAGATTGTTTACTCAAATCCATCCCCATGTGTTTCCCATGCTTGCTGGTTAGCATCATCTATAAACCTACAGACCTCATCCCTTCATTCCAAGTCCTCGAAGGTCTAGTTGCCGGAGCCGGAGGTGTGTCCCACATAGATGGGTATCCGTAGTTCATGCCATCTGGTAATGGGATATCGTAACGAAGGTACGAGGGCAATATTCCATTGTTTGCAAACGACCCGGGTTCATTGAGAGAACCACGGGGCTTGCGAGCCGCCCAATGTGTGTTTCCCCCAAGCTCCCTGGTAACTTGGTGGTAACGCCCATATTCTGTGAAGTTTGGTGATGCCAAGGGACCCATTTTTTCATGAACCGTCGAAACTGAAGTATCAGGCAGTAGCAGCCTTGTGGCCCATTCCTCGCTTGTTGGCCACGGTTTGTTACATGGAAGGTAGAAGTTCTCTTGTGGGTACCACCCGTGGTCATACTGGAAATTATCTGGCATATTTCTAACATATTTCTCGTAGACGCCCTTTTCACAATTCCAGATTAAGATCTGTCCGTACTTATCAAAGACTGGAAGTCCGTGAAAACCATCATTCACCGTATCCATATCTAGAATCTTCTTCCCGATCGTTTCTGCTTTTTGCTCCAGGTAATCAACCCAGGCAGTTCCGTATTGGCCTTCGCACATTGGTTGATTTCTATTTTGCCATTCTTCACTATCCAATCCTTCGTAGCGGACGTTATCCTCGAGTATATTGTCTTCGGGGGGTACCATTCTCATCCCATATCTATATACCGGACCCTGGTAATTTCCTGAAAGACTATAGTCGCCCGAGGATCTTGTGTCAAATTGTCTCCATGGGATATTAGGAGGGATCAATGAAAGCTCGGTTACGCCAATTCTGGTAGAAGATGGCCCAGACCCTGGAGTAGCCAGCCATGGGTGTATTTGAGCCACACAGTTATCTTGAGTATAGGGGTAGGTGTTTGTTTTAATTTCGTGTCCGTCATTGAATGGAGGAATATACTGGGCCATGCCGAGATATTTCAGATTTTGGGCGAATGGTTGACCTTGATTCGTTATCATATCAGATGTCCCATCAAAACCAAATTCGGGAGGAATTTCAAAACGGTTGGTTCGTGGTTTTATGGCATGAACACTGTCTGTTTTATCATTAGTATTTGATGTTTCAAAATTACGTATCGGAGAGGGTACGTACTTTGACTACTTTCAAGTGAAATGGGCGTGCACATAACGACTTTCCCCACCTGTGTGTTATTGTTTTCCAAGGTCATTTGGGTATCTTTTGGTATTGTTAGTGATATTGAATAAGACAGAGCAGCTTTTTATTAGACCTACCTTTACCACGACAACCCTTAAGATCTGAGGATACATCATTGATCGTATTTCTCTCAGCTCCAGCAACCTCTTCTTCCTTAATCACGATAGCCTCACCTAGAAACTTTGGAGGGTACAGGAGCTTCTTGACTAAAAGGTAAAGAGAATTAATCGCCAATCAAAGTGAACATCAAAAGGAGGAAGACAGGAAGTACTCGCAAGTACATACCGTTGGAGGTTTCCTGGGATCCCGTTTGGTCGATCATGCCCAAGCTCCGCTTTTTTGAGCTTTTAATCTTTGTTTCATTCTCTTTTCTTCTTTTACCCCCCTTATTGACTTTCTTCTCCTTGTTTTCTATCAAAGACAAAACCCTATCCTCATTGTCCACCATTTTGATAGAACTCGGGCTATCGTAAAAGATATCTCGATGTTTTTCCATATCCAGTTCCATTTGGATAAACCTTGACTTCAGCGCACCCTTCCAATGATTGAGCCAGTGCTCAAAAGTCTGATCATCAATTATATCTCTCCACGATTGTGTGAGTCTAAGACTCACTGGACGAGTCGCGCCAAGATACGGATCAAGTTTTTCGTTAAGGTAATCCGGATTGTCTTTGAATATTGTAAAGGCAATCTGGTAAAATGGGTTGGCAGATGGGAGGATTTTTAGCTTGAAAAGGGCATGTTGAACGGTACTAGAGTGAATGGTATAGTCCCTTCCTTTCCCAAATTTGCTATACCACGTAGGAAAGCCTGAGATTATGTCTCTCAGTGGGTCTCCAGCTTTGGTCACATCCCAAACGATGCTGACAACCAAGGACCAAAAGCAAATTCTTGTAATTTGCTCGGGATGGGACTCAATGAGCATATCAGAGATAATTCTGAGCACCATTTCAGCAAGGTCAGCGGTTCCATATCTAAGGGCGACATCGTAGAGCTTGAGTTGGCTGTAGAATGTTGCACGGAAGGTGCCCAGGTTGGTGCGGTAAGAACCAGTGTTGATGTACTCGATGTAGTACGAGAAGATTGATTCGTCTTCTTGGGGGAGGTCTACTCTATAATTTCTACACCCAAATTTCCCGACCGCGGACATTCTAGAACAAAGATCTTTGCCGTAATCAGATTTGTTATTCCATTTCTCGGCGTTGATATGGAAGACAGCAAGGCTAGTTCCCACACGAATGGTGATGTACGGATGGTTGCTGAAACTATAAAGTAGAAGCAAGGTTAGCGTGTGTTCGCTAAATTTACCTCTCCTCTCACTCTTATCCATAAAAGAACTTCCCCACTTACACTAAAAGACCTGGTTTACCTACGATCGTCTCGTACACGAGAAGGATGTCTCTGGAGAAATATCCTTCATCATACGTTGGATGATGGTCTGAAACCTTTCCGTCATCCGTAGCTTTGATGGAAGCTCCGCCCTTGCTGCGAAGGACAGGAGGCATCTTTGCGAAGAGGGGGAAAGAATCGAGAAAACAGATCTCTGGTGATAGTGATGGTGGTGGTGGGAGGGATGGGGACGCAGAGGGATGCTGTGGAGATGTAGTGGTATGTGACGGCCCAAAAGTTGGCTGTAACGGGTTGGCTAAGCTAGAATGCAACAAAAACCATCAAAGAAGGATTGTTGCTCGAGACTTTGGTGAGCTCAACTAGAGGGGTAGTTGTTCAAGTTAAGATGGATGACGTTAAAGGAATTCTACCCTCTAACCATGAGGACTAGTCAAGCTCAGTCCAGACGATGGCGTCCAAAATGTGACTGCGATCCAAGATTATTGTGATGGAGGGAATAGAGAAGGTATCGTCAGAAGAAAGTTTATAGGCTCGCTTGGTCAGTTGAGGTAGCGTATATGTTTACATCATCGCCCAAATTAGTTCACAAACTCGACTTGCGTACCAGTATAGGCGTATACGGCGTCATGACAGCGATGTATTCGCCTTCTTCTTTATTTAATTGTATTCCAAGTAAATTCTCCAAAGTGGCTAGAGGTGACACGCATAGGTACATACATGTAAGTAGCAGGTTGACCAGGGGATCCTAATCATGATAAATCACTCGTGAGCTCGCGCCTTACGTAATTATGTTCGCATTCAGGAATGGCAGTACTTCTTGCGATATATTGGGAAGGGAAGTTTTATTCCTACCATACATGTAGTGTTGACTGAATGCATACGATACTCTTGTGCCTAGAAAACCCTGGGATCAAAAAAGAAAAAGAAAAAAGAAAAAAAACAGTGTTTGCGATAAATTTATAGACAGCTAGTACGCCATATATATTTCACGTTCCTGTGGTTGGGAGCGCCTCCTAAATGTTTAGGCGCACGGCTATAGGTAGCTATTTAGTAGAGGTAGATTTGGTCATTGGGGAGGTTAGATTGGTCAAAAGTTAAAGCCTCCAAAAGCTTAAATTTCTGAATATATTCAAACCATCATGAGGATACTAGCGGCGCTCGTGCGGTGAAAATAGCTTCTACCAACAAAACTACATGTAGTATTATATATGCAAGATAAAACTCTTTTTTTTCCACCGACCATGCATATAGTGTTTTCATAGGTACACGTATCATGTACTAGGTTTATTCCCACTAGACATATACATGTATGTATATCTATATCATCAATTCAATTTCAAAGAACAAAAAGGCCATGAATTGAACATTCATATATGGTTCAAGAGAAGAAAAAAACGTTCACAGTCTTAATGGGTAGCTACATGTATGTGCGTGAGTTTAGTCATTAATATAGAGGTTCTGAAGAGAAGTGATATACATTACAGCATATCTAACTGCTTTGAACGTCCGTTCGCGAGCGAGCGGAAATTATAGAATCAAAAAAGAACTAAATTAACACATGTTCATGAAATAAATTCGATAAGAATCCGCAAGTACTTAGGTACATGTATCCTATGTAATCCAATAGGCTCAGAAATCTCAGATATAGCCTAAGCCTAATGAGACCACTACACATATGCATCAAATGTCTGTAGCGAGTACACGGGTAGAAAAATTTGCGATCGCGATCTGTTTTGCTACATATTTTTTTGACATATATCCAAGTCTCTGCGGTGAACATCTTAGGGCTAGGCACAGTCTATGGTATTTATTTGAAGGAACCGATCGGCTATATATAAAGACAGGAGACGATAATAAAATCCCTCGTAATTGTACCTAGAAACAATTTATATGATTTAAAAAAAGATAATAAAATCCCTCATTTCAAAACCACAATTATTTTAATGAATTAAACAACACAAAAAAAAAAAAAACCACAATTATTTTATGCGTGATTGCGTGACATGTCACATAGACACATGGATATTTCCGAGTGCGAGCCTATGATCTCGGCTTGGCTCAGCTTAAAAAAGACCCGGCGCGCAGGGCTGCGGCTTCTTTCGAGTTAATATTTTGATACATGGCTTCTACTTGTAGCTATAGATGCCTATCAAAGTACATGTATGTACCTACATGTATATACATCTTGTAGTCTGATTAGTTCCCACTTATAAGCTACATATATCAGCTTTTTATCATCATAACCGACTCCAGCCCCAAATCTCAGGAAGGGGCTCACTATTGTAATGTATATATACATGTAGCCGAGCACCCAAGACTTCGACTTCAAGACTCCAAGACAGCTCTAAGCGGTTCATCCGAGGATCTTCCGTCTCGTGACTTCGTGGCTCTGGGCCTACATAGGGTACACCCATCTATCTATATCTGTTTGTCCCAACGGTCCTCTCCACGTGGTGCAACATACCTAATGATTTTCGAGCACTTATTGCTCCAGGCCCGGTACAACTTTGATGTGAAACATCTTCACGCTCAAGCCAAGTTGCTGCAAGCATCTACAGGGTAGTTTTCCCGCATTTCTAGGCGGGACACCGCCAGGTCGAGTCGTCTGCAGGTCTTCATAAGTCTTTTGAAAGTCACAGAAACGCAACCTTGACCCCTTGGCTTCGGTACCTACGGCTAAAGATCTCGCTGCGGTGTGTGTTATGTATATATGGGTACCTGGCGGGGAGATAAAAACGTGGATCGGAGTGGTGCCCGTGTTGGCGATTTTGACAGGTGAGGTGTTGGTGTGGCTAATGATCCGAGGTGTACTTTAGGACAAGAAGAGACGGGTGAGTACAATGCACAGAGAGGTACATATAAATTGTCTTTTGGTGTCTGAGTTAAGATTCTAAGGATGGGATTGAACAACTAATAATAATTTATATTGTTGTCTCGTTCAAACACAGGGGATGAAGGAAACGAAGCACCAAAGATAAATTATACACTGATCCTTATTTGTACATCTCTGAGGGGTGTTTATATACATGACAAACACTTCATGCGCCTATATTTAGTCAATATTCGGGAGCGTGCAGGGCAAAACTATTCCTGCGGCCGACACGCCGAGCTCAATATTCCGATTAAGACATAAACATGCGGGCACACAAAAATTTAATCTTTCCTAGCTCCCATGAGTCCCAGGGATGTACATGGACCTTTTGAGAGAGGAAAAGGCCTTGGTCACTGAAATGATTCTAACAGAACCTTTCTTTTCTGGAGATACTAACTATCACTGTTATCATCTGCGCATGCATACGTATGTATATGTATCTTTATAAACACTAACCAGTTACAGGGCCGATATCGGATGTCGTGTCTGGACCCTGGTTTTATTAGATACTTCATCCGAATCTTTACTTGAGCCATTTACTGATGATACTTCCTTCAGGATCTCGATAGTTTCAACTGCCAGGGCGGTGTTATCAGTGAATTCCACATCAGGAAGTGCAAGCGCAAACTAATTTTCTAGTTCAGCTAACTAACTGGTATAAATTGAAGAGATGAATTTTAGCGGAAAAACTCGATGCAGGAAATAAGACTAAGTGACGACCATGCGCGGGAAATTGGGGAGGGGGGGTGAGGGTGCTCCGCTGTTTTTTTCTTCTTCTTCTGTGACCTGGCTCGAGCTCGGAAGCCTAGGTCGGCTCTTGCAAATACTTGTCTTCAGCCTTTGGAGAAAGGGATGAGAAAACCTTTTCAGCATTTGTAATAGAGCAATTGGATCATTCCCTGCATGATGTTACTTCATGTCGTTCAAGCTTGCGGGGACATCATAAACAGTGGCATGGGGTAGGCTGTTCAAGGTGGAATCTTGAGTATTCCAGCAGTCAGTTACATGGAAATTTTCTACTTTCACTAAACCCATCTCTTGCTTATGATTGATCACATCCCTGTGTTGAATCGTTGCTGGAGTAGGTAGGTCGCGCACTTTCGCACTGGAGAGCAGAACCTACACACACGCAGAGTCCGAGTGCCCTAGTATCTTCCTAGCTCTTTCTTTCCCTTCGAAAGTCACACCCTTCTAGCGCCCGGAGGGACACCCGACCCCCTCCCCCGCGCTCACGCTTCGGCTTCGCAGAATCATTGCTCCGGTGGCTTGGAAGGGAGCGACCTTAAGATCAAAGGAAAGATCTGATATAAACTATCGGCGCATGCATATATCAAGCCCTGCTTTGTAAGGAAGTAAAGTACTCGGAACTCCATACACGCTGTGTCTCTTAAGATTCCCGGGTCAATAGGTGCATAGCATAGGGAAGCTGATCAGACCTCGGTGAGACGTTTTTTTTTTTTTTTTACAATCATGCACGGACAAACTTCGGTGAAATGTGTGGGCACCTTTAGCGAAGAGGTAGTAACTCGGTACCGGGTATTGCGTCGGGATGTTATAGGGCAGTGGGGATGTGGGGATGGTTGAGCGTGCGGTCCCAAATACCAGATTTTATCCTTGCGCAAATGAAATTAACTTAGCGAAAAACTCACTTGCTAACTACAGCCTACAGCATCTACATGTAGTAACATCAAAAGATCTGGCCTACATAATTAGGGTTCCGGAGCGCTGACTTCCGGTACTACATGTACTTGCATACCTACTCAACAGCATACTCCACATCTATCGGTTTGTGTGTAATCTACGTATGTACCTACACATACGATTATTCGGAAACTAAAGACTGGTATGAGGGAAATATATTAAATGCTAGGCCACGTGCCTAATACCTACTCCTGGGCAAGAGCAGTTATTTCTAGGGAGAAAAAAGGGTACGGCGGCTCTCTAGATTGTTGTTTTCCCCTTTGCCACATACTCAGCTCATCGTGGATACTGTATAGCAACTGGGGCTGGTGATAATATTGTACAATGTAGTTGTGGTATGATATCGCGATATCGGTTTAGGGGCCGAGGTTGACAATGTTACCGACGGGTACGGGTCATTTTTGGACAAGTGCGTCTGCTATGGACCTGGTAAACGAGGTGCTGGACCTGGTAAAACCATTATAATTCGACACTTCAATTACACGACGATTTTAATTCCATAGTGTCCCCCAAAAAAACCCCTCTACAGAGGTTTCACCTTCGTGATCATGTATAATTGTTTGGGAACCGCATTGTTTCCTTACCATGGTTAAAACCACATCTACTAAATCTTTACCAATGTGGTAAAGCAGCTTACCGTTTATTTACACCCTGGCAACCCTGCCCCACACTTGGCAGGGAATATCTTTTCCCCGGAAAAAGTCGTTTAAACACCTTAGGTACATCCTCCAGTCAATAGCCATGTGAGGGGAACAGGAAAACACCATGTTCTGGGTCACCGGCATCCTGCGGAGCGATGACCGTTGCCTTCTCTGGCATTGCACTGCGAAGATCTAACACTTAGTCAGGAAGTTTCTCCGAACTCAGGGCAAAAATAGGTAGTTGGGTTTTGTGCCTGTACTACCATCTAGGTGCCTACATAACCGGCAACCTTCCCGCCCCTGCAACTACTCAACTCCACGTTATGGTCAAGGTTCTTCCCCAGGTCCCAGCTGAGATACCTGTGTAACGAGCGAACTCAAAAACGCGAATTGCGGGGACTCCACAGGTTTTGACCCCCCGGGGAGTGTAGGGAGAGTATCCGAGCGTATGTATTAACTTTCCTTCACTACATCTTGTATTTGTGTAGGTCACGACCCCACGCGGTGCACTGCAAGGAAACTAGTTTATCACTTTCGTATGCCCACTTTCGTGTGATGACTCCATGTTCCCGCGATTAGAAATCCCCTCCTCGAGATGATCGTGATGACGTTGATCTTTCTCTTTCATCGACACAGGCAGAAATGACCGCCTTTCTAATTTTTGAGAAGATCACCTAGTGTCACTCAGTCGTACATAGCGACTTCTCAGAAGTTATAAAGCTCGTCGGGTTTCACCTCTTTTCACCTCCCTCTTCTATCCTCACAGCAAACCTTGGGCTTTCAGTCTTATACAGCTTGGAAAACATTTAGTTGTCTACCAAACCCTTCAATTCCCAACAGATATGTCGAGCTCCAAGCTATCGGCAGCGGCATTTTTGCTGTTGCTCTCCCCCATCGGTGCTTTTGGGTACACGAAGAACTACACTGGCGATGGTGCTCCAATTGCTCCTTTGAGCCCTCCTTATTTCCCATCTCCTGTTACTTCTGGAGCTGGCGATTGGGCGGATGCCTATGTCAAGGCGCGGAACTTTGTTGATCAACTGACTCTCTTGGAGAAAGGTATGTCATTAATTCTGTGTCATCTTTATGATTGACACAACCATTACCTTGATTTTAGTTTCAACCGTACTAATAGGAACTACTAGTCAATCTCACCACCGGCACCGGCTGGGGCCAAGACCACTGTGTCGGAAACGTCGGCACAATCCCTCGTCTCAACTTCCCCTCCCTATGTCTTCAGGACTCCCCGCTCGGTGTTCGTATGGGAACATACGCTTCCGCGTTCTCTTCGGGCATGAACGTTGCAGCAACATGGGACCGCGGTCTCATGTACAAGCGTGGATACGATATGGGCGCGGAGTTCAAGGGAAAGGGTGCCAATATCGCCCTTGGACCTGTTGCGGGTCCTCTTGGAAGACATTCTGAGGGCGGCCGTAACTGGGAGGGGTTCTCAGTGGACCCTTGGTTGACGGGTGTTGGTATGTGGGAGACTGTTAAGGGAATGCAGGATGCGGGAGTCATTGCTACCGCGAAGCACTTTATCGGTATGTACTTCTATTCCCCTCTCTGTTTCGGTCACCCGGGTTTTTGAGGGCTGAGCTAACTTGAGGATGATGATAGGTAATGAGCAGGAACACTTCCGTCAATCCGGTGAATCAAACAGCTTTGGAACTCACGAGCCGGTCCTGCAAGCAATCTCCTCCAACATTGATGACCGTACCATGCACGAGATGTACCTCTGGCCCTTCGCAGATGCCGTTCGTGCCGGCGTTGGTGCTATCATGTGCTCATACCAGCAGATCAACAACTCCTACGGCTGCCAGAACTCGCACCTCCTCAATGGTCTGCTCAAGGATGAGCTCAAATTCGAGGGATTTGTCATGAGCGATTGGGGTGCGCACCACTCTGGTGTTGACTCTGGTTTGGCAGGACTGGATATGAGCATGCCCGGCGACTACACCTTTGGCTCTGGAACCTCATGGTGGGGCGGAAACCTCACTACCGCTGTGCTTAACGGATCCTTCCCCGAATGGAGACTCGATGATATGGCAACCCGCATCATGGCCGCCTACTTCAAAGTTGGCCAGGACCCCGAGACTTACCCCGAGACCAACTTCGATTCATGGACCACCAGCGATTACGGATACCTCCACAATCAAGTCCAGCTTGGATGGGGTCTCGTCAACAAGCACGTCAACGTCATGGGCGACCACCACATCGGTATCCGCGAAGTTGGCGCCAAGTCCACTGTCCTCTTGAAGAACGTCGACGGAGTCCTCCCTCTCGGCGGCCAGCGCCAGATTGGCATCTTCGGATCGGACGCCGGCGAGTCTCCACTGGGCCCCAACGGCTGCTCCGACCGCAGCTGCAACAAGGGCACTCTTGCCATGGGCTGGGGATCAGGTACCGCAAACTTCCCATACCTGATCACACCGCTCGAAGCGATCAAGGCCCGCGCCATCCAGGACGGCACTGTCGTCCAATCCGTCCTTGACGACTACGCATACGCGCAGATCAACTCCACCGCCCTGCAGGCCTCTGTCTGTCTCGCATTTGTCAACTCCGACGCCGGTGAAGGCTACGTCTCCGTTGACGGCAACGAGGGCGACCGCAACAACCTCACGCTCTGGAACAACGGCGAGACGCTCATCGCCAACGTCGCCGCAAACTGTAACAACACCGTCGTCATCATCCACGCCGCCGGCACCGTCCTCGTCGAGTCCTTTGTCGACCACCCCAACGTCACCGCCATCATCTGGGCCGGCCTGCCCGGGCAGGAGTCCGGCAACGCCCTCGTCGACGTTCTCTACGGCGCCGTCAACCCGTCCGGAAAGCTCCCCTTCACCATGGCCAAGACACGCGAAGACTACGGCACCGACATCCTCTACGAGCCCAACGGCCTCATCCCGCAGGAGAACTTCACCGAGGGCCTCTTCCTCGACTACCGCCACTTCGACAAGGCCAGTATCGAGCCGCGCTACGAGTTCGGCTTCGGTCTCAGCTACACAACCTTCGCCTACTCCAACCTCACCATCAAGAAGGTTAGCAACAGCACCTACACGCCCATGACCGGCTTCACCGCGGGCATCCCAGAGAGCAACAAGACCCTCGGCTCACCGTCCGACTACACCTTCCCCGAGGGTCTCGTAAAGGCCTCCAAGTTCATCTACCCATACCTCGACAACGCTACCGCCATCCCATCGGACTCCACCTACGAGGCACCCGAAGGCGCATACGACACCTCCCCGCAGCCTATCCCGGCGGCCGGTGGCGCACCCGGCGGTAACCCATCGCTCTACGACGTCATCTACGAGGTCTCTGCAACCATCAGCAACACCGGCTCGCGCGGCGGTGAGGAGGTCGCTCAGCTGTATATCAGCACTGGACTCGAGGACGACCCGGTTAACGTCCTGAGGGGCTTTGAGAAGGTCAGCATTCCCGTGGGTCAGAGCACTACGGTTACCATGCACCTGAACAACAGGGATCTGGCTAGGTGGGACACCGTGAAGGGCGATTGGGTCGTGCTGGACATCGAGAGGACTGTGAAGGTGGGCAGCTCGAGTCGCAAGTTGCCTTTGAGCGCTACTTTGGCTTAGAGGGGTTGTGCAGTGTGGTGTGGTGTGAGAAGGTGAAAAAGCGGTACGAGTGATGTGGTGTGATGCGGGGTGTTTTCGTTCGTCTCTACATACCATTCTTTTCTTTTCTTTTCTTTCTTCCTTTCTGTCTGTTTTTGATTTGTATATACCTTTTTGTTTCTTCTTCTCTTTCTTTTTGGTGATGCTTATGATGATGACGATGATGACATTATATGTATGGGTTACGCGACGACCAAAAATGAACTGTACAGATGATCAGAATTTTTGCTTCCTTCCTTCCTGGTCCTTCTCTTTCCCGTGAACATATATCATCCTTCTTTAAATCGACCTTCGTACCCGCTTGCCTTCTTATGGGAGCCGGCATGCAGACCGCTGCCAAGACCTCCCGAGTGATAAACCATGACCGCGACTCCGGCCAAGAAAATGGATACATCCTCCTTCCACCGCGGATGTCGCGCAAGTGTAGTAAAGAACCTGCATCATCACGGCTCCCGACAGACTTACCACTCAGCAATGATCAGCAGGGGGTGTTTTCGACACCGTTTTCATATCGTGCCCGATACTTTACAGCAAGGTAGTCAAAAGCAAACTTGTTTCTCTCGACAGGAAATGTGAGAACGACAGAGGATTCGGAATCACAAGAGTTTCTAGATGAAATTTGTGCCCCGAAATACCTATTAGGGAGATATTTTGACCTCGTTTTCAAAACTGGTCCGAGGGTTTATAGCGTGAGGGGGTCGATGAATCTCGGCTTCCGGACATGTTCTACCCTCTTAACGCTAGACAGTTAGGGTGGGATACCAATTCAATGCATTTAGATCCTGTCACAGATCAGATAGTTATAGTTCAGGGAGGTTGCCCGACCTGTTTCATAACATAGTTCCAATTGGTCAAATGGACATAAAACGAATAAACAAATCAACCCTAACCCACTCACGTATATATCCACCTTCCAAACCACTAACTCTCAAAATTACCTAACCAAAAAAAACACAACCCCCAAAACAACTAAAACCTATCGACAAATCTCAACATCACCTTCCCCCCAACACGCAACGTAAAACCTGTTCTGCTCATCTCCAACACTTTTCTCGCCCTGAGACTCATCTCCTTCACCGTCTCGCCCGGCTTCTGGGGCGCCAGCTCAATCCTACAGTTTCGTAAAACCTCCGACAGCACGGCTGCATACTCTGCTTCTGCAAATCGCCTACCGAGGCATCTTCTCGTCCCACGACTGAAGCCAATGAAGCACCCCTCTACCGGCTCCGGGCGTAGGGACTTTCCGTTGTCGGCGAGCCACCGCTCGGGACGGAACTCGCCGGCGTCGGCTCCCCATACTTTTGGGTTACGGTGCAGTGCGCAGGCGGAGAGCGCGATCAATGTGTGGGGCGGGAGGACGAAGGTGCTGTTTTTGTAGCTGAGGATTTGAGGCCTGTCCTCGACACACTTCGGGATCATGGGTACTGCGGGGAAGAGGCGCAGTGTCTCCATCTGCGTATCAAGAGAGTCAGATCTAGTTTCTGGTTTGGAATATGGCTTGTATTTAAGGAACCCACCAGGACACATGAAAGTCTGATCAGCTTAGGGAACACGTTCTGGTATTTCCACCCCTCATTCAGCTGCCCGTACTCGACCGCAAGCTGGTCCAGCTCCTCCATGACCCAGAGCTGCACTTTTGGATAGAGGGCAAGCAGAACCATGGAGAAGTGCATGGTTTCCGCCGATGTTGTTGAGGCAGCGAATGCTAATGCGAACATGTTTCCAGCCACGTCGCTACGTGATAACTGGTCTTCTGTTGGTACAGTGCCTGGCGGCGCCAGTACTTTCAATAGGCCGTCCAATATACCGGCTTTGGCAGAGGACTCGGGCTTATCCTTCGCGTTTATGTGGAGGTCCAGAATGTTTTTCATATATAAATTCACATGATTCATCGCCTTTGATAGGTGACCAATACCCGGCACGTACGGCATCACCAATTGTGGAAAAATCATCACAAAGAGAAGACCTGCATTGATGACTTCCATAGAGCGGGCAAATTCAGACAGTGCCAGCGCTTCTGGAGATTTCCCTGTTCTCAATGATAAAGAAACACCAAACACTATATATTGCCGTTAGAACATATGCCTTGAGCCTTCTTTTGATTTTGACTTACCGGCAGCCATAACGACGCGGTTAGCCAACGTTCCTAGGTCTCTGGATTCACGCGAGGTATATGGCGCTTTAATAGGCGTATCTGCACCTTCTAGATGCTTCCATTCCGAGAGCATTTCCCTTCCTATAATGGTTGCTTGGTCCCAGACGAATGCGTGAATGGCATCAGTGTACTGCGGCGTAACAGCACGGCGATGCCTTTTCCAGGTCTCGCCTTCGGTCTGTTTATTAAAACTTAGTATCTGTTCTCTATAAGCACTTTCAAAAGATCAAATACCTCGACGATGTTGCGGCCAAGTATACGTAACGGCACTTAAAAGCAAAGTAACAATCAGCATATAGTTATATAATGAAAAATCGAGAATCAATTTAGCCACAGACGATATGTATCAAAATCCTTAACAAAGTCCATGCGTCTATCCGTTATCTGAGCACACACATGCGGGTCCGCCACCTCCAGGACTAGGGACCCTGGGGACACGACTAGGAACACATCCCCTAGCACACGATGGTTTTCATATCCTGCTTTGAACCGCCAGCTACGGTAGATACCCGCATAGTCACTGGGGTCCAGTATTGTCGCGAGCCAGTCTGACAGGTAGTCTATCAAGTAATCAAGAATGGGCATCCACAGCAGATAGGCGAGGACTCCTTCGTAAAGTGGTCTACAGGTATATGGAAGGCCGGTCTTTTTTGCTGCCTGTAGACTGCGTCGGAGCAGGGTGAACCAACGGGCCAGGAAGAGCGCGACGAGGCAACTGAAGATGGTTAAAAGCCCCATCTCTGCGGTTGTTGTTGTTGTTGTTCTGCTGAGCTATAGCCCGATGTTCTTGGTATTTAAGAGTGTATGAAAGTGCTGTTGTTGCTGACGTCTGCTCGGAGTTTTGCTATTGCATGACATAGATACTATTAACACAACGCGCCAAGTCCATGATGCCGGTGATCAGTCCCGGGGTATACCGCATTAATTCGAATGAGACGTTGGAATTCCCGTGTTTGGTTATTTGTCTTGAATACGCCCCCTAATCTTCCTTATACTAGCTTCAAAAGGCAACTTCGACGTCTTGTGTGACCGGCCGCTCGTTCGAATTAATGCAGTATGTAGGTACCTCATGACTTACATCAAGAAGATCATGTTCTGCCTGTAACAAGACCTGAGACAAAAGCCAGCAGAGCAACCAAACCCACCATGATTGATCTAGTGTGGTCCACGGGCCTCGACGCTCGAATACTGGCCTCAAGGCCTCTGCCTCGAGGGAGCTCAAGGCATGGGGGTGGACGAGGCGAGCATGCTCGAGGCAAATCAATTTGCTCGCCTCGAGCTATTCGAGGTTTAGGTAATCATGTATTAGTTGCATATATTCAGTGGGACTGGTGTTTCTGATAGGGATATTGGAAGTACTCCTTACATTTTAATGGCGCCAGTATTCCAATAAAATATGGTTTTGGTGAATATAAATATAGGAATTATCTTCCTCGAGCTAGCTCGAGCACCTCGAGACACCACCTATTTCTCACGAGCAAGCAAAGGCATGGACCACATGAGGCAGAAGCGCCTCGAGGCACTTGTATCTGCGTGCCTCGAGCAGCCTCGTGGACCACACCAGATTGATCTTACCGCCAAAGAACTCCGTAGATCTAAATGTCGTCATCGAAAGCTTCTCGCCAGAAAGTTATCACAATGAAGAATTTTAAGAGAAGACACTCATTCCCATCTGAAACCGTCAGTATACCTAGACAATATATCTGTTCTTTATATATTCCCAAAAGCCAGATCTAGATATTTGGACCATCAATGTTCACAGCCAATCACTCGCCGTCCCACCCCGGTATAGCGGTGCATACTTGGGCCAAGCTAGTCCGTATTTGGAACAGTTATATCTGGCTACACAGCCCAACAAGCTATCCACAAGGCTTAATTAACATTCTTTCAATGGCGTTCAAATCATACGTTCTACAGCTCTCCCGCAGGCTTGTCATACTCTACTCAATTGATCAATCCAAGATAGTCAAGCAACTGCCATCTAGAAATTCGAAAGCGTCCAGACATATAAGGGTGTTGTTACTCTACTATCTTAATACGAACACGAACACATCCTTGATCTCCCACCTAACGCCATTCCTTCTAGAGTCCAGTCCCACCATGGTACCATCTTTTCCAGATCACCAGTTCTCGTTCGATCTTGTCAGGTACACATGCACATTCTAACTAAGACCGCGTCCTAGCGCGGATTAGGTAATAGGGGTAAATAAGCTATCCACCCATTACCAATCCCGGGAGTCTACTATTTTGCAGTGCGCGTGCCGGATTTCCATGATAGAGAGCTCTCAATTGGGGATTCGAGAGCTGGAACTGAGAATTGAGATGTTCTTTCCAATGGCCATAACCTCCCAAAAAAAATACATTGCTCCTCCATCCCACTGCACCCAAATACATAGCTAGCTAGCTACTCTAGTACGAGCAGTACCAACAGCTCAACACCCCTACAAGGATCCCCCTAGGCCTAACCACCACGTCCGGCCAATTGCACCACACCCGGAGCACCCGCAGCCGCATATCAGCCCACGGATTGTCAGCAGTGCCTAACCCACGCCGCTTACTGTCTTGGCCTCCCACCGCATATAACACCTCACTACCTCCCACACTCAATCCTCACACCTCCACCTCTCGCCTCCCACAACCCCACAACCTCCCACACACAGCAAACACGCACAATGGAACTCACAACAACACAAACCATCCTCGCCGTCGCCGCCGCCGGCATCTCGTACGTGTTGCTCTGCTACTCCATCAACAGCACAATGATGGGCCGCTTCCTGGACAAGAACCCGACGAAGTTTACGACGGTGAAGCCAGTGATGAATAAATAGACCAACACTCACTTTTTTCTCTCGCTTTTTCGCTTTTTAGTTTGTTGGAGGTGGTTATGGGGGGAGGGGAGTTGAAGGGAGGAGGGCGGAGGGCGGAGGGGGGAATACTGGGGGGCGGGCTTAATTAATAATGTATTTTGCGCTTTGGACGATAACGTACCGCGGAAACGGTTTCGGCGTAATGTAGGCACTTACTACCCACGCGGCCTACCTATATACACGTAGCTAACCATGTAGCTTTGTTACAGCTCCTCAAACAAACAACGGATGGACAACGGATGGACAATCGGGGAGGAGGCGGGGGGGAATAGGATCACGGAGTAATATAGATATATACCTTGGGGAGGCCGGTGTAATACAACATTTTTTCCCGAACAATCAAGTATTGTGAACGCGAATAATTGCCGCATCGTTCTCGGGAACAAAACAAGCGGGAGTCCACCGCGCCGATCTGAGCCCCTGCCGTACAGAAACGAAACCAGGGGACGAGTACCAAACGTGAGCTGTAGGTATTCGGAGCCGCGAGGGGGGTTAGAGTTGGGTGTAAAATATCCCTAAGGTTTGGTTTTAATCGTCTCTCTTCTGGTGAGGTTTTCGTATGTAGCTGCCCAGAGCCCAGGGAGGGCTACTATCTTGAAAATTCAACTCGATCAAAGCACTACTCTTGAACGTTTTTATTCTGAGTGAAAAGCTTGTAGATGTGCTGCCGTGACTGGAGTGATAAGCTCCTCCCATATTGCCGAGTGCTCTCTAATAAATAATGACGAGATAGAGTATGCACATAATTGTCCAATACCGAAATAAGCCAAGAAATACATCACCCCAAAGCTTTGACCAAATCTTTAACCAACTTCCGCAAAAATTTACACACCAGGGTTAGGGTTGAATCCCAATACATATATAGATAGGTGTTCGGCCTTATCCAAATAACATTACATCTTCAGCCTTAATTTTATAAGTGCAGTCGGTGCTGGTATGATTCGGAATTCTTGTGACATGGTTCTTATTTGTGTTGGAGCTTAATGAACGGGGGTTAATGGACTCTAATATACAAATTGTAGCGAATTATATGTAGTTATATATGCTCATCTGCATTCATGTTCCCAAATATTAGCATTTCAAGGCCCATCAACATGACAGCATTGCCAGCTATGATTCTATCCGCATAGCTACCCAGGCCTCATATATAACAATGCCTAGATATCAACCTTCATCCGACAGGCAGCATACTGAACATCATAGACCCCACCCAATTCTACAATATACGGTATCTTTCAGAGGCCACCCCCGTCTGCTTACGTCTACCAAGGAAGATAGTTACCAGACCAAAAGCTAACCAGACAGGATTTCTTGATATAGGTCTTACAAATTACTACTTCCACCACCCCTAGGCGCAGCAGACTGCCGCTAGCGGCACCAATTTACGACCGGTAGTTAGTGTCGGCGGTGTCGGCGGTGTCGGTAGTCGCTATGGCAACCTGGGAAGTGGGAGCGGCTACGGCTAGCTCTCCGCTGTCCGCTGCTAACTGAAGATCGACCGGCCGGTAGTGTAGGTGGTTACTATAGTAACCCGAGTGGGGGCTATAGCAACCCTGTATCTGCGGTCCGGACATGGGCAGTACTAGTACTTCCTGCAGGGGCCGGAATGGCCGTTACTGCTGGTATTCGGCGGGCTAATGAAGGGCCGGCTCTCTTCAAGGGTGCTGGTGAGATAGAGGCCGGCAGGCTTGTACGCAGGCCTGAATAGAGCCGAAAGATCAGGAAATCTACCGAATGGTCCCAAGAGACGTATAACTACGTACCTAACAGACCTCACCAGCCCGGAAACCTATGGAGGAACTACATACTCAGAAGCCAAAAAGAAGCAAGACAGAGAACGGCCCAAACGGTCAAATTCATATCTCGTTCAAGAAACAAGGTCCACAAATCACTACAAGTGAAGTAGAACTCCATAAACAATGGCCAAAATAAACGCGCGCCAAAAGACCTAAAATCGAAAGGGACTCCTTAAAGAAGCTAAACAGAATTAAGCCAAGATAAAGAAGAGGCCACAGGCCAAGAAGAAGAAGAGCCACCCGCGAGCCAAAAAAACGTATGAAGAAGCTGTAAGCAGGCAAAAGAAACCTCGCGGGTCTAGGCCCCGTGTATTCCCTCCTCGTTATCAGAGACCAGACGTTGCGAAGAGAAAGAACATAGGCCAGTGTTGACCTTATGCCTTGAGCCTACAGAGACTAAATAATCTAGGCTACTGTATGATACAAATGGGGGATGGAGATAGATATATATACGGATGGGAGTATAGACGACAACATTGAAGAGATATAGTGAGGTGATAGACCTTAATAAATGATATGGGGTGGACGAAGCCAACCCAATTTCAAACGCAGAATGATGGAGGACGACTTTCAAAACCAGGAGGTAAAGAGTGGTGTGGGGATTATGGGTCTTTATAGCTTTCGTAGACGACCGTAGGAGGAGGATAACATGCAGTGCATGTGGCTGTGGGGTAGAGATTTGGGTGTGCGGGTGTGTAGGAGCTCTGGTGAGTGTTGGTAGACGGCTAGGTGAGTAGGTAAATAACTGCATATCATGGAGAACTTATACATATGGGGTTGAAACCTCCTGTCTAAATTCAAATGACAGCCAACTACTCAGCGGCCCCACAGAAATTTCGAAGGACAAATAGCACCAGCTCCAACAAGGCATCCCCAACATCGCAATCACACAATATTCCAAACCACTGTCAGAAACTCCAGTTGTATGGATCGAGCAGCGTCAAGTAATAACGGTTCCCGGATTAATGGATTGAACAAAAAAAAAAAAAATAACGATTCCCACCACCGGCCAACAACCAAAGCAACCGAGTGACACCTTATGATTTCACTTCCACGTGATCATAGTTGGCTAGGGTTAGACTACAGCCGCCTCCCGATATAAGGATACGGCCGGGGCCGAAAATCTGTGTTGAATATATTTTATAAGGCGAGTATCACTATAAGGAGTAAGGAGATACTGGTAAAAAGGTATTTCGGGACCACCGATTGCTATCATTATAACGAGAGTATCACTATATGAAGTATCACTATAGCGAGAGTCGACTGTACATGTACTGCCCAGCTCCCGCGGCCCTGCCGGAGAATTGAAATTGAAGTTATTTTTTTTCTCTTTACCCCCGCGGAGCTGGCTTCATCTGCAATGAGAAAATTTTCCCTTATGACACGAACTAACCTCCCGCACCCAAGGGTTTAAATTTTAAGGCTTGGAGCAGGCACCAGTGGGCTGGGTCATGGACTAAAGTAGCTGGAGTCACTATACCCCCGGCAAGTTCTATATGGAATTGACATGGTAGCGTCACTTCCCATCACTCGCTGTTTCCATAATCCGGGGTGTTGCAAAGAAAAATGCCAAGACGATTTATGCCCCCGATTCGCTGCATATCTCTTTTAACGCCGCAAGGGTGCTTTCCGGGGCTCCTCCACACATACTTTATGTATATTATACAAGCTTCTTGCTAGCTAGCTGGCAATCGGACAACAGTACCCTGGGGTTGAATGTTTTGTTTGGGACGATGATCGATCTTTTGGCTTTTTGGTTTTAGTTTGGTGTGGGGAGGTGCATTAAATAGCCCTAACCCTAGGCCTAGGTGGATTGTTGGTTGGTAATGTGATGGGAAGATTTGGGGGATTAGTATTGTAGGATTCATATGTAGATTTGTATGCAGAGGAGGAGGGGAAAGCTTATAGTTAACTGCCGGAAGTGCATAGTGATAACTAACTATTTAAACATTTACCTACATCTAGAGATATATAGTAGGGGGAAATGACAAGCATTCCCCGATACTAACTTCGCTCTATCATGATATATACATCTAGAAGTGGCAGTACCATAAATTTCCTAGACATAGATCTCAGACCTCGACGTCAGTAGAACAGGTTTCGTCCTTAACTTGGGATGCGATTTGAGATTACTACTGTCTACCGGGTTCCAAGATCCCATACGTAAAAGTACGGGGAAGCGTGCATGAAGAGCAGGCAGCTGAAAGTGAATAGAGTTATGTGCATGCAATATCCCTGAAGATCGAGCCCATTATGATGCTCTAGCTACATGTAGGGAGAATCATAAATAAATAAACCGATCCTCTATGAAGACAAGGGTTAACTCAAACCTAACCCTGGCATATACAGAAGGTTACCAAGCCAAGCCGATATAAGATAGTTCCATGTTCAGGTTTTCAATTAATTAGTTGGTTAGCTTTTTAAAAAAAACCGGAGAGTATGGCATCGAATCTGTATTAGTGTATGTTCCCAATACGAGGCCTCGAAGACACGGTCAATGATCGAATGTCCACCGGACATTCCACAAACAGAGCGATATCTGTCCACTCCCTCTGGCCAGCAAAGTCCGAAAATTTGCAATGTCGCCGTGCCCAATCAAAGGGCCAGCAAGTCAGCGTTCGCATCGAGCACATCCCAAAGCCCATGGAGCCATGTGTTAGTAATTCCCAGCTCCCCCTCAACGTAACGTAACAAACCTAACAAAGCTCAATCCGCTCCCCTACTTGAAACTCTGTCGACAACCTAAGCAGGCAGTACTCGGCCCAATTGATCGGGCAGCAGAATACAGGCTATATTCCCGGCTCTCGGTCAACTGTCGTCGTATCAGAACACCGTATCAAAAAAGTAAACTTGTCGACCGAAAAGTTCACCCCCATCCTCTCTACATTGCGAGTCTACACCCGCCAAGGGGCCCGTGCTAGTTATGTGACAGTGCCACATTGACTCCGATCATGAATCGGAACATTTCTCTCGATCATTTTTTTGGTACCGGCCAGCCTTAGAGAAAGAGAAAAGAAAAGATCTCTCCTACCTCCCCGCCAACGACGGCGATATCACACTTCTCTCTCAGCCGCCCCGGGCCAAGTCCCGTGTGGAACGTAAACCTCCAACGCCGGACGGAACACACGTCCGATCCAAGCAAAGCAGAGCTTTGACGTAGACGTCGACGTCGTTTTAATCGCGCGTGCTCGCTCACAAGGAAACCAGTGCAGTCCGTAACAAAAAGCGGGCCGCACCCTGCGGTTCCGATTGGAGAGTCAGCTTTACCAGGTAAAGGAAAACAAAAAAAAGTTCAACCCCGCACTCGTGGGAGAAAAAAAAAACCTGGAGCCTCGTTGGCAAGTAGTGGGGAACATGTAGGGCGCAAGGTGAGAGGTGAAAGGTGAGAGAGAAATGAAATGTGAATAGTTAATAGTATTATTAAATTGGATTGGAGTTTTCAGAAGGTCCGAGGAGGAATTATTGGATAGCCAGGGTCCTGACAACAGTATAGTGTAGATATGTGGTAGGATATGAGTACGATAGCGACCATACTGTACTGCACACATTATGATCATGTAGGGACGTCGCCTGGATGTAAATACTTCTAGGACAGTCAATACGTACGTATGCACTCAGCTCCCTTCTGTCTCTCCCTCGTGATCTTTTCAACATTTTTTATTTTTATTCCGAGACCGCAACGATCGTGGAGCGCCAGATGCTTGTCTCACATCAAGATCTCCCTTCCTCCCTCACACAGAGGAGGGTCCGCCTACTCATTTACTCTACTCCAGATAGGTAAAGTGGAGTACAAGTGCATGAGACTACATTAGCGAACCTGCGCTGGGGCCAGTTCGGCGGTGCCCGTGGGGGTACTCTCAATTGAATGAATGTAGATCTCACCGCCCAGCCAGGAGAAATACGTACGCCTGGGACTGGGCAGTAGTAAACCCCGATATCGCCCTATCTGCGATTCAATTTCATAGAATTCGCATGCAGCGCAGGCGTTACTATGTAATGCCGTGTCAGTTGAGGTGCCCCACCTCAAAGCATCACACCTTGCCTTAACAACCAAGCTGTAGTACTCCCACGACTTGTCCTCGAACCAACCAGCCAGATAGTCAGGTCCTTTGTCAACTCGTCCATCCACTTACAGCTACGAGACCTCCCTCCCACCTTGAGCGAGAAGTCCAGTAAACCAAACCACAAAGCAGAAGTAAAAGAAGAAAAGAAAATCACCATGTCCGGATACGTCAGAATGGGCCGCGGGGGTGCGGGCAACACTTTCACCCAAACCGAACTCGAGAAAAAGGTACAGTAGAGCAACCCCGCCATTAGCTACATACATGTAGCTAGCTAGAGTAGTACCCTACTGCAGGCAGACAGGCGGAGCAGATGAATATCCAATTCAACGGACTAACAAATATGTAGGAGGAGGATATCGAGGCCCAAGAGCCCAAAACTGCGCATAACGACGTTGGCGTCGAAGAGACATCCCCGCCTGGTCCTCCGGCAGGGTACAAGCACATGTAAGTAGAGCCGACCGAGTACATAACTCCCCAGGCCGGCCTTCCTTAAATTCCCTTTTGTTTTTTGCCAGCTAGCCAGCTGTCCGCAATATTTGCTTTACTTTGGCTAGCGGCTGCTTACAATCCGCAGGGGCCGCGGCGGCGCCGGTAACTGGTTCGTTCCCTCAGAACTCGCCGGCGGCGTTCTCTCCGACCAATCTGAAGCGCCAACGCCCGAGCCGCCGGCCGAGCATGCTCAGTCCGTACGGATATGGCGAGGTCGGGGTGGCGCGGGAAACTATGCTGCTGATGCACCGCAACAAATTGAGGGTGTCGAGAAGGCGGAGGCGGAGTGGGCAAAGGCCGAAGAAGCGAAAGTTAAGGCGGATGTGGAGCAGACGTTACAGAAGCCCAGGCAGGCGCACATGAAGAATGGGGAGAAAGCAGACCCTGAGCTTGGGTGGAGGGAGGCAGGGTTGTAGAGTGGGACGGAGGGGGGGGTCTCTAATTAACCCCAATTGTGTGATAGCGGACTTTTTTTTTTGTTCGTGAACTTCTTTACAGTGTCGAATTGACTGGGCGATTGTGCCTTTTATTGTTTCTTAAGATTTTCTTTCCCCTTAACTCTCTTCTCGTGATATACGGCAATAGAGGATTTTCCTTGAGAATTAAGGAACGTTCCCCCGTGTTTCAGAGAAACTTTGAAGTCTCTTTTTTTTGTATTCAAGGTTTCAAAGTAATGTACCACGACTGTGCCAATACCGGAAGAAATCACATCAATTCCACATCCATGAGTTCAATCACTCTCTAGCTCGGCCCTAAGACACCGCTGATAGATATTTGCTTTGTCACAGTAATTTACAAATCCCCAGCCCTAGAGGCTTTTGCAGCGCATTATCGTGTCCGGGACGTCAACGTGTACCAGTTCCATCCCCTTCCACACCCCTCGAGTCATATTGAAGGAATTAAAGCCACATCACAGCTCTAGACCCTTTAAAACCAAATCGTATCATATATGTCGAGTCTATCCATCCCATCTAGCAGTGGCATGGTGCCGCCTGTGTCGGACTTCTCATCACCAGACATAAACCATCTCCAGGACCGGGGGAGAAGAAAAATAAAATTTTAAGCTGTTGTTTACTCACATCATCTCGCCATAAAAAACTTTTTATCTATCTCCCACGGGTAATCTTGCTGATCATACAGGGCAGAGCAGGCAATCGCTACGCTGCATGATGCATGTACTTGACATGGATAATCGTAGGCTGGCTGCCTGCATGCGGGGGTGGAAACGATTCTGAACCGCACCGGCAGTGGGTTGGGTTGTGTAAGTCTCACTCATGATCAACTCAGGCAACATTTTTTTCTTCATCAGAATACACAAAAAAAATGTTTCGTTTCATCCGTCGAGATTGAAGATCTGCCCTTTGGTTTACTTGCTCCAGCTTAGTTCTCCAGATTGTGCAATTGATGTGCGTCCGTTTGAGATTGTTTATCTATGATGGTTTTGTTTTACCCCCGCCGGCACCGGGAATATGATGTTTTGCTGTTTACCCATAAACCTAACCCGACCTTACCCAACCCACCCTACCCATGACATCGTTCCCACTCCGCTACCCAAAAAACAACCCCTCTGCCGTTGCCGGCCGTTTTGACAGCTTGTTTTGCAGCCTTTCCGTCCGTACGTACGTACGTACGTACGGCTAGCTCCTCCGCGCAGCAAGATCTAGATAACTAAGCCCTGTGCTGTGCAGCTTCCGTTCATAAAGTGGGCGCTGATAAAGACCAAAAAAAATACTAAATTGCGACATCCATCATGTCAGAAATAAAAAAAAGTTCGGAAGAATTGGGGATCATCGGTGCACTGTGATATTATTATTCTCCCGGGGACACAGCTAGAGTAGAGTGCAGCATCACACGCAGATAGATAGGTAAAGTTTCCGGTACGGGGCACGAAGGCAGTTTTGTTTGCAATCGTCGGATCTCCCACTCTTGGGTGCTGTGTTAGTGTTAAAGCTAGCTCGTGCGTTGGTTTAAAAAAAAGTATAAGCTTCTGGGATCGTCATAGGCACAGGAACCTGAAGTTTTTTTGTTCATGGAGGCGTTTTCGATTTTCGCTTAGCTAACTAGAGCTCCTGTTCGGGTTGATGTGATGTGATAGACATCTATCGATGTGTTGGTGGGTTTAGGTAAAACACCAGAAGCACGAACCACGAGCCACTCCTAAATCATCGTCCCCCAGGTTCAAAGGTTTTGAGTACCTAGAGTTTGACTGTTACGGAGGAGTATCAATCACCGCCAGAGCACTTCAGGGCCTCTCAATGCTTTGAAATATACGGAACCGGACTGAGCCCCCAAAGATCTTACTGAGAAACACCCCCGGGTGTCTGTCCGTCCCGTACTCAAGAGCAATCAATAGCTTTCCAGGTTCTGTCTTCCAAGCCCCGAAGTCTTGGTTGACTGTGCTAGCTTGGGGGGGGGGGGGTATCTCGTTCCTTCAGAGCCCTTTAATTACCTAGCTGTCAGTTCCGAAGCTGGGTTTCTGCCGGGCTGCACCGATCTACCGGGTTTAATTAGAAAGAAAAGAAAGCGAGCCGAAACGATACGACATGATCACCAGCTAGAGTACGGGTGATCATAAAAGAAAAAAAGATGGGGAAAGCAGAACAAAGGAAAAGAAAGCTTTTTCATTCTTTTTTCCCCCTCTCGTCAGGAAAAAAAAAAAGGGTTGAATGATCGATTGCTCGGATCATCTGATTTGTTCCTGGGAGCAGCAGCAGCAGCAGCAGCAGCAGCAAGCAGCATGAGGGAAAAGGTGGGGTAGGTAAGGTAAGGTAAGTAAGGTAGGTGTCCTCCCTTCGATTCGAGCTGGTTCCTGTTCTCGGCCTTACGTGCATGGGTTGAAGGAAGTGTGTGCACTTTTTTCAAAATTTGAGTCTTTTTTTCTCTGCCTTGTCGTGGGGAAGAGGAACGAAAAGGTTATGGACGAAGTTTGGTTGGAGGACCTGTTTTTTTTTCCTTCAGCCAGCCAGACCAGCCAGGGACGCTCTCCTGTAGGAACCACGGAATTGAGAAGCTTCCGCTTCTCAATTGAACATATGCAGAAGCAGAGCAGGAAAAAAATACCCCCCCCCCCCCCCCAAAGCTCTACCAAGTCCTAGATGGAATTTGAGAAGCTAGGAGCTGGGAAACAAAAAAAATTATCAGCCTCGTGATCGCACAAGATTGAATTTCTGTATGAGTAACCGACCCTTGACGATACGATACGTGAGTGCACCATACCATGCCATGAATAAGAAAAAAAAATTTCTTGGACACAGGCAGAAGTCCAGTCTGACTGGAATCGTGAACGTGTTCGCCGCGCATCCCTCCCTTCTTGGATCCGCATTCGATCTCTTTCTTCACTCATACCGTACCCCGGCTTCCCAGCTCCGTTCATTATCCCATCATCCAGCACCTTTTTCTCCTCCTGCTCTCTCTTCTTCTTTTCTCTCTTCTTGCCATTTTGTTCCTACTCGGTGCACTCACTCACTCGACCAATCTCACTCTCGCTCACTCTACTATTACCTCGGATCTTCTCTTCTTTTCCTTATTGATATTATTATTACTATTCTTCCTGCATTCCTTCCTTCCCTCTCCCTCATTTCCCTCATCACCATCATCAATCCTCATCACTATCATAAAATACATCCCCCCCCATTGCATTGCATCTTCTTCCTTCATCTTCATATAAACAAGACCTCCCATCTAGCTAGGAAGCATCGGACAGACAGACAACCTTCATCCATCCCGACAAGGTTACACAAGGGAATTGAAACACCACGTCCAATTCAACCAGGCGCTTTCCGCTTTGAGCGAACGACGGTTACGTTCTAGGCGTCCGGATCCGATAGTGAATTCTTTGTGGAGGGTCTGAGATTTTTTCTGGATTACTTTTTTTCCAGCTCCTGGGATCCTTCTTCCCCCTTCTTCTATTGCTTCTACACTTCTACTACTGCTACATACATTCGTGCGTACGACAAACAAAATCAATCGACGCGGCACTTATATATATATTTCCATTCTGGCCAGCAGCTTACCTTACCTTACCTTACCGGAATTATCTACTATTGCTACTACAACAACCGAAATCAACGTCGAAAGATAGCTACAGGCAGCTTGTTTTGGGTTTCATCGGCAGGGGTATATTTGCTCAGCTCAGTATTATTTGCGAGTAAGCACCTGGGGGAAGATCACACACACACAAGCACATCGCAACGAGGCAGAAAGAAATAAGGGATAGAAAATAAAAGGAAAGAAAAAAAAATAATAACTCAATAATAAAAAGAGGGCAACCAAAGCAAGCAAGCAAAGATTCACTTCTTCTTGAAAGCTCGCTGCTAGTTACACGAATCCAGGAAGGAAAGGAAAAGCAAAAAACAAGGAGGAGCTCCGCCTAGTCTCGCGCCTAATCCCATTCACCTTTCTTAAAATTAAAAAGCTCGTAGTTGGTTGGAGAAAGCGCAGAAGCCTGGTGACCGGGACCGTCGACCGCAGTGCTCCATGATGGCCTCCACAAAGGTAGCTCCAACCCATCCACCCCCATCTCATCAATCCTGTCTGTCTATCTGCTTCCTACCTGACGCTCCCCCTCCTTCCTTCCCACACACCCACACCCACACCCCCTTAAAAGCATAATAAAAAAAATTCTCTTTACACTCATTTTTTTGCTATTGTTTTTATCATTATTATTATTATCATTGTTGGGAAAGAAAGCTCATCTGATCTGTGACAAAAATTAAAGGATTCGTCGTCTTCCGTATCCCCACGATTTCCATCACGCCTTCCTCCCTCTCCAACAGCAAGTGTCCTCCCTATCAAAACCCCTCACCACAGAACCCACTCGATAGGCTCTGTAAATTCTCACCGCGTAACGCGACGGAAGAGTATGTCATCGACTGCCGGAGCAGCCAACATGGCCGCCGTAGTCCAAGCAGTCAAGGAGGCCGCCGCCGAAATACCATTCTCGCTCCCGGCCCCGACTGGGCTCGCTCAGAGTCCTGGTAAAGCGGGCAAGACACCGGTATTAGGCAATAGCGGATACCCTAGCCCGCCGAGCAGCCTTCCCACTTCAACAGTAGTCCCGGGCCGGACGCTCAGCGGTGGTAACAGCAACAGCAATATAGCATCAGCAGAGGAGAACCTGCAGTTCCCGAGGAAGACAGGGAGTCTGGAAAATGGTAGCGGTGATAGTGCAATTGCTGAGGGATATGGACCAGATGCAATGAAAAGCGCGGGTGGGAGACGTAGAGCGAGTGAGGGTGCACATCTAGTGCTAGGAGGCGCACCCGGGGGCAGCAGGGCGAGGAGTGGGAGCGAACTAAAGTGTGACAAGTGTGGGAAGGGGTATAAACATAGTTCTTGTTTGACGAAACATTTGTTTGTGCTCCCCCTCCATTTCCTCATCCGTGTTGTTTCTGTTATATACTTCTTTGGGTTGGTTCGCAAGAACCGGAATTATTATCATTGCTCTTTGCTGCAATTAATCACTCCTACCCCACACTTGGTTTTTTTACTTTTTTCCTTGGCCTGGTCTGGTCTGGTCCCAACATATACTACCCCCAGCTTTCTTTACATAGTGGATATGCTATTAATGACACTGGGAATTTCTTCTTCGAACAATTGTCCCCCCCCCTTACCCCCATTATTATTGACCTATGCCCAACACAGCACATCACCCGCAAAAACATGAAAAATGAGGTCAATTTTACTTACGCCCTATGATATAGATGGGAACACACGCCTGAATGGTCTTACACCTCTAAGCTCCTAATATCCAAACATCAGCAAGTACAGCTCCTCGAAGCTGCCTCTATCCTTGTTTCCATGAACCCGAGCACCACGCCCCCAGCTTCCAACTCCGGCGCCGACCACGACAGCTCATCATCTTCCTCGGAAGACACCACGCCCCCACCGCACTCAGACATTGGCAGCCCAACCCCACGCGGTATCCGCAACGGCGCCGGCAAACCTGGAAAACGCCTCTCCGGATCATATCCGCGCTCTTCCACCGCCCCGAATGCTACTGGCTTCCCGAGCCATTTCGTGCAGAAGCACACGACGCCGAGGCAGAGAACGAGGATTACGCCCTCGGAAGATGAGGCGCTGGCGTCCGCAATTGAGCTACTAAGTTGCTCGTTTAGGACAATTGGAAGCCCACAGCCATCACTTGTAGTAGGGAGCTTGTTGGGACGGGTAAACGAGGTGAAGAGGGAGGAGGAGGAAGAAGAGGACGAGGGCGATGTGAGCATGGTGGATCTGGAAGAGAGTGGGAGTGAGGTCGGGGGGTGGGGTGGGAGACGTGGGAGCGACGAGGAGGAGGACGGTGTCTTTGGCAGGATGGAGGAATAATGGGTCTTTGGGTGATTGGAGGGGTCGGGGGGTTCCAGTTTTAGGTGCACAAATTGGGTCGGTAACTCGATCAATCTAGGTAGAAATCTCGCATCCTTCGGGACAAAGAGAGTTCCACCCTAATCCTCAAGTCACTGGCCAATTTATCCAGCTAAAACCCTCCCGTGAGGAAAAGTGGGATATACTGCGTATGCATTGTATAAATTTTGAGGTTTGGTTTTTTGGTTGTGGCTTCTTTTGGCCTGACTGCAATTTTTTAGTTGTCGTTGATGTTGGGTCGGTGGACTTTGGGATCGGAGCGGTTTTATTCCCTGCGATTGATTATCTCTTGTCCGTTTTTTCTTCTTTCTTTTTCTTTTGTAGGTACTCTGGGTGGTTTCTTCTTTCTTGTTCCCTGTTTCCTTAACTTTCTTTTTTCCTCTCTCCTTTTTATAACTTTCACGGATGATCCGCGCGCGCCGGACCGTCCGGCGACGACGATAAGGATCGATCTCGATAGCTAGCTATCTAGGGCCCACCCTCTTCTTATTTACGGTCGGTTGGTACCCTACTACTATATTTAAAAATAAAATAAATAAATAAACGAAAGATAAATAACCTTTGTGTTCCTCTGTTTGCATGGGCCCTGATGTCATTGACTGCCAGGAAAAACGAAATCGGGCTGAGAGAGGGGGTGGGGAGGGGAGGGAGGGCGGCGGGACGTTGTATGCGTTGGCAGTTTTGTTTTTGTTTTTTTGCTTTTGCAATGCAACGTTTGGTGTTGATTAAACTTGTTTCACTTATGAAAATTGGAGATTGGGGGAACCTTGTCTGAGAGATTTGAGTTTGGAGTCGCTAAGGTCAGGTGATTTTGGTGATTGTGGCGATATAACATGCAGGTAAGCAGGTGGGAGGAGGGAGGAGAAGGGAGGGTTTATCATAGGTGGGTTCGGAGGAGAAAAGAGGGGAAAGAGGGCTGAAAATCGGACGTAGGGCTGTGAGTGATGTTTGATGTTGCATGTTTTGGGTTGTATCGATATGAGTAGAAAGTAGATAGGCTAGGTGTCGACCTCCCTGGATGGGTAAGGCTGTCTGATTGATATTATAGGCAACCACATGCTCACGCCAGAATGGCAATTGAAATTCCAGGATGGAACCATAGTGAACGTAGAGTTCCATAATGTCAGTCTATCATAGGTTTTCTACGGCCACTTTTATCAATTCCATCGGATGATAAATATTTTGTCGTAGGTTCTCATGACATTATTATACGTGCAGTACTCTATTGCAGCGTGTACATCATATGCGCCTCTGCGTCATCTAGGAAGCACTTTGATAAGAATTGACGATTGTGGCTTACAACCTTCGATCATTCTTCTCTCTCTTCTCTTCTACTCCGTAAGAATTCCGGGCCCCGCCTCACCAGTGCAGTGTTTCGGAGCTTAAAACGGACGGGGAGGGGAGGGGAAAAAATAGAAAGAACAAAGAAAGAAGGGTTCCGGCCGGGGGGGAGACCTCATATCAGATGAGATGACGGTGCTGGCACAGCATGTCATGCAAACCTGCCAGGAAAAGACTGATGAGATCGGCAGTTAGAGCAAGATCGCCCTTCTGAAGATTGGACGGAAGCTTTTTTATTTATTTTTTCCCCTCAGACAGTGAGAAAAAACTTGGGGCTGCGATACCGACACTACATACAGCAGCGACGTGTCTGCGACAGATCTTCGCCGGCGCCGTCGCCGCAGCAGCAGCGAGATGCGGGGTGGTCCCTGCGTCGTGAATGATGTGATATGTGTGAGGTGGTGGTAGGTATTTTTTGCTGCTGTTGAGAAGGCCGAGGAGCGGGCTGTGTGCACGTGCCGGCCATGGGGATATCAAGATTCAATGATTGATTGACTTTTTTATGCAGCACCAGTCACTGACTCGCTGGCTGGTTCACCCACCTGAAGTATTCGAAATACTTGTTCTGCAGCTGCGTAAACACATGTAGATTAGAGTAGTCTTTTTACTATTGCATAGCATAGCATAGCATATATCTGAATTGGAGTAAGTAAACAGTAGCCACGAGGCCGGAAGGCAAGCTCTTGGTTTCTCCGAGAGAAGGGAGATGAGCTGTTCTCTCAATATGATGTAACGAGGTAGTTATTTTGAAAATTGATTTCGTCAGTTCGTCACCTTGAAGAATTTTCCATTTCCGTTGGGAGGGAGGGATGCCAGTGGTCGTGGGAGGTTGTGTATGGCAGGGGGGCCACGGAGCTATCAAGACTTTTAGACTGGACCAGTTCCCAGGATTTCTGAACCCTCGTGTGCTCTTCCGAAGATTGGTGAGCCTATAGGATCACTCGGACCAAATGTACGAGTGCGTGACCTCTGAAAAGCAAAGTTTGTAGAACACTCGACTTTCTCTAGAAACTTAGAAGTAGTAATTGTAGCTTTGGGAATGTGCAGACAGATGCCAGAAGCCAATGAGGAGTTCTGAGTGGTCCAATTGGTACGTTTGGAGCATGTAAATTACCATTAACCAGGATACAGCCTGTTGACTGCTTCCATACTAAGAATACCAAGAGAAACGAACCCATAAGAAACAAACTGATTTCAACTCTCGGTCCCAAAGTATTTCCAATTTTCCATGATGGACGCCGAGTAGCCGTGCAAACTTGGAAAAAATTGCTTAAACAAGAGAGTGTGTACAGCTGGCCATCTCGCCTGGCGAATCGCAAGTAGAGCGGGATACCCACTTCCTGCAGCCTCAATTCGGTTGGGGGGTGCACACAACAACACGCCTGTCAGCGAGAGCACCCGAGGCGAAAAGGGGAAAGGCCGAGAGAGCAATGGAGGGGCTTAGGTGGGGAGGTTGCGACAACGCAGAATTACTACATACATCGAACCCCCTCTGACCTACACGCTGCTTCTCGCTCCATAGCTTGCACACACAGCACACACACAGACGCCTGAACACGTATGCAGCAGCAGCAAGCAGCGACAAGCAGCAGCAGAAGCAGTGAGAGTGAGAGAAGCAGCAGCAGAAGCAGCAGAAGCAGCAAGCAGCACACAGGAAGCAGCAGGAAGCATGGCAGAAGCAGCAGGAAGCAGAAGCAGATGAGACTCACTGGCCTCTCACCGCCCCTCCTTTTCCTCACTGGCGTCCCGATTAACTCCGTTTAGATATTGAGAAAGGATAATGGATGGGAAAGCGAGAGCGACTGGCATAGGGAGCAGAGTGCGAATACGGCCAGAAGAGATAAATCAGCCTCTCGAATTAGAATTACTCCTCTATGTATCTCTCATCCTGACAGGGCGAGACGTCTGTGAGGCAAATTAGACGCCGCGCCATTGGATTCTGCAACTACCATTGGACGACAAGGCAAGAGGGGATCATTTGGATTGGGGATTGGGATGTCCCATGTACATACAGTAACAACAACAGCATGGCAGTCTTTTTTCTCTTTGGCTTCGCTGGCCAGCGTGGCCGGCGATCTGGCAGCTCTACATGATATTCTACTTTACGCTCTCTTACTGTCTATCTGTCTGTATCGCCGCTACCCATCCATCTTCCCTTCTTTCCTTCTTCCCCCTCCGACGCCGCCTCCCCACCCCCCTCCTCTAATACAGATCCTACCTATCTACATAGCTTTCTCAGCTTTTGAGTACATCTCGCTGTCAATTCCTGCCTGTGCCCCTCATTCTTCCCTTTTTCCACCATCCCCCTCCTTTACACACCCCTCTCATTAAATCTATTCACCACTCAGCTCCCCTCCTCCCGCTGTCATCAGTTGGTCCTTGGTACATCAGCTTTCTCTGCTTCCACATTCCCGGGAACTTATTGGGAAATAAGAAAGATACACAACCGGAGGCAATCTAGGTGTACCCGCTACTACCCCACACACACCCACACAACACGTCTCCTTGCCTTTTTTATATTTTCTTCCCTTTGATAGTCGCATCTAGCCAACCCTGGTGACCCAAACACAGAGGACAAATTTTAAAACAAACCACTCTGATCGAATCGTGTGTGCTACAAACGTGTGGACACATACAATAGTATCTACCACTCGTCATCACCCATCTGCCTCTGAGACATACATAGATTTGCCCCAAGTTGCCACCCATTGGTATATATCTGACCTCTTCTTGATGTTGCTCCTCGGACGCAGCTATTTTGTTATCGTTGATCTGGGCTCTAATTCCCTACCTTGCTAGAAGTTAAACCTCAGTAGTACCCTACGTACCAGCATATATACTTGTATCCATCACCGGATCTTAAATAATAATCCCTACCGATCATCAAGAGTCACGCCTGCGTTGTCTCTTAGATCTCCCAAACTGATTTCCAGTCGCTCAATCTCCAAGAAGTTCCGCCAGACTCAACGGATATCAACAAGCCGATCAAAACAGCATCGTCCTAAAAGATTAAATCTGAGTAAACCAGAAACTACAGATATGGCAGCTTCAATAGTTCATATTCCGTTGTCTCCAATGACCTTGGAGATCAACTCTGTTTCTTCGGAATACGTTACTTGGGTGGTATGTCTTGCGAACTTGCTTATTCCGGAGGTAGATAAAGTTAACTCCTTTGCTTAATAGTATCGATGGCGAAATGTCGATCTATCCGCCGATTTCGAGACGTATGCTACAAGCCCAAGTTTAAACCCAACCAAGGACTTATAAACTGATTATTACAGATATTCCCAAAACTTCGGTCATCCAGATGGTTGGGTCTGGCGCATGCTGTTCCAGCAGAACGTGGATGCCAACGGCAACCGTGTCTACGGGATCTTCCTCTACGTTGTCATGACCGACAATGAGCTTCAAGAGCGAACATGGACTCGTGACATTAGATATCTCCAATTTGTCATCCTTAACTCGGAAGGCCGACAGCTTAAGGACAAAAGCACAGTTGCTGTCTACCGCGAGAACCAGCTATCATGGGGCTTCCCCGGACTACTCGACAACAGCATTCTACTCCGGGACCCTGTGGTGAATTCAAGACGCACGATTGACATTGTCTGTCGTCTACGGTACCATCCTGACGGCGAGAAGATGCGAAGGCCTCTCAGTCCTAGTATGACTGGGTCCTTGCTCGGTGGTTCCATGATTGGCGCCAACCATGCTGCTGCCCGTGCAGCATCTACTCCAGCAAGTTACTGGGACCAGAAGGCTAGTGGTGTAGCTGTTGTAGATCCGGTAGGAAAGAACCTTCGAACTTTGATAAATAACCGAAAGTTCTCGGACTTGGAATTGGTAGTCGGACCCAACAAACAAATCGTTCACGGGCACAAAGCGATCCTTGCGACAAGAAGTGAATGGTTTGAAGCTGCACTGAGGCCCGGATTTAGGGAATCGAGGGAAGGAAGAATTACCTTGCCGGATGAAGATCCCAAGATATTTGAGGCTTTATTGGAGTTTTTGTACACGGGGGAGTATCCTCTCGCTTCGATCGAGAACCACGGGATTCCTGGTTCGCCCATGATCACGACAAAGAAGTCTAGTTCTCCGGATGGTCTGCATCTCTCTCCGCGCTCCCCTCCTAATATACCTCCTCGTGGATTGGACGATTCTGCCTCGACGGTCGGGAGCTCCTTTACTGATGCTCAACCCCCGACAGAAGACTCCTATGAATACATGAACACTTATGACAATGTCGACATGATGGACGAAGATGAAGAACTCGACGAGCAGAAATATGCCCTATTTCTTATGGCTGACAAATTCGGAATTGCGCAGCTCAAGAGTCTTATCCGAGTCCACCTCACGAATGAGCTCCTCGACCTCTCCAGCAGCAGCCCTCCAGGAAGCAGGTTATTACGATTAATCAGATTCGCTTTTGAGGAGCTTCCCGAAAGCACAACCAGCAAAAAGAGGGATAGTGGGATGGGGTCGTCAGTTGGCAGCAACGGGATGATTGACAGGGAGCGAAGCCCTAGCGGTGGATACACCCACGGATATGTCTACGGCGGCGGCTCCGGCAGCGGATATCCACCAAGCGACCTCACGGGAGTGGCGGGCTCTGTTGTCGAGAAGCGCGAGGGCGCAACCTCTGCCTTCGGACATACATCGGAGGTCGGCGATGGCTTGGCAATGATTGAGCGTAGGAGCAACAGCAGACTCAGCAACGTCAGCAGTATCACTGGTAGTGCATACCGAGGCGGAAACAGCTACGCAAGAGATAACGAAACCGCTATCCTTAGGGAAAACATCACTACATATGTGGCCAAGATGTTCCATGCGGTCAGAGTCTTGGACGGGTTCGATGAGATGTTGAGGGAAGGTGGTGAGATGGGAGGTTTCGCACGGAAAGTCATGGACAGCATGTTTAGACCTTAGTTTTGGAAAAACTCTCACTCATGGGGAGCTTCTTTGCTAAAACTTCTTTTTTGGGGTGGTTTATATTCTTTTATTTTCATTGCATTCATTTTTTCTTCGGTTTCTGGCATCAAGTGGAGAAAAGGGTTCGGTCTAGAACAGCACTCGGCGGCTCACTTTTGCATTTTTTCCTTACTTCAGCTTGCTATGGATAGTGAACGAGGAGGGGGGAATGGTTTACTTATCCAAGCGGGGTCTGTTGGGTATTATTATTATTACATATTTTCTTCTTTCTTGGGAGGACTGGGGATTGCGAGGGGTAGGCCTTCCGCCGCCTTTCTATTTGATTCGCGGTCCAATCTTGGCTCATTTCTTTTTGGGGCATATTCTTGGAGTCTAGCGTGTGGTTTGGGAAAGCATTTTTTCTTCTTTTTACATCTACTTTACTTCTTCTGATCTGCCTCCTCTTCGTTTAAAGGACGGCAGGTGTTCATTTTATTTTGTTTCCTTTTTTTATCTTTGGGTTTTTAGTACATGCTCTGATGTACCAACGGGCCATGGCCGAAAATTACGATACGATATGATGATAAATAATGACTAAAATACTATTACTCTGTACAAAAAAAATATATGTTCTCATATTCTCTATTTTTTGTTTTTGTTTTTCGCGCTCAGGCTATTTTCTTGGAAGGGGTTCTGGGTGTGTGGTGTTGGGGGCTGGGGGAATGTGTATAAAAAAAAACCCGGAAATCGAAGAGAGAGCACAATAATGACGTTTCACCCCCCCATCCATCCTTGGATCATCTCGATTCAAAACGTTGATTGACGTTTTAGTTTGAGCTGTTTCTTCCTTTCTTTTCTTTTTTTTGGTTCCCATTTTTATTTTTCGGGAGGGTTGGGGGCGAGCGCGGTTTTAAATTTTATGTAGCTGGGTTTTCAATACGGCGTTCAGATAACGACGATCATCCAGTTCGCCTCACGGGTCAGCTTATTCGCTCTGTGCATCATCGCGTGGAGGTAAAAGAGGGGAGGCGGGGCCAGTATATAAAGTCATGTCGACCGGTACCAGCGTCGGTGTTGGATGGGGGGCTGGGTAGGTTCGAGTGATAGGCTGTGATGTGGAGTGACTTGGTTGCTTCTGGTAGGGACTGGGCAGATAGAGTCGATAGATGAGATATAGAGTGTGCACAGGATTTTGAAATAGTTGGCCTCAACAACTCCGACTTAGAACCACTCAGCAGCCATACCGATGGTCGTGGGGTGATATTCACAGAAGACCTGGTTTACAGCTGGCATGCTGAGTCATCGAGTGTGAGAAGAGGTGATCCGCCCTACATCTGGCATGTGATTTGGGCCGTTGCCGGATTGCGATCACAACCCTAACCCATATATGCATCCTCATAGCACTACCTTAGGTTTCAGAGTATGTATAGTAGGTTTGCTAGCTATAGCTAGCCATATATATAGAACTAAGGTATCCGAGGTAAGGCTACTAACTCGTGAGATTAGGTGACCAGGACTAGAGTTGTGGTTGTAACAGTACTATGTACTACGTAGGTGGTGACGGCCAATCTGCTGCTAGAATATTCCTGGTTATTGGGCGCTGGTGGGGCCTTGACACCGAGGGGATCGGGAGCCAAGATCGATTTTAAGGAACTGAGTATAGAGACAACGATTAATATTGCCATATATTAGTTCATTAGCTGGAGGCAAGCAGGGGATTCTAGTTAACTTATCTCTTTACTAGAAACCATACGGAATTATTGGGCTTGATCCCCAGACATGTGGATGAGAAGACTAAATATCTTCAGTCTGGGGGTGATATTTGGCCAGAGGAGAGCCGACGGAATACTCTATCGCGTATAAGCTATATAAAACACAGAACAAAGTGAGACGGGTCTGGTCGTTATAGAACGTGTTCTTCTAGAGGCAAAGTACAGATATTTAATCCTTGGTCATAGAGCCACATCGAAACTACATAGTGTAACGTTGACCCGACGACGAACTACACCCCAGTCTACATCCCACCTAAAGCAATCAATGCGTTGTTTATTTATCTACTAATCTAAAAAACGGAAAGAAAAAAATGCTACCTAGATACAATCAAACAAACTATATCTATATACAAAAAAGAGTCTGCGGAAAATTAACCCTAACCCATCATAAGCGCACCAACTATAGCTTCGCCGGCCCCCGTCCCCCAAAAATGGAGCTGGGAAACCGGCGATTGGTCCATATTCTCAAGCTACTGAGGGTAGCTCTAACCGGTAATCAACCCGGGATTAAGCAGCACAATAAGGTAGGAACTGGACCGCATATTTATAGAAATAATAACATGTCAAGATGTCTTTATTTTGGCCGCTCTGCTATTAGGATAGGCCGATTAACTTTTTCGAGGAAAGAGTTGAAGGATTTGCACGATCCTGACACATTAATAATGTATTTCAGCATTGCATGGTGGCCTGTGCTAGACTTGAGCATTGTAGGTATTGTGGGTTGTCAAAAATAATGGGACGCAACAGGCTTCATTGCAACGTAATAATCTCTCAACCACGACCGACCACAAAGAGACCACAAGCAGGATAAGTGGTAATAAGAACTACTGGAGACCCAAAATGTATTTTCGTTAGTACTGTCGTTCGTTGGTGGCGGGGTTGGGTTGTCATTGCTGTATTCGTTGCCCCGTTGCGTCCCATTATTTTTTGACAACCCGCAATACATGTATATATTTGAGGTCCGCAAATAAAAATCTAACATTAGATATTCGATATCCGGTAGTTGTAAATATACTTTTCAATATAAACCCAATACTCATAAATATTACGTAAATATTAATAATTAGTACAAACCCACCCAGCACAAATCTAATTCCTATCCGTCCGGCACTCTATCTCCTTTCTTCTCTCTCTCTCTCTCTATTTATTTTATCGTTATCAACCCGAGAACCAATTCTTTAAACTTTATTCAGAAGTGATCTACATCTAGTGTGTACGTGTGGGTGTCAATGATCGACACAATAAACAATGTGCAGCTGTCTTATCCGAGCACACATTCCAATATCACCTGGGTACATAGACTCTATATGAGAAGAGGCTGGCCATATAGGGAGTATTCTACAGTGCAAGCCAAATAGCTTTGATCAACCCTAACTAGCCCTAGCGATAACTAATCCTAATTAACCCCACTTAACCCTAACCAACCCTAGCTACCCGTTATTTTCTCCGTCATTTCATACAGGCAATATTGAAGTGTATTTAGGTCCTGGGAGAACATGTAGTAGTGATGATGAGTCCAACACTGATTGATGGGGGTGCGTTGGTGGTTATTGCTGAATCATGTGTTATCACTCGGACTCTGTACTAGGGTTTTTTTAGTTTAATTCATTAATTGAATGCAACCTTACAGTTATGGTAATTGGGGGGAGCTATGGTGTTGATTTTTTGATTGTTTAACTCATTACCGTATTATTCCACTGGAAGAGACCACTCGCTTCATGGCGTAGGCCACAGAAACTAGTGTCGATTTGGGTAGCTCACGCCGTAATTTTGCCCACATCCATCAGAAGGAACCGGTCTCTTCCACTCTACCACGACAGGAAATGCATCGAACGATGCATTTCCAACACATTGCCCATACAAACATCTGCGTTTAATGCAACGGTTGATGCATTAGCTGACGACGCCTGCCCAAAACCTACCCGATCGATGCATTTACAACACAATATCGATCCATTTCAGTGACCTTTACCCACGACTTTGCTCACACATTATCTCCTGCCGCGCCATTACTGTAGGTACGACTTTGCTGACCACTTTACACCAATCAACGACTTTGTATACGAAATAGTTGACGATATATCCCAAATGTAAAAAGTAGGCGACGTATTTAATAACACAATTACAAACGATATAACCTGAGGTGTTTTCATCCGGTGAACCTCGGATAACGACTTGACCGTTACTTTGTCCAACACAATACTGTACAACTTTCTTACCCCCGTAAAGTGTCAAGGAGTTTGACAACGCAATCACTGACGATATAACGCACTAGTGTTAACTACTGACAATGACATTATCCACGACTTTGTGAACAATATATCTCGTGACTCCGCCATACATGTAAACGGTAAACGAATTTACCAGCACATATATTGACGACATATGACGGGCATGTCTTCCCTCCTTTGGAACAGATAACGACTTCACCAATATCTTTAATTTGTGAACGATAAAGCAAACGATTTTCCACTTTCTCGGAAGAGACATCTTCATCAGCACGATCTGTGGGGAATATCGTGACGCCATTCAAGTTACCTATCAGATTTATTACTGGCGACGATTTTACGGATACATTGACTAACTACATACTCAACGCTTTTCCGTTCCGTCAAAACTCGGACAACGACTTTACTGAGAACATACTCTACCACTTTAGTCAAAGCCCAGTTTCGGGCAACGAATTTACAAACAAAATCACTCACGACTTGTCTAACTATTTTCTCGACAGCTCATTGCGGATAACGACTATATCAACGATTTGAGATACGATATATCCAACAACTTTCTCACGATGTAAATCCAGATGACGAGTTTACTTGCACTTATGTTAACGACTACATTGACGACTTATCCTGTGGTGCTTTCTGCATTATTTTCTATTAACGATATTACTAACGACTTTACTCAAGATTTCACTGATGACTTTTCCGGCGTCGTTTTCTGTCTTGTCGGATAGGGACGACTTTACCGACTGCATTCATGACGATTTTATTCGCGATTTATCCCGCGATGTTTTCTATCAAAAATTAGTCATTAATCGTGTACGAGTTTACTTACGATTTTGCTGATGATTTTGTCTCAAAATTTAAAACACAAGTTACGACTTTCCGTATGACCTTCCGTACGACCTTCCGTACGACCTTCCGTACGACCTTCCGTACGACCTTCCGTACGACCTTCCGTACCACCTTCCGTACGACCTTCCGTACGACTTTACCGTTAATTTTTTCCGGTGAAAATCTACATTGAATTAGCTACGACTTTCACTACGATTTTACCTATGATTTTACCTACGATGTTCTTGGTTATCGTTTTGTCTTGGTCCGCCATTTTTCAGCAAACGACTTTACTTGCTATTTTACAAACAATATTCCCGACCACTTTTTCTTGCGGGACCACACTCAATTTCTGTTAACTACGACGACGAGTTTCCAACACCTTTACCCACAGTTTATGGATGACTAGACTGAGTAATTAGTTCAGACAATCACTTACGAATTTGCGAACACATTTACTTGTAATTTTACAACCCCTTAATGCGATCGCCAAGATTCCTGACGACTTTCCTGCTACATTTACTTACGATTTTCTGAATCCCATGCTAGCCATATTGGTGGCTAGCTTGATGCCCGCCCGCTAGTACTAGCCTGACGTACCATGTTAATCCTCCACTACTCCCCCCAGGAAACAGAAACCTGTTCTCTATGTGTTCGTTCCAACCGAAACCCTTCTTTGGCCAGAAGCAAGAGCTTCTGGACACCATGAACTCCTTGCCACGAGACTGAATCACGCCCACAAGCTCTTGCACGTCCCTCAGATCGACATACTCTTTCTTGATCCTAGAAGAGTCCATCTGGTAGGCCAGCTTCAGTTTCTTTACTCTGCCTACATCAAGGCGTTAGATGTACGCAAGCATGTAAGGCTCGGGTTCCTGATGAACAGGCTCCCCAGTTCCATCTCGGCCCAGTTCAGCAGAATTGGGTATCTCGGACACCACGTACTGCAGGTAATGCATGACCCTTCCAAAGTATGATGTATCGTTGTCATTCTCATCTGACAGTATGTAGCGGACCCAGGAGTCATTGCGCCTGTTGGTTGCTACCCCAGTCTTGGAGTTGGATATCTTGGAGCCCACGACTTCGTATTCACTTGCATGGTTCAGGATTCTCCCTGCGATGGCCCTGCCCCAAAGCACCATGATATCAGACAGCAGGGCCGTGCTGTCCACTGCACGAACTGGGACGCCCAGCTTTTCAGCAATAAACTGCCGAAGACTTGCCCTTTCGTACTGGTTGAGCCTCCGTTTCTCCTTTGGTCCCATCAGCAAGCAGTCTGGGTACTGCACAGGGTACGCCACTTTGTCCTTCTCCGCAAAGCCAAACAATCGTTTGTCTTCCATGTCATTGAAGCCTTCCGGAAGCTGTACACTGGTTAGTAATCAAAAGCATTTCCAGAGGGGATGACCTACAATGGCGATGAACGGCAAGTGTTTGATTCTCTCACGCTCCAAGAGCTGCAGCGATAGATTGCGGTTCGCGGCTGAGCGACTATGGCACATTGCTTTGATTGTGCACACAGTCCTCTCCATGGGATACTGGTGGTAGATGGGGTTCGGCCCGCAAACCTTCATTGCGGTGGATAAATGAAGAACACCATGCACCTGGGTCGTGCAGCTTGATATCCTTGCTGTCTTATACTGGTAGTACAGCCGCTCGTAGTCAGTCACGACCCGTATCATATCCTCCTCCATCTCATCGATATCGGCCATCGTTAGCTTGTAGTGACGAGACTTCTCTGTTGCGAGGACAAAGTGGTGCCAGTGCTCATAGTATTCAGCCGGAAGTCGTTGATTCAGCACGATTGGGGATATTAGGTGCATGAAGTTCATGAGCTCTGTCGCTTTATAACTTGCATGGTACTTGATGTCCCTAAATGCTTTGCCAAACGCCGTCGGGATAGACGCTCTCGAATCTGCGATCTCTGCACCGATCCTGTCCCAAGCCTTCTTTGGAAGGATATATGATTCACTGTGATCATCAGCGGCGGCATTGAAGCTCACCACCCATCTGCCCCGAAGCAGCCTCTGTTTTAAGGATCCTGCCTGCGACTGGGACTGGACGTCACTTTGACTTCTGGGTATTGCCTGCGAGTGGGATTGGGAACCGGCCTGCGAACCCTGTTGCAATAGTTCATCGTGCTCCTGAGAGTCTATATTCGCGTTAGAACGTGCTTGTGAATTATTAAAGTCTCTATCATCCTCCATCCCCTGTCTTTTGAACAAAGCAGTGGTTTCCTTGTCCCGGTATATGCCCATCCAGTGGGCAAGATAAAGCCGGGGTGTGTTCTCGTCGAGCAGGTGCATCACATCAGGCGTGAAACACCAAGGGTACACGATAGATTTCAAGCAACTGAATATTGGCTCCCCATTAGTGCCCATGAGCTTACCCCAAGCGATGTTCTTATCCTCTACGGCCTTATGGGTCTGCCTCATCTCTTCATCAGTCCACACCGGCAATGTGCGTGGATCCCAAGACTTTTCTGGGTAGTGGCCGCTCTTTTTTGCTGCCCTAGGCTTGCGCTTCCGCTTGTTGGATGAGGGGCCTGGCTGTGCCTGTCCAGATGATGGCTCTCCCTGCGATGGCTCCTGTTCCGGTACAGCAGCACGGTCCCGCGGGGGCTCGAGTGGGCAGTATATGTGGCCTTCGCTGATGCCGTAGATGGCACAGAACTTGCAGTAGCGGTAGCTGTTTGGTCCCGTCCACTTCATTAGCTTGGCCATAGCCATCGTGTCGCCAGAGATCAGTGCAATATGAGCGCGTAGCTGGAATGCTTCCTTACGCAGCCCATCCCACCCTTTGACACCAGCCTGCAGAGTCACAAACTCATCCACCAACGGCCTAAGGAACGAGCTGATATCCTTGGGGTTACCGGGACCTGGTATGATCCCGCACAGGATCAGGTTCTTCTTCAGAACCCTCTCTGCTGGAGGAATGTTGAGGTTAACCAGGAGTAAAGGCCATACATCATATTGCCCAATCTAGCGTCATAGTCGTTAGTAACTGAACACCAGAGGGCGGCACAGCCTTACTTTGAACAAAGACGATCCATCCGTACTGAATATAAAGCCTACGTCTCTGTGATCAGTCCATATATCTCTCGTTGATTTGAGTGTAGAGAAAAGGAGACTGTCCCAGTAATCTCTCGTGGACTCTCGCTCGTTCTCGTTCGCCGGTGGAAATGACGACTTGTAAGCCACACTTGTTCGGACATATTCTGAGTCACTATACATGAGTAGTAGACGGTGTATGAGTGGGATGTAATCAAAGGTCTTATATGGCTTCCCTTTGGCATCGAGCCTGTCAGCCTTGCAGATTGGACAGTTCGTTGCATTGGGATATTCGGCAAAACACAGGCAGTTATTTCGACAAACATCGTATCGGACGTGGTGGATCTCTGTAATCAGTCCCAGCTCTCTTCTGGCAGTGGCTTCATCCGAGATTGCTACAAAGTCCTTCACAGCCCTGATGTATTGCTTGTGGGTGTCCATAGCTACGTTGCCGTCCATGCGGACCTTCATCAATGTTATATGTTTCAAGATCGGTTCTGAGAGTGTGATGTTCGGAATAGCACTATATTGGAAGTCTGTCAGTATTTGTGGGTCTTCATCCTCGCTGTCTTCTAAGTCTTCTTCGTCAATGCTGTCATTCGAATCATCTGGATCCTCAGAGTCATCGGGGTCATTTTCCCACATATGTAGAGACTCCACCTCATCGTCCAGATTTGGAAGGTTTTCGTCTGGCATCTCGTGATTTGGAAGGGTAGGTGGGGTACCAGGCACATCACTACTATCAGAAGAGCTTGGCTCACTGCCTGGGTCATCTGCTGAGTTGTCAGCCGCTGCATATATATCAACCGGAGACATATGATCCAGTGTTGCCTCGTCTTCTGAAAGCTCCGCTGGGTCTGGCTGTGTTTCTTGTATGACTTCTTCCTCACCATGGCCATATGCCTGATCAACTGTAATTGACCATTCACGGTTGTATATCCCACTGTTTTGGGAGTCGGGCACAACCAACTGGGTCGAAGCATGCTCTTGACTCATAATCCTTACAGACTCGGCCTCCTCCTGTACACATGTGTTGGGTTCCAGTGGCTCTTGGGAGTGTTCTTGTATGTTATGTTGTGGAGATTCATTACGAAGTATTGATGGGGGTGGCGATATGTTATCACGATGATCACCATTATCCCTCGGTGCTAGAGGTCTTCTCATGGCAGGAGCAGGCTCTCTCTGAATTATGGTGCGTACGCTACGTCCTCGGCGTCGTGGCGGATTACCCATGGGTCTGTCGTCTTCTAACAAGGGTCCCATATTATCGTTGAATACTGGTGAAGCCCCCACAGATAGTCCATGATCATCGATACCTCTGTCAATGAATACTGGTGAGTTGAGCAGTAGGTCAAGAGCTTGCTGGTTATCAGGCTGAGATTGAATGATATCAATGTGATTTGATGCCTGTGGGCTAGGAGACTATCAAATGGTTAGCAGCGTGATATGTGCACTGTATGATACTGACATTGATTGCATTGGGCTCTTCCTGCTCATTTCTCAACGCCTGCTGACGCCGGTGCTGGAACCATACGCTCCTCAAGACACGGTGAGGTAGCCCATCAAGTAAATCACAGTAGCAAAGACGTTTCTCTCCCGGGGTCCATCGTTGTGGTAAACCGTCTGACATCGCGTGAAAATGATAATGATGATCTTTTCTATTCCCATGAATACCGGACGTTGAGTATCAAAATGTTACACAACACGAAAATCGCTAGCTCGATCCTGCATACATGTATACAAAGTCTACCTGCACATCTGGCGACCTGGTCAATACACACCACTCATACTGCCGGCTGTGTGTCTTCCCCTCCCCCACCTTACACACAAAAGGACCGTCCACCAAAATAGTATATCAAAACTCAAAACACCACATATACGATGGAGGTCTTTCCATCCACTCTCATCTAACATACTATAACTAACTCTCTGCGTATAGTCAATGGGTGATGTCAGTCATGCTCTTGCTCCAAACGACATGCTTCTCTTCGCAGAGTTCAAGAAATGGAAGGAAAAAGAGCAAGCCAATAATGATGCAGCCAAATACAAAGTAGCCAGGACCAGCAAGCCTACTCCTGCTGTTGCCAAATCAAATGAAAGACAGCGGATTACCAAGAAACGTTCATTCGCAGAACAACTTGTTGCTGATGAAACTGGGGGCGAAGAGGATGATGATGACGATACTATCGAAGATGAATCTGTCCATGGGTCTAGTGATGGTGAAGGTGCTGCTATCGGTGACTTTGTTCCACAGAACCAGAAGGCAATTGATGATCTATTAGATGTGGCAGAAAGCAAAACCCCGTTGATAGAACAGATGGGGATCGGCGTATATAACAACCTCAAAGACCGCGAGGAGTACAAACGTCAACGGGCCATTGCCAGAGAGGCTCTCGAGGCTAAACCGATGCAGTTTATCATTGGTTCGAAATGGACTGATGTTAAGACTAAAGCCACCAGGCAGATTCTCATTGACAAAGTTAAACATGCTCTCGCCGAGTACAACTACCCCGATCACATCATCTTGACCATCATAATATCTCTCACCAAGAACAAACGGAGAAACAAAAACAGGCTCAAGAACATGCTCATTGTCCATAACGGGGGGACTGTTCGAAAGGGAAGACCCATTAAACACGGACTCTACAGCGGGAAGCGTAAGAGTAAGGGTAAGGAAAGTGAATCATCTCATGCATCTCATGCCCTCCCTGAACGTTCAACTACCGCACTGAGGCCTGAAAGAACAGAGCAGGAAGTATCAGTCGACACCGGGCCTGTCTGTGCACATACATCATCGGCCCCAGCAGCAGCACAGAAGAAACCAGTGGCAGCTAAGGCTAAACAAACACAGGGTTCGTCGAAGCAGCCTACAAGCAGCAACGCTGCTAAACCATCCAAGGAGAGTCATCCAAAGACGGCTAGAAAGTCACCATGGCTGAGCAAACCAGCTGAGACAGTTGAAGAACCCATTTTGGATGACAATGACGATGAAGACGAGCAAAGACCAGCAACCAAAGCCAAAGAAATGGCCCCTGTTGTCCTCAACGTAATGAATACTGGGGCAACACAGGCACCGGTTGACAGTATCCCTCCAGCTATTAGAAAGAGGATTGCTCAACGGTTTACTCCGCCTCCCAATGCTGCTAACAAAGAGCCCCCATCCAAGTCAAGTGGGGAGTATTTTATTCTTGTCAATAATAGCAAGGTTGTTTACTCCCTTTCGCTATCATATAAACAGTTTCGAGCAAAGTGGAATGATCAGGACACCTGGTACCGGTTTTCAGCTTCGCTTGGTCCCCAGAACCTCCTTGATGACGAAGACAAGTACAAGAGGTTTCTGGCTGCAGTCAAGAAGACCAAGGATGTGCCGGTCATGTGGGTACACTCTGATGCTGATTACATGAGTGGGGATGACTCTGTTTACTACGCAGCACCAAAAACACCGTATCCAAAACCAGTGATGCCCATTGAATCTCAAATGCCAGTGGCTCCTCCTGCTCCGGTTGCTGCTGCCAATTCAATTGCTGATAAGTCGGAGCCTATTCCCTTGTCACCGGAGATTCCAACTTCTACCAACCCGGCACCAACCGCTCCTACCAATGTACCAGCTAAACGCCGTGTCAGACCTAAAGGCAGTAAAAACAAGGCTCCTTCTGAGAAGAAAACTAAAGACATGGAAGAGAAGGTTACATCCACTGCAAAAGGCCATCAGAGTGCTGCCGCTGCTAAGAAAGCGGCAGCCGGTGATTCAAATGAGGTGGTTGAGAAGCCAAAGAGAACTTACAAGAGGAAGAAGAAGGATGACGGAAAGGAGGAGCTTAAGTATCAACCCCCTACTGCCACTTGTCCACTGATCGTGGAAGCTGACAGGTGTCAGTGATAGTGTAACCAACAATACCGAACCAATGCCACAGATCCCTGGTAAAAAGACAACAACCAAGGCCAAAACGAAAGACACATCTACTCAAAAGCAGTACTCTACTCAAGTACCACTGAGTACACTTGGCACTATGCCGGACCCTACCCCTCCCTCTGCTCAGCCTGAGCCTGTTGAGGAGAATGAGCGTAGGACGTTGATGCCCCCTCCTGCTCAGCCACAGGGTCTTCACACCCTAACACAAGCCCCTACTACACAGGGCACATTGACACATGTTCCAACAGCTTCTACACAGATTAGGCGTGGCTTGATGCCAAGAGCTGCTCAACTTAGGCTATCTACACAGAGTCTAATCCCCACCCAGGATTATGCCAAGGAGGATGGCTTTGCTATCGAGAAGATTCTAGGACTTGATGATCCTTTTGGTACACCTGCCGTGAACCAGAACCCACCAGCTATCCCGAGAAAGTCAGCTAGGAGACCTGCCTTTGGTATCTCGTCTACACAGATACGCACTGCAGGCTATGAGACTCCACAGCACCACACTAGCTCTTCTCAATCGCAAGTGATTCGTGGGGCGTCCAGTCGTGGTCCGCCGTTGTGGAAGATCCAAGCTGAGGGCGCTGCCATGCCCCCCCCAGCTATGGCGCATCGCACTCGCACCATAAGAGACTTCACGACTGCAAAGGAGGTTTACAACAACTCCACCGTAGGCAATGCCAACAGTCTGTATCAGCCTTTGACAGGGCCAATGGGAGTCGGCGCAAGAGTTAGCACTGCTGTTACCCAAGGTACTGGGCCTCCTTCCGTGTAAGGGAAGGCTAGAGCTATGACAAACATGCTTGCGTACAACGTGCTGAGGCAAGTGCCTGCTCTTGCAAAGAAAGGCGACATCATTGAAGCCGAGATTCAGGCGATAAACACGCCATTGAAAAGGCCTGCAGAGGCGGACCCTGCCGGAAAGGTCACAAAAAAAGCTAAGATCGGAACTAATATATTTAGAACGCTAGCGTACGGACATGGGGTGCCGGAAACGCCTAACTAATTTCGGCGGGTATGAGAAACACATATACAAGGGTATATTGCAACATAAGGTTTTCTTAAAAAATTGGCTATTATGTTTGAAAGAGGTGGTTTTTATCAAGATGGACTGGCGCGGGATTTAAAGGGCGCTAGTGTTAGCACAAGGAGGTAATGTTGTTGCTATAATTGTTAATTATAGTGCTGGTAAAGTATTATACTTTTAGCTAGGCGATTTATTTAATCGTCTGGGGAAAGGGTACGGAAAGGTGTTGGAGAATTCGTAGAGCAATTTAAAGTGCAAGGAATAAAAAGGTGTTAATAAATTCGTCAAGTGCGTAGAGGTGAATGGTCCTCCAAAATAATATTAAATTTTGTGAACAAAATTGTAGGTGTAACCGTTAGTGAAATCGTTTGCACAAATTGTATGTTTAAATGTTAATAAAATTGTTGATAAAATCGTGCACGAGTAATAATAATCTTCAAACTAAATCCTCAGTTTAATCGTATGGTTAATCGTTAGTAAAATCGTGCCCGCTGCCTGATATTACCTTTGGTAAAGCATCGGTAAAGTAGTTCGTAAAGTCATGAACAGAGAGGACGGTCTTGTTGGAAACTCGTTGACTTTATTGTTAGTAAAATCGCAAGTAAAATCGTATACCGGAAAATGCTATTGCTTTGCTTCACAGTAATGTCATCAAGTAACTCATCAGTATAATTGTTAGTCAATTCGTATCCTGATTTTGCGGTATACATATTTCGTCAGCTATCTCGTTCGTAAAGTGGTTAGTAAAGTGGTAACCAGGATATGATATAGATATCCGATTTAACAAGTCGTCAATGAAGTTGTAAATCAATTCGTAGACTCCGTTTGCCTGGTGCAGGAATGTCGTTGGATATATCGTGGGATATATTGTTAGTCAAATCGTTGTCAGCACCACGCTGCAGGCAAAGTCCTCAGTAAACTCGTTTGTAAAGTGGGCGGGAATGTCGTAAGCAGATAATTGCGGGTGTGGGCTCTGCTGCGAACTCGTCAGCAAACTCATCTGTATAGTCGTATGCAAAGTCATTCACACAGAAAACAACCACCAAGTATTAAGGTAAAACTCGTCAGGGAAAACGTTAGTAATGTTGTTCTCTCTCCGCAGATGAATCAGTAAAGTCGTCAGGTAAATCGTCGCCCTCTTGGGCTATTGCCTGGATAATTATAAAACAATACGTGGATATTAGCGAGTAAAAGTTTAATCGGTTGGGTTTAATCGGCCCCGGGAAAGTCGTAGCTACGGACTAGGATGCATTTCCGATGCATTACTCGATGCATATAGCACGGTACCACAGGCTATTTCGCGCACAATAAATAGTGATGCTTTTACATACACATTTCCGACACGTTTTTAGAGCTGGTAGAGCCAGCGGAATAATACGGTAGTCGTATATATTGCTTCTGATTGATTGATCGATTGATAGTTCATTTATTGCATGATCTGTGATGTTGTTCATGTGAATAGGGGCAAGGGGGGAGTTGACTACGTACCGCCCATCGCCTTTCCTGCATAACAATTATATTACAAAATTGGGGTATCCCATAAACCGTAGAGGCCTGAGGTTCCAGTTGGGTACTTTGCAACTCCAACCTCGATAAAAGCACAGGGGCGATATAGTTCAGCCCTGCTCACTAATAACAAATAAGCGGGAAAGTTTATCGAGCGATCCCAATAAGAGCTCTTAATACAGTACTCACGAAGCTGGTGCTGCTGTGAATTTAAGAAAGGTCACTTTATTCCAAGTGAGACCCAATTGGGTCCTTAACTCGGTTGCTACAGTTGACGGGATACATACTCGGACATGGTCCATCCTCGAAAGTCAAGACGCCATAGAAAGGGCTCCTATTACAAGCGAGACAGTGTTCTTTTGGGCCCTGTCGAACCTTGGAGTATTTTCAGGCCTGCTTTTTCCAATACGCCATACGGACGGAAGTTTGCTGGGAGCAACTCAGATTTCAGATTGATATATACACATGTAGTCTAAATAACGAAAGCACAGTCTAATAAAGTGTCGACAAGACTACTGATATGCTCGAAAGCACAGAGTACGAACACCTCCATCTACTAACATTTACATAACGTTCCTCGAAGGTATGTATTAGCTGTAGCTGTAAAGAGCTAGGGAGGTAGCTAGCTATAGCTCCATGAAGATCGACGTCCTATACCACTACAGCTCAAGACAGCCCTCCACGGGCCAAGCGGACGACAGCGGCATGAGCGAGTTCCCTGCTAAAGATCAACCATACCGCTGATCACCGGCCCGTCTGCACTCCCATCACCCATCGCCCCCCGGGCGCGGCGGGCCGCCACCACTACTTAACCTCCTCGCCTAACCGCAGGAGCGGGCTCAGCCGCGACCCGCACCCCTTTACCACCCGTAATGTTTAAACTGACAGCACCCGCGCCGCACTTACCCGCGTAGTGGCGGGTTCCAAAAATAGCTCCGACCGAGTGATGAGACGAAAGCCCTACCCGTAACGTGGAACCCTAACCCTGTAGTTGACTACAGCTGGTCGGATATTGGGTAGTTAGCGAGTGGACTGGGGGAAAGGTAAGAGTCGGTTCCATATATTGGCTGTAGTAGGTAGTTTAAATTAAATAGAGGTGCAGCACTGCGAGGGGAGAGGAGTCAGCTGCGCAAAAGGGACGAGGGCGGTTAAATTGTGGTTGTGGGAACGTCCTGTCGTGCGCTCGATAGAGTAGAGACGACCGAGACGATAGGGGGCGGCCGGGGGTGAGGGGAGGGGACTGTGTAAAAAAGAAGACGCCGACCAGCACGAAACCATCTCGTTGCCGAGAGCTGTTTGGGGGTTGAGGGTTGAGGTTGAGGGGGTTGTTGAGATTGGGTGTTTACGCGGCCATCCATCCATTCCATATGTTTCCACACCGCACCGTAGAGGCAGAGGCAGAAGAAGAAGAAGAAGGCCACCGTAACACAGGCCCTGAGAGATTTTTTCGACGACTCGGAGGCCCGGTTATTTTGCTAACCACCGAGGTTGAGTTACGAAACCGCGCACACGCAGCGCAACGTGCGGAGGATAAAGCACCCCTATGGGGTCCGGTCCCACCGGCCAAGATCTGCTGCGCTGCAGTCCAGAAGGAAAGGAAAGGGAAAGAAAAGTAATCAACTAATCCAACCCCTGTCTACTGGCACATCATGTATACATCATGTACATCATCAATGTAAGTAAGATGATCCCTGAAGAGAAAATAAAAACGGGCTTGCGAATTAATGGGCAGGTATGGCATGGCTAACGGACTGACTGGCCCATGATGGCTGTACGTACCTAAAAACCAAAACCACCCCTCATCTCCGCAGCAGTCGATGGATGATGCCATGATCTGGTCTGGTGGTGTTGGTGGGGGGAGGCGAGGCGGGGGGAGTGTGCGGTGGAGGGAGATCCAGTCCTATTTAATACCCCAGATCCCGATATTCTAGACCCACGGGAAGAAAGAAGAAGGAAGAAGCGGGAAATAGGTGAAATTGAAGTGGAACAAGACGGAAGAGAAAAAAGAAAAGAAAAAGAAAAGTCAGATCTGCTTCTCTGCCTAGATGTATGTACGGAGGTGTTGTTGGTTTTTATCGGGCCACCAGGTGGGCGGGACAGCGTCAGGGAGGGCAGGAAAGGAAGGAAAGAAAGGAAAGAAGAAGAGTTAGATCATTACACCAGCCGCCAAGGCGCCGACGGCGCAGGTTTATGGTGGATCTTACTACTAAGACCGCGGAGATAATTACGAGGCGGGCCGGGGGAGAGAGATAAGGTTTTTCTACGCACGCATTCCATGCGCACGGACTGGAAATAGCAGCCAATGTGGGTGCCCTGATTTGGAGATTTTCTGAAACAGCTGTGCGGCTTTTCTTTCCTTTCTTTTGATGTTGGGGGCCGTCATGAGATGTCACTCGAGCGACTTTGATGACGTGGGAACATACAGCTATCGGTAGAATTATTGCGGAGGTGTGGCGTTGAAAAATTGCCCTGCTCTCGGCGTGATCGTCGGCCCCTGTCTCCGCAACAATTCTACCGATAGCTGTACATGTATGTAAGTAGTACTCTAGCTAGGTAGTCACTTATGTAGCTTTCCACCACCCCTCCCCCATGTGATGATCATGCAATCCATGGTTGTGGAACGCCAAGATAATGATAATAACCAGGTCAATAAATGGGTTTTCTTATGATACATCGCATCGCAACCCCAACCACACTCCAAAGCTTATTCGAAAATCCCCGGGGTCAGTCACATGTAAACAGCAGGTGATAGAAACGCCACAGAAATGACCTTCTCCACCACCTACACCACCACTGAAACTTCAACGCAGCCCTGTAGCATCTGGGAGCTAATTGGCTTGTACTCTTTGTGGCGTAGAAGGAACGTAGAAGATCGGACATGCCCGGTGTCCGAAAAAGCTAACGGGCTTGTTGGTAGGCATCCCCTTCCGTATCATCCTATTAATGATCATTGCCCCTATATCCCTTCGCCAAACTTTGTACGTATCCTTGTTGAAAAATCGAAGATCGGTTTTGCTGGCGGTGTCCTCCCCAAAGCCTTTATTCCCAATCGTCAAAACCAGTGACTGGCCATCACAGTACTGTCTCCCATCCCATGACTTTTAGCAGCCAACAAGCCGGTCCACCTATTATTTCCGCACCCGTCGTCGTAGTCATTCATCCAATCATGAGTCCCAACCCTTCGACCTTAATACCCTGATAACTCTTGCCCAATCCCCACTCTCCCATATCTTCCAGCTGTTTCGTAGTCAGTATATGAGTACGCTCGAGGTGTGAAATCAAATCTCAAAGGCAGGTCAGTGTCAATGCAAAGAAATTGAACCCAACGGAGAAAAATCGTGATATCTGGTACATGTATTCCCACATGGAGTTATCCAGCCTCAAACAATGTTACAATAACAATAAGTACAATCGCAATGCAATACGAGTAAACAAACTTTTTTTCGCTAATTCCGCTGGGGGAAAGAAAAGGATTCAAAAAAACAAAAACACCTTTTTTTTTGTGAGTTTTCCAAAGAATAAGACCGCCTCGGCTTAAAACTCGCCGTGTCCGTTGAGAAGTCCATGAAAAAGTAGGAAACATAAAAAGAACAAAAAAGAACCAGATACGCCTCACCAACCCTGCAGTCGACAATCCAAAAAAACACCTCCCTAAATAAGGACAACAAATAGAAGAAACCACCTGCTGGATCGATCGAGTAGAGTCGGCCGAGTTGGTTAGATCGGAGTGTAGTTTCGGCCAAAGATTATGGTACAGTTCCGTAAAAGACGGAAAGCTCCCGAGATTAAAAAGGTCGAAACTCGATACAGCAGGAAAACTTTTGTACTCGAAGGATCTTGGAAATGTCGTAAAAACGATAGCATTACAACCGAAATTCCGAAGTGAAGAAAACAATATACGTTGAGACCATATAACACAAAGGGATACCGCGTCACTGTGTAACCATGATTAGTAGGACGCAAACCTCCGAGAAAAAGGAGAACCTACCTGATATCCATATAGTACTGATGTATAATCCATGCTGGATTTATCTGTAACCGTATCCGAGATTGTACTGCTTTAATGAACCATCCGTTAGACCGCCTGTGCTATTCGGAGTCGGATCCGATGCAAACATCGAATCGAGGGAATATTCGAAGCCTCTAACATTACTAAAGATTCCTTGCTGGTGTTGCTGCGGCTGCTGCTGCGGCATGCCCATGCAATTACCCATATCGTTCACTGGAGTGTTTGGAGTCCGCTGACCCTCGTTATCGAGTGACTGGGTATCGTCGTTATTGCTTTCGAGAAGCTCGGCGTCGTATTCCTGGTCTACACACACACACATTGATCAATCTAGGATGGCCGGGCTCTTTCATAACAGAGAAATGAAGGATGGGAAGTACACGGGGTAGCTTGCCGAGCTCTTCCATATGTGATTGGAATGGTGAAGGGTAAAAATTTTGACCCATTGGAATTCCTGGATGAGGAAAGTCCTGTGGTGCAGTAGGAGTAGTTACTGTGCTGTGGGGAATCTGGAATGATTGGTCTGGAGGTGTTGGAATAGCGATGGACGGTGAGGTTGTTCGCGAGTGGTTTGGCCTGAGAAGTGGGCTGGTTTTAATGTAAAGGGCCTCAGGCGGAGGGTTGATAGACGGACGCTTTTGGATGATCGGTCCTCCATGTATGGGTCGAAGGGCAGGGTGTTGTTGGATTGGTTGTTGTCTAGAGAGGGACTGAGGCATTGTTTGCTGCGGCGCAGCTTGAGGTCTACCTGTGTCGTCATATTGGGCGAATGCCCGTAACTCCGCGGTGACATCAATGCCCTTCTCAAGGAGAATTCTCTCGAGCAGAGAATTCTTATAACGAAGCATCAGTACCTCATCAGCAGCATTGCGGGATGACTGCTGAAGACTTGATAATGTTTCTTCATGATGTTTGATGGTTGCTTCCAAGTGTTTGATATATTCGGTTCGTCTTTCGCGGAAGGCTATTTCGATGTGTCAATAGAAACGTTAAAAATAAATGCAGACCCACACTTTCGATGACACATCGGAACTGGGACGTAGCCAACTGTTGTTGGAGAATTCAAAGTATAAAGATAAGGACCGTACCTGCTTGAGCAGCTCTGTTTCGCATCTTCCTCTCTTCCTGCGTTGCGTATACCGGTTTCCTCCCACCCTTCCTTTTCTGAGTCGGGAACTGAGCCTGCTCTGCCGTGGTCGCTTCTGGCGACGAGGCAGAGGAAGCTGAAGAGTGAGGAGGTGAGGTCTTGACAGCTGCCATTGCGATTCGGAGGGGTTGTCGATTTTGGAGACTGATACTAGTTGGTTGGCTGGCTTACTGCTGGATGGGAAAAGAGTCGAAAGCTTGAGGAGGTAGAGGGATGCTGGTTATGAAGCTTTTTTTTTGGAGAGGAGGGCAGTTGTGATGGTTGGTTGACAGAAATCCTTGAGACAGGGAACAGCACTAGTGATGGGTGGGAACAGGACCGTCGGAGCTAGCCAAGGCAGAGGAACAGCAGGGGGAGAGGAACGACGATGATGTGCAGCGAGAAAAAAAAGTGGGGAAAAGGACTGCTTATGCAATTTCAATTCGCAGGCTGCCAGTCTAATTCGGTAGCGGCAAAACGTGGGGTCGCGGGCAGCTGCGCAAACATAAAAAAGAAGTCAAAACTTCTTTTGCGAGAGGGAGGAGGGAGAGGTGAAGGGAGGAAAAAGCAATCAAAAAAGCGACCTGGAACGACAATTGGAACACAAAGACCATGTCAGAAGGTTGGGTTGGGTCGAAGTATCTTTGGCACAGACAGTCACGGTACAGACAAGACAGTCTACTGACCACCAACTTAGCATAGTTCATGGGGATCTAGAGTACGTTAGTACATCTTCCTGTACCTGTTCTACCTACCGGTCTGCCTTTCCACTCTTCTAGCTCCCATCGAGTGCGTGAGTGAGTGAGATTGAGTGAAGGAAGGAATGATCCCAGTATTTCTTCATTTTCTTCACCTGTCCGCCCATCCATATCCATCCATCACTCACGTCGTGCCACACACACCAAGGCCAAGTTACCGCACATGCATTTGATTCTTTCTCACACCTTCACCTTCTTCGCCTTCTTTCTTCCCCATTCCCTCACTTCGTCCCTGTCCACCTACAATTACCTTTCTCTGATCTACCTATTGCCCTCTCTCTGCCCTCTCGGGAGTCGAGTCAGAGCAAGCCAGCCCCCCTCAGGCTTTGTCTCCGGTCAAAAAAAAATTTTGTGCAAAAGAGAGAAAAAACACCCAACGACAGAAAACGGCAAACGCTTCCGGCAGAATGCGAGTGGTGCTACCTTGATTGGTCAATGAGGCCTCGTCGCCTCAGGCAGGGTCACGAGTGACGGCCACCTCCGATACTAGCCAGAAAAAGATCATTTTTTTCCAACCAACCCCCCCCTTCTTCTCTCCAGGGACGCAAAGCCTTCTTTCTGTTCCGCGCAGATGCTCGATGCTGCTCTAAAACTGGAGAGCAGGGTGCACGATGCAGTCTCCGCTCACCAGCCTCCACTGGTTTAGTCCCGGTTCCCTGGACCCTACTCAGAAAATCGACCAAACCTTGTCGAAACTAACAAGCAGAGCCGCCCCCCGAAAATGGTGGATCAGCAAGAAGACACGACATTCCAGGGACAAAACTGAATCAAAATAGGGCTTGCCCTGTAATGGTGGCCCATGGGAACTGCTCCTGTGTTGTGCTAGGATCTTTCCCCGCATTTTTCATGTCGTCTCAGTCCCCCTTCCCACCGCAGCAGGTGTCTACACCGGTTGAAGCCGTGTGATGTGTGATGCAACGCAACGGGCAAAGTTTCATCTCGATCTGCATTTCCTTTTTTGCCCTTTGTTTGCTTCTCCGCGGGGAGTATTTTCCCTCCTTCCATCCCAAGTCCCAAGTAATTCCTACGCAAAGTGCCTTGTAATGTAATCAATAAATTATATTGTACTTTAATTGATACTGTACAATACACCATATATAATCTAGAATAAATATGAAGATTTCTCCGATACTGGTGCCACTGTTGCTGGGTTCTTGATGTTTAGTGCCTTGTGCTTTGATAGACCAGTTCTTTTATCGTTCAGCAGCTACAAAAAATATCTAACTGCTATGAAGCAATATATCCAGGGTCTTCCCAATTTATTCGTTGTTCCCTGAGTCTGGTTGGTACGTTGCCTACTAACTTCATTAACAACCCTAGTAAAACCTTTTGGGGGACTTCTGACCCCCACTCATCCATACCTATCTCTTCGTCATCAAACTTCCCACCGACTATCAGGAACCGAACCCCCACGCGCGCTCGCCTCGTCTAAGACTTCATATATGTCGTTTTCGTCAGCAGAGGTACATAATAATGAAAATTCTCCTACACAGTGAGCCTGGGAAAGCAAGAAATAATGCACATTCATCCCACGTCCATAACTCACATGATTGGTGAATCCAGAGCCGTGCATTTATTCCTCAGCCTTCTCCTCTCCTGACAGAGGTTGATCCAGGTCCAATTCTATCTAGGGATGCTCAGGCGCGTCCAGGTACGAATATGCCGCACGCTTGATCGATCACGTCACTTTGGTAGCTAAAAAGAGTGAGAAACCTATCGCTTCGTCAGAGCTGAAAGTGATAATTCAACCTCCCCTAGGTTTGTCCCGCCAAATTCAATTCACTTGTCTTCATCCCACAACAACTCACTGAGTGTAATAATCATGGTTAAAAATCTCAGCTTCACAAAATGTCGAGACTGGAACATGGAGGAGCCAACCCCGGATTGGTGACTCAGAATATCGTCGAAGGTATCGTTCTGGTACGACCTCGGGCTATTACTCGTCCTTTTATTCGCCTTTTATTCTGAGAATAAAAAATCTTCATCAGGTCCTAGCCGCCGGAGAGGTGCAACTTCTTTGGGAGAAGCTGGTTCAGGTGGGATATTTTTTCCTATATGGAACGCTTGGCCCTGGCATATCTGACTTTGGTTGCCGCCAGATGCCCCACAGCAAAACCAACCCCCAAGTATCGGTCACCGGGCATCATTCGGTCACGCAATGCCTGCGGATCTCAATTCTATGATCTACGTTCCTAATCTCGAAGAAACGTTTAATCGCGGGGCAGTCCCACTAAATGATATTAAAGAAGCTTCTGAACGACAAACTATTACCCCAGAAAACATTTTGGACCGCTCGCAGACGCCTTTACGGCAGTCCGCACGTCACACAAACCGAGTCGGAACTGGCCGAGTAAGTCATGAAAACAATCGTGGCTTCGGGAACACGGCACCTACCCGTCCTCTCTCGGGACAATTTGACGGGGAATCTGCCCCTACGGAGGAAACGAATCCACCACCTATTGCCAAGACATTTGTTCGTCCGATTCCTCCGCTGGAATTGCTAGACTACCCGGTAATATTCAACCCCAGGGTTACCATGAACATGGCTACAAGCTCGCCGTTATATGTAGGTGGCGGCTGTGTGGATGGTAGGCTCAATATCCATATACGTGGGACACGTCTAGATGATATCAGATTGGGCCGTGTAGGGATCGATATAGTTGGAGTTGAAGGCAAGTACTATTGTTCTAAATCCCTCCAAAACATCTTGAATGCAATATATTTACCTGATACGTAGAAATCTCATTTTTCCGCAAAACAATCTTTATGAGCATCGCCAGTGAACTTATAGATGATGAGCATCCACCACCGCCAGCTATTCTTCTTCCTACAGATTTTGATCAGAAAACATTCTGGAAAGTGAAACCTTCGCGGTCCTTTCTTCCCTTTCGCCTGAACCTACCGCTGAACGTTGGTCCCGGTCCATTCCAATCTGTCAGAGCTCGGATACGATATATCATTCATGGGTATGAAATTCTAGCCTTGTGTTTTATTTATTTCCCCTCTCACCTAAAGAAGAAGAAAAAAAGACCAAGCAAAAACAAACAAAACAAGGCGGGAGTTGAATTTATAATTCTAGGACCGTAATGTATACCGTCAACGGTAGAAAGAATATAGTCCGCTGTTGCAGGGACATTCGCGTGATCTCAGCCTTAGATCCTGAAAGAGCTCTGTTACCCCTGGAAACCCCGCTACTAACCACTGAAGAGGGCCCGCTGAGGTGGGGAGGGTATGACACGTTGAAGGTCACGGCAGGCTTGCATCGTGCGGTGTGGGTTTCTGGAACCGTGGCATACGTCGACGTGAACATCGTGAACAATACACGTAGGAGGGTTAATACAATCCGATTGAAGCTAAGGCGGCATATACTAGCTTATAAAAATGTGAGTCCAGATTTGTTCCCACTTTGCTAATAGCTTTGCTTTTTTGTTTGCTTTTTCCTTATTCTTTACATATTTTTCATTTCTCCACTCTTGAACCCCACTGAGTTCACGTGCGCAGACCGTAGCATTGGCAGAAAATAAATCTGCTGGACATCTTAGGGTTCCCAGCTGGATCGAGCATAAGACACTTGCGCAGTCTGAGTTGAATGTAGGGAGGCGTTGGAAAGGTGTTAAGGGTAATCAGTTGGATGTTGTGACCTGTGAGATCGAAATACCAAGAAACCAACTATCTGTGAAGATGGGTCGGTTCTTTGAGGTTAAGTATTTTGTAGATGTTGCCGTGTGCACTCTTGCGGCGTGCGTAGCTTACTATTCTGTGCTTTTACAAGTATGCATTGCTTTTTGCGTTGATGTGATTAACTAATTTGGTAATATTAATATTTAGGAAAACCATAAGGTGTCAGCTACCTCTAACTATTATTCATATGGTTTGTTTCAAATTATTCGTCTATTTTATTAATTACTCCATTCCAGATACTCTAACACATGTAGAACTCGCTTGATATAATGCCGAATCATCTTTTACAGGTGGCCGAGGCTTTCGGAGAAAAGTACGGCACTGGACGAGGCTACCAAATCGCAGGACGTGCGTTCACGGCACCCCGGGAAAGTGTACTAATCCCAGAACGCAAGGGCTCACTTAGGCATAAACATAGTCATATGAACCTAGCCAAGCCCAAAGTGATCACCTCTACAAAAAACTCATCTAGCAGAAACTCGGGAGTGTTGATACCGGGTCTCGAAGAAAAGAAGCCTTCTCCTGACAGTACTAGTAAGATAGCAGCTGCCCAAAGGAAACGAAAGATCACCTTAGATGATCCCAGGAAACTAGATATAGATGTTCCTAGTCTCGGGCCCGGCAACCCATGGGCCGCGGGAATGGGTCCCGAGCAACAGAGGGAAATCCGGGAAGAGCAACAGAAACAGTATCACGATGCTGAAAGAAGAAGGTCAAGTGCAGTTTCATCATTCGCGGAGGGTTCTAGAGTTACCATGAGGAGGGTCAATAAGGACGACGAAATACTGGGGGGTATGGGGGGCTACGGGAGCGTCCCGCAAGATAGTCTTATTTAGCCGTGGTCGGTCGGTCAGTCGTCCTCGTTGTCGCCGCGTTGTTGTCGGAGGTAATTTGCGGAGGATCGTCAGGGCCGTTTTCTTGGCTGGCTTGTTTCGGTCAATATAGAAGGAACGTCGGAGGCGTCGTTGGGGCAGAGAGTGCGTTCAATTAGATTTTCTTTTGCTTTCTTTTCCTTTGCTTTTAAAAAGGGTTCAAACGCGTGTAAGAAACACAGAAATGGCTTGTAATTGCCGGTGTGTTAAGCCTTGTCGAGATGTTTGTCTTAGAGGAGGGTTTCTATTATTACAATACGCAGGAACAGACGACTTTGGCAAGGAGAGAAAGGGTTGCTTTTCTCAAAGGAGCAGACTACATGAATTCGACCGCATGAAATTATTGCAGGCTGTAGCACAAGAATTGTCTCTTGCTAAAACAAAGGACATAAGGAATGGATAATTAGCTACACTAAAATCAAGGTATTTTAAACATTGCATTATGCATCGTGTGGAAACCAGACAAGAAAACGAAATTTTTGGCCCTCCAAGATCAGCTTCCTCGCATAAATCAATCTCATCACAAAATACGAAAAATACGAGCGCATAGGCCACATGGAGTCATTCGTCGGAGTTCCCCGCCAATGTTTTCCACCAGTTTTCTCCCTTTCCTTGATGTTGAACCTAGGCTCTTCGATCCTACGTACACCCACCATGATGATGATGATGTATGAACCAGCCCATCAATCATCATCACACTCGTACGAGGCGAAGATCATAATCAATTACCGGCGGGCAGATCGGAAACAGGCGAACAAGCATAGATCCATCCAGGGTGAAGAGATTTCTCCGACGCACTCATCCATGGGCCATGGCTCATAGCCCTAGGTCTAGAGTACTTTACCTGTGTCTCCAACCCCTCGCAAAAAAAAAAAAAAAGGAAAAAAAACCTGTGCCTTGCTCCTCTGGTGCTGTGATGCGGTGAGGAGCTCCCTACCTACTCCAGAGTAGGTACCACCACCATACATAAACCCTAGACGAATTTCAACCGAGGATCGCGTATGTAGGTAGTGAAGGGGAGGGAGGGAAAACGCTGGTTCGGCGGGCGGGGCTTTGGCCGAAGTGGATTAGTGCTGATTGCCGTGGGACATAATAACTCTGCTGATATGGTCTTTCTGCTTCAAGGACGGCATGTTGAGCCGTACAGCTGGAGAGATAAAAGCAAAAAAGAAACACTAGAGTAGATACCCGTTGACTACGCGTGCAGATGGATGCAGGCGGGATAAGCTGCGGGCGTGGCCTAAATGACGGGAAACTTGTAGGGATGAGGAAATCCTGGTGTCGAGGGGTGAGGGTAAGAGAATTGGTACCTGTCTACTAAATTAGTATTCTAGCTCATGGAGAGAGAACGTTTTCAATGCTGCTTTCGCTAAAGTTGGTCACTTTTGGTATGGCCCTTCTCACTGTTTGGTGGTTGATTGGCTGGGATCCTGTTGTTTATTTTGCAGTCCAGCTAGATGCCCGCTTGAGATAGATGGCGAGTATGGAATTGAACAGTTTAAATTTTCCAGCTGAGAAGACGACGAACACCGTTTGAGATATTTGTTGCCCCCATTTCTTTCCTTCCCCTCCCTCTCCTGGGCGTTGGCTTGCATGTTTTTGTGGGGTAACGGCTTGTGTTCTAGTCCTGGCGTGTTAAAGGAGGGGTTTGCGCCTTTTTCTCCCTTCCTGTTGGTGCCACTTTTGACATTTGCGGCTTAACTACCGACCGGCGACCGTTGACTTGATACATATGGCGTGATATTGGTTGGTTGCTGTAGCGTGAATACATACAGTGCCTTTGATCCAACCATCTCGAAGGAGATTCAATCATGAAATCTCACTCGATTGCGAAATCAGGGGCTCTGGATCTGGTAACTTCAGGAGCCCGTTTAGATGGATGATTGAAGCTGATCCTGGGTTGATCGGCAGAGAGATATCTAGATTTGACAAAATTGATATCCCCCAGTGATAAAAATAGGTGAGATTATCTTCTAGAGTAATGAAACTTGCATAATATTGTATGTAGTATGATTCTGAATTGAACACTGTTTTCTCTTTTTTCAGGTAGACCTTTAATCGTCTAGGCAATTCTGGGCCCCCCTTGGACCGCGGTAACTGCTGCGTCGGTCGGTCGGTAGAGTATTATGGACGTCCGCCCGGAGCCGAGAGGTTGGAGTAAGGATTGTTGAAGTGTTGGAAAGTTTCTGTGGCGAAAGCCACCGCTTTGAAAAAGAAAACTCCTAATGTATGAAATCACCTAGAAGCACTTTGTTTGGTGCCCCTGGTTTCGCTGTCCAGATCCTCGCCGCTGCCGCTCTGGCGGATCCGAGCTCCACAGATTAGGAAGGAGAAATTTTCAATGGCGAAGGCTGAGAAACTCCTCAAGTTTGATGCAAGCGGCAAAACCAATTTGCCACGGCTCAGTCTTCAACCGCTTGTACCACAGGCAAATTCTTAACTTGTAGTATTAGTTCGTAAGCTCGTTTGAAATAAGGCACGACAAAAAGCGGATGCTTCAGCTTTGAGGTATTAGACATGCCTTCGAGGTTCTCATAAGTGTTTCGCGGCCAGGATCTACTGTTGAATGCAAATTGACTGTTTCAAAACAGGGGTGATCTCGAGGTGAAAACCAAATCGGTATTGACATTTTCTTGCTGTACAAGGGAAGTGGTGATACTTGCGGACTAAGCCCAAAAGAAATTTTTTTCGTGTCTATCTAGGGAGTGAAGTAAAGTGGTATGAGTGCTGAGAAACCAGCAAAAATTCAAAAGATATGTGTTACACGTTGTGGAGCTGATCTAAACCATGAATGATGTCAGGGGTAGCGTAAGAAGAATTCATTGGTTTTCGATCTCAGATAGCAGGACCGTAAAAGTCCTATCCTCAGCTATCCTAGGGCGTTTGTTGGAGAGCCATTGTCTCAGACAGCCTTCGTGAATGGCGGTACTCCTAGCGATGATTTGAGATCAGTTAGAATGTTAAGAAGATGCGGGTTGAGGTGGAATGGGATAGTAATAGGGAGAGGATATAATGCTCAAGAGCTGGTAAAATTCTAATGCGAGAGGTTGATGAAATATTGCGCCTAGGTCGTCGCGTGTGCTGCGGCTCTTCCCCGCATTCCGCCTCGAAGTGTAAGTAGATCTATAGACTGAAGCATAACAAATGTAGGTGGTTGAGTGAACCTTATTTTGGGTGTTGAATGAGAAGATGGGTTTGTTGCGGCTGTGAAGTCAACTCACACTTAGCGAGCTCTCTATGGGCCTATATGCTACCCGATAAGGGATCATTTCAATATGGGGGGCCGCCGTCAGAATGCGAGTGATAGACTATGATTGTTATGTTTGCTGCTTAACAATCTTGTCTCGTGACGTAACCCTCTTTAAGACTTTGACCAACATTTTGCGATAAGATAACACGTAGTTGCTAAGCTTAATATTACCTCCATGCGTGACTTCAACCCCCCACTGTTATCCATCACCTCAGAGTCAGTTTATGAAAGAGTTTCCGACTGTCAAACCGGCGGATTTATCAACTATCACCGTTTACTTACAAGTTAATCTACCGCTTAACCTATCAAAGATCGACACTTGCAATTACATATCTCACGGGTCTCGACACAATCATAAATTGAGGATGTCACAACTGCCACACCCATAGCCAGCTTATCAACTGCTCCTTCTGCTGACGGTTTCCAATCCCTTATCTATAGCTACGGCTAGAACACGCCCGATTCACAAGAGGTAGATTGCACGACAGAGTTATTTATCGCCATGTAATTAATCATGCTTCGGTTATTCAGCGATATCGACTATCCGAAAAGAATAAGGTCCTACTTCGGTGGTAGCTACAAGCGGTGGTATTTCCATTGATAGTTACAGACAGCTATAGTCTAGATATCCTTGCTTTTTGTGGTCGTTCTCGAAACCTACATTGTTTTTTGCCTTTTTGAAATTACCAGCTTACACTTATCAATCCCGAAGGACCTGAAGGAACCTCCAAAGCGTACGACCAACACCTCGAAGTCGAGATATCTTGATTCTCTCCCACTTCAAACGGTCTTATCAGAATTAGGGACGCACTCCAAGGTTCAAAGTTATTTACCTTACTCACGGCGTCTCACTCGATCCCAAGCTTTTCTTTTATCGTATCCCTACACAGACCCCTGCATTCAACTTGACAGATTTCCGACCCCACCCTCTAATACTGATCCCCCGGTATAGTTATGTTTGTTCTAAAAATAGGTGTTTTTTTTACCGAAAAATCACCGGTAAGATAGGGTATGTCCCTTGTTGCATAGCAACATACTCTATTCTTTCTAGAATATCATTCAAGACAGACAAGCATATATTCAGCTAACTGATTTGCGATACTTGAATAGCGGTACTTTACGTCATATATACCAAGTCAAACAAAGCCGCCAAAACTCGGCCCAAGTCTCAAACTCGATCTTCACTATAAATTTCTGCCATAATAGAAAAATAAAAACAAGATAAAACATAAATTATACAAGTGATTGTGGGGCATTAACCACGTATTCGCCGGCTCGACGTGCCATAAATGCCGGTGGAATATTTACAAAATCAAGTTTCAGATGTATTTCTTTGGAAGCATGAGCATGCAGCAACCAAAGACTTTTTTAGCGTCATAATTTGAACTCCATATGCCTTTATCTCTCTAGAACCATGGTTGATCTAGAAGCCTTGAAGCTTGTTTTCTCGGTTGGCACACCCCCCCCCCCCCCCCATCCTCCCCTTGAGACCTGCCCCTACACTCCCGGAAGTCCCCTCGGGCCTTTTGCGGTTGTCCCGTGGTTTTGGATATTATCTAATTGCCTATCAAAGTTAACTTCAGGGACCGATCTAATTGAGGGGTGAGATACCAACCGATCGGGCAATGAATCCAATATGGTTTTGCTCGATTGCGTTACTCGTATAACTTCCCGCTCCTGCTGGGGATTGTCGGGTTGTATGCGTTGATAAGGGGCAGCTAGGGCCAATGAAATAAACATAAAGTTGAGGATAGTCAGGGCTCGTAAAAGCATAGTTGTTTTATCAATGCAGGTGTAAGGTTTTGGCAGATGGTCCTGAGTTGGAATTATCAAGATGAAAGGAAGGAGGCTAAGGACGTTAACGACTCCAAAAGAAGGCAAGCGATCATTTTTAAACACTGACTAAGTGAACGATCCTAAGAAAAAGCTTCGCGCAGAGAAAAAACCACCAGTGGTCGGTGGAGCTGCAAACCTCCGGTGGCATGGGGGTAGCTGTGTGGGGAAGGTGAGATATGTTTAAGGGCGCTGGTTGCGGTAGGCCCATGAAACCGGTGATAAGATTCTATGTTGTTTGCTGATACTGGGACGCCATAATCGTAGGCTACTTCGACTGTTATGGGATTTCATTCATGACATGGTAATCTGCACACCATTAACTTTCCGGTTGACAGTTTTCCGCGTGTAGTGCCAAGTTGCGCAGCAGGTGGTACATACATAGTCTGGAAGTCGGTGGATGTGGCGTTTCCAGCCACATCTATTTATAGTAACCACAACGTTCCACCAACTAACCTCACCCCAACATCAATAACAGTTCTCTGCTTTATTAGGGGAATCAATTTCCTGCACAGAAAGAGCTTCTAATTATTAATCATCTGCTGTTTACATATTCGTAGGCGGAGTACATGGACGTTTCGCTAAACAAAGTACTATTCGTGGAATTGGTGTGGGGCTTATTGGACAACTTCACCGGGGCAGGACAGGGCAGGGCTACATGTACTTTATTACTACTTCCTAGTGCATCCGACCAAACACCCCCGAATATCGTTGTGCCATCAAGCGGCATGCTAATTTCTTCTGTCGGAATTATCTTCAGAAGATCCCACCATCGGTCGGTCACAATTGTGCTGTCTCTTCTCACTCATCGGCTTAGCGTTAGCAATCTGATACACATGCCATGAGTTGGGTAATTACCAAGCCACAGGCAAACTAGCTTCGATTGCACACCGTACGGTAGCTTAGGGCCTCGCACCAAGACAAGAATCAAAGTCATCATTCAAGTCCGGCATCGACCGGGTATTACTATATTGGGTGGGCTCACCGACTACTGGTCACAGAGGATAGATATAAGAGCTTGTGGATTCGTGCCCATCATGTTTCTTTCCTTCCTCATCACTCTCACAGATCAAGTCACTCATTCCGGCTTTTCTTCAAAGCCTTACCTTCCTTTTTATCTTTATACAAAGAACCTGGTGTTCTTCTTACCTTCTTACGCTCCTTTGATTATATCCTTTTTACCAATACTTTTTTACCAATCCGGTTACCACAGTCGTTTCATTTTTCATATTCCTTTTTTTTATATAACACATTCTTTTGAAAAGCATTCGCAATGCGTCAATATCTTGTTTCAGGTGTTTTCCTCTTGCTCGCTGCCTCTTCAACCAACGCGCTTCCTACAAGCCTAGAGGCCCGATCAAACAACCTAGCAGTTCGATCTTATACTACCTCAAGCGGATCAAGTGTTAACTATGCTGCGCCTGCCGACGAGTCTGTTCTAGACGCTCCCGCCGACGAATTTGTCGGTACATCTGATGCGCCTGCCGACGAGTCGGTCGAAGCACCCGCCGATGAGTATGCTGGCGAGGCGCCTGCCGACGAGTCCGTTGAAGCTCCTTCAGACGAGTCTGTAGACGCGCCTGCCGACGAGTATGCCGGCGAAGCACCCGCTGATGAGTTTGTTGGCGAGGCTCCCGCCGATGAGTCTGTTGAAGCACCCGCCGATGAGTCTGTAGAGGCTCCTGCCGACGAGTCCGTCGATGCTCCTGCCGACGAGTCTGTAGAGGCTCCTGCCGACGAATATGCTGGAGAGGCCCCTGCGGATGAGTTTGTTGGTGAGGCTCCCGCCGATGAGTCTGTCGAGGCTCCTGCCGACGAGTCCGTCGATGCTCCTGCCGACGAGTCTGTAGAGGCTCCTGCCGATGAGTCTGTCGATGCCCCTGCCGATGAGTCTGTCGAGGCTCCTGCCGATGAATCTGTTGATGCGCCTGCCGACGAGTCTGTCGAGGCCCCCGCTGATGAGTTTGTTGGTGAAGCACCTGCCGATGAGTTTGTTGGAGAGGCACCCGCCGATGAGTTCGTTGGAGAGGCCCCCGCCGACGAGTCAGTTGAAGCCCCTGCCGATGAGTCTGTCGATGCCCCCGCCGATGAGTCAATTGAAGCTCCCGCGGACGAGTCAGTCGAGGCTCCCGCTGATGAATTTGTTGGTGAGGCCCCTGCGGACGAGTCAGTTGGAGAAGCCCCTGCAGATGAATCCACCGGAGAAGCCCCCGCCGATGAATTTGTAGGAGAGGCCCCCGCCGACGAATCCGTTGAAGCTCCCGCCGATGAGTTCGTTGGAGAGGCACCCGCCGATGAGTTCGTTGGAGAGGCCCCCGCCGACGAGTCTGTCGAAGCCCCTGCCGATGAGGGAGTCACTCAGGCAATTGATGCTCCCGCCGATGGTGATGAAGTTATTCCAGATGACGAGTCTGCTCCCGATAGTGCTGACGAAGAGGCTGCTCCTACCGGCGGTGATGATGAGAGTGCTGGTGGCGATGACGAGAGCACCGGTGGCGATGACGAGAGCACCGGTGGCGATGACGAGAGCACCGGTGGTGATGATGAGAGCACTGGAGGTGATGATGAGAGCACTGGAGGTGATGATGAGAGCACTGGTGGTGACGACGAATTCTTCGAGGACAACGAGGAAGCTGAGAGCATCGCCGACGAGCAAGGTGAAATTGACGACAAGGAGGCAGCTGCACCCACCGCTCCTGCTGGTGGTGCAAGTGAAGCTCCTGCCGACGAGGGAGTCGCTGATAGCTCCGACAACGAATCTGCCGGCGGTGATGATGAGAGTGCCGGTGGTGAGGCCGATGACGAGGCAGCTGCTGAGGCCGACGATGAGGCAGCTGGTGATGGTGGTGATGATGAGGAAGTCATCTTGCACAGGTAAGCATCAGACTTATACAATTCTTAATAATTTCATAGACACTAACAGAGTTCGAATGATATAGCATCAAGAAGAGGGCTGTTCCCTTCATCGCTTAAGTGCGATCAATCTCTTGTATGTGTCTAGGATAGGCGATTTCTCTTTTTGTTTGTATCGAGATAGTAGGGCATGTTTAGGGGGTCTGGAAAAGCAGAGTAAAGAATGTGAGAGGGAGTTGAGGGGTTTTATTATATGACATTGTTTTTTTTCTTTCCGTTTATCATCTTTTGGGGGTTTTCATTGCATTTTTTGTTCCGCTTTTTCATCTGTTTTGTATTTTTTTGCGGGATAATCTAGCGATCTTCCATTTTATAGAAAAGAAAAGACAACTCTTTTCCGTTATAAATTGTGCAGCGAGTGATAGACTGTGATGCAGAGATAAAGTGGCAGTTCGATCATTGGCTCCCTCTTTAGTCTTTGGTACGCAACCTCGCCTACCGGATACCGTAAAATTATCTATAGGTAATAACATCGCCGGATTCTAGGCTCAACTGCGTCACGAGCACGTAGAGACGAAATGAACTCGCTAGCTATCATCTGCTGCCACTGATCTTCCATCTCTTTCCCACCGACGAAAGTGCAATACACAACTGTTCACACACGGCCGCTAAGCTTAAGCACGCTATATGAGTAAGTACTACGGCGCCAGGCGAGCAGCATCTTTACACCTACTGTGGGTGTTCTCCCGATAATTACATGGTTAGCTAGTTAGTGACCTTGACCTTTGATCGCTGTACTATAGGAAGAAAGGCTATCCCCCTTCTCTCTTTTTATGCTCATCTTTACCCTTGAGTCTTGTCAACTTCTGCGTATTCCCCAAACCGGGGCAGCAGTAGAATAAATTCTGGGCATCTTTTTGGGCTTGAGTTGACGATAGGAATCTATGGCAAAGACGTAGCCGGGAAGGCCCCTGCTCTCATACCCCCGGGTGGGGGATCGATCTGCGGGCACTCTGGATCTCTTAGCGGCGGCTCATGCCTGTGGAGGTGCTACGAACGGGGTTTGAAAAGGGAGGGCGGTGTGGTGGCTTATCAGCCAACGGTGTTTTTTTGAGGTGCGGTTAATTTAGCTTTTACGGGCGGGAGATCGAAGCACCTATCGGGTGATAGTAAAAAGTGAAATTTATCCAAAGCCATTGTCCCATCGACGCGCGCTTTTTTTTTTTTTTAATCCCGACCCCGCCCCCACTAACAGCTTGAACTACAGACATTTTAGAGTGGATAGCCGGCTAGTTCACCGTTCTTTTGGAGCCAAGACGAAAACGCTGAATACATATGTATGTATGTCCCTTTTGCTTCAAGATAGAGATTCACCTAGGCGTAAAGAAGATGGAGGGATCAGGACAGGACGAACGACCCTTTAAGCCCAATTATCGCAGCTCGGGGCATAAGCTAAAGCCTAGCTAGCCAACCTACCAACCTATCACGAGTAGAGTATAACTATGACTAACTATAGTCTCAACTATAGTTCTAGACCCACTATCCTGAGACGGCTTATACCATGGTGTTGACACCTCAGAGTACACGGGAAAAATTAATTAGTGAGAAATCCAAATCTTGATCAAGTCTGTTAGACAAAGCCTACTCTCAAAAAACAAAGTGGGAAAAGAAGCTTTACTCCACGTCCCCAAATTTCCTACGGTAGACCATTATTTATCCGAGCTGGGAGTGAGCTAGACAGGGGATATGATCGGCTTTGTCGATAATTATGGTAGAACTTACGATGCTGCCGGCCGCAGGATAATTTTTACATATCTACAGGGAAAGAGTATAAGTTGTGTCCAAAATAGATTTTGTTGGTTCACAGCCCATCACTCGACACACACCAACACCCGAGTTGGTATAAGCACGAACTATCACTCGCCCCTTTCGCCCACTTCGAACGGCGCATTTTCAGAGTCACAAAGGACACAACGGCCATAATAATCGGAACGTAGAAATTTCTATATTCTCTATCCCCCCCTCACTCCCGTCCCCATCACCACTAGTAATAATAGCAGCAACACATAAAAACCACACCCCTAAACATATTCCCAAGCAAGTTTCCCATCGCAACAAAACCAACAAATAAAGGAGCGCAAGAAAGTTCCATTCCAAAGCACAACCAACAAGCCAGACATTACCCACGCCGGTAAAAACAGAAACACACCATTGCCATATCAAAAAAATAAAAAAAAGCGAGAAAAAAATAAGCAGGTCCCAACGATCCGCCTCTGCTCGCCCATCACTACTAGGTATCGTAACAGTATCCGCCGCCCTATCTTACACTACATAAGTCTTGTATGAGAATAAGAGAGATCTAGTTTATGCTCTAGTTATGTTCAACCGGGTGCTCTGGGAGAAGCTCCTGGCGGCCCTCTTCGTCGATTGTGCCGTCGTGCTGGGTGAGGATGCGCTTCCCGAGGCAGGCGGCCATTGGGGGACGGACGAGCTCTGTTTTGTGTGTTAGCTATTTACCGAGATTGAGTGAGGTGGGATGGAGTCTATTTACCATTGAACAAGAAGGTTCCGTAGACCAACAAGGCGAATCCAAGAACTTGGAGGGGCTTGAAGGTCTCCCAATGGAGTGCCAAGCTGAAGATCCAGATGAACAAGGTCCTGCAAGTATCGATGATACTCCTGGCAGTGGCGCTGATGCTCCTTGTAACACTGATACCGAAGAAGTTGAAGCCACCAATCGAGACCATAATCGCGACGGAAGAAAACGCAACAGCGCGGTAGCTGGTGATCTGGCGGAGTCCCTCAACGGCGTCAAAGTATCCGTACTGGCCCTCGGGGTGGCTACCAATGGTAATATGGAGGACAACCATTCCAACGACGGTGACAATGAAGCCAAAAATACCCTCCCAGCCGACAACCTTCAATGGCTCAAGGGCATAGTTCTCGAGAATCCATTCCTCGGTTACGAACTGGGTTGCGGTGAAGATCTGAGCACCGGCGATGAGGAGGATACCGATGATGGTTCTGAGCGCAGCGCTGGAGGCGTCTTCTTCAACCAGGGCATCGTCGTGGAGTTTGGGGACTAGTTCCTTCTCCTTGAATAGGGCTCCAGCAAGACCGACGATTCCAACACCGAGAACGACGACAAACAACGCGAACCACTGGAAGGGACGGAGGTGGCGCTTCAAGAAGAGGACAGAGAAAAGACCGACAAAGAGAACAAGGGCTCCACGGGTCATTTGGTAGATTGACGCGGCAACAAAGAGGAAACCAACGTTCATGAGCGTCGTTCCGGCAATATCACAGCACGCCGGGATGGCGAGGAGGAAGACCTTCAATCCAGTGATGGGGGTACGGCCATCGGCATTCTTCACGAGCGGCTTAACAGCGGGCGAGACATGGTGGGTGGGTTCGTCGCCTCCAGCGACAGGCTCATACCCGGCGCGCTGACGGCGGTGCTCGACAAACATCTTTGAGAGCGAGAAACAACCAACGATCAACCAGCAGCCCATCTCACCGATAAACATCTGGAGACTGTTTATGAAACGTCTGTTAGCTCCTGTAGCCCTCTGTTTCCGCGGCTACCCGAGTTTCAGGGGACCGGGGGGTAGGGCAACTTACGTCTGCATAACTGGCTGCTCGAATACATGGCGTTTCGCAGGGTTTGGATCGTCGCAGTTGCGGACGCACTGCATGTCCTGGTATTTCGTCAAGAGGGTATTCGCGACACCTGTCGCGAGCATCTGTGGAGCTGTCAGTACTGAGGCATTCCCTTATCAGTGCCGAGACCGGGGAGAGGTGGCTTACACCAGTGACTAGCAACGCGATGACTGCTTTGCTTGCCATGATTGCGAGCTGCTATTGGTGAGAGTATGGCGGAGACTCGTCGAGAGTCAAGTGGGTGTTTTGGAGTTGTTATGGGGGGAGGACCAGCTGTGGGTGCTGATGATGGGGAGAGGAAGAAGAGAAGGAAGGTGGCTTTGTCCGGAGAGTTGAGAGGTTGTTGCTATCGCATCTGAGACATCACGAGGGTCAACACCGGACTCTTGCCGATGCGATCATGCAGGGGTGAGAGCCTCCCGAAATACACACGAGATAATCAAAATATACCTCTTATATTTACAGTATGACACGGAAGTAATTATTAACTATATTATAATTATTCAGAGCCTTTTGGAGTAATTTACTTCATTATTGCATCATATCACGTGAGCAGCGTCAATGATAGCTGTAGCCGAACAAAGCGACCCCCGGCTGTTTATCTTGTTCTGTCAAGCCTGGTGGGACTTCGGGCGTTCAGTGGCCGACCGGATGCGAGATAAGTGCCTACAGATTGTTTTTGTTTACTTATCACCCCCCTGATATCATAAAAGCGATGACTAAACAAAGAAGAGAGGTCAATGATCGGCCGTAGTTATGCACAATGTCCCGAAGTCCCCCTTATATGTACAGAGATATCAATGGGTAAATACGCAAAGTATAACAACTTTAAAACGAGGGATGCGGGTGTTCCTAAAGGCTATTCTGAAGGGCTGTTGTTGGTGTTTTTGACTACATATAGTCAATCAAAGTAATGAAGCGGCTGTAGCTTTCTTGGCCTTACGCGCATAACCGTTCAGATAGTCTGTTTACCACTGGGATAGAGGGCTGGAGATCCTTGGGGCTTTAATGACAACCAAAAGCACAATATATTATAGTTAGGGTTCTTTTGATGGGGAGAGCAGGATATTTCTTGCCCGATAAAGTATAAGCACTATTTTGTTTTTGTTTTTGTTTAATTCATAGTATATGCACTACGTCTGCTTAGGCCGTTTCAAGCCTTTAATACTATAAAAAGTACTGTGGTTTTTATATTAGTCACCATGCAAGGTAACTTATCCTTAACGTTGGGACAAGATTAAGCTATTTAGTGAATGTAACGCATGGCAGTGATCAATGACCAAGGCTAGAACTTACAAGTGTAGTCGGGGGCTCTCCTTTTTCACAGCAAATGTGTTACCGCCCCGCCCAAAACATCAAGTATTAGTGTTAGCCCCCAAATTTACCTTGCAAGCTTGTTCCATACATGTAGTATTCAGTTCAGGTGTGAGAATGTAGCCGGTTCTATCATTACCAACGACTAACTAGTAGAAGACGTAATTCTGCATGTAGCAATTCAATTATTGACTCCAAGCTGCTAAGGTGCCGGTGGTAATTAGGAGGTGATCGCAATGTATTTGAGTGTATTCTTACCGCTTATTACTAGATCTATACTGAATATTAGATCTATACTAAACACTAACAGATCTTAGTATATATCTACAAACTATCTAATATAAAACCTCACACTTCGTCCATTATAAATATACCGTCACAATTATCAAAGTAGTTAATTGAATACTGTTTACTAAAGAGTAAATTAATAGGAAATATACTGTCCATTGATGTTAGAAGGCCTAGGCTAGGCGTTCTTAGAAGAGATAAACCGCGTCAAAAAGAACGGTCTCCACGTGGCGAGTTTTTCTTTTTAGAATTCTATACTACCAAAACGCAAAGCATCGGCATCTGTACTTTGTCATTTCATGCAGTCAAAAATCTCTAGATTAGGTTTTATGCATTACAAGGATGCCGTCGATCCACTCATGTCACATTTTTATATGTACTCTTATTACGTGATTCCACAGTAGCGATTGACAGTCTATAGATCTGGTTTGGGTCGTCTGGGCCGGCGTAAACTATGGTGTAACGACTGCTAAGCTCTCCAATAGTTAGTCGACTTGGATATGCCTAATTTTTATCTCCCATTCTTCCCATGTAGCCTTTCCCCACATTTTATTCATCCACCGAGCCACAGTAAGGAACACCATGCTCTGACCAAAAATAAGTCTTCCATATCTTCCCATCTCTCTAACTTTCCCGGCCTGGAACTGACATCCTTGTCTGCCGAAGAGCAGAACAAACGAGATAGTTACGTGCCTCGACCAACGGAAAAAGACAAAGAGTCCGGTTAAGTACATGGTGCTTAGTATATAGCCATAGATCAAACAGAACATTCAAGCGCCGACATGAAAAGTCCCCCAAAATCAAACCGCCCAAAAACCCCAAAAACCTCCATCCAAACCAAAACCGAGTGACAGCCCATGACTCACTTAATCTTACACAACCCCATGGCCGCCGGCCGCCGGCCGCCCCCGGCACTAGCCGCACCGGCGAAACATACACAAATTAGGCGAGGCTTGCCATGGCATGTTATCGATATCGGGTATCCAGCGATCCTGCAAGCAAAACCCCACCCCCACCCACACACATGCACCACCGGAGATTTGACAGACTTATCGATATCGGCAACGCAACGCAATAGGATTGGAAAAAGTTATCGATAAAACAAACTACGTAACTACCTAGCTGTCAATCAATCGATACCCTTTTTTAAAAGAGGGGTATAAACAATACACGATCGACGCTAAAAACTAAAAAATCAATCGCAAGCCGCCCGTTTTGTGTTTGTTTTCCCCCTCATGAGATAAACTACAAATGCTCGAATTCGCAAATTTATTTTTATTGTACATTCATTTGTATGTAAACTGCCAGGCTGTGGGGGAGGGTTCACGGGATCAACTATGTAACCTTTTTTCGCGGAAGAAAGGGGGGAAAAAAAAAGACCAAAAAAAAAGGGACAATCATCTCATAAAGAACAATCCGGAAATCAAAAAACCGCAATGACCGAGTAGTCGAGTTTCTTTTATAAAAAAAAAAAAAACTTTCGAATTTCAGTTTATAACGCCCCCAGACCACACCCCAGGTAGTAAGACACGATGCAAAAAAGGAGAGAGAGAGAGGGAAATATAAAAAGGTAGGAAACAAAGACAAAGAGATAGAAGAGAGGTAGAGAGAGAGAGGGAGGGAGGTTGATTGTAAGGAAATAAAGAGAGAAAAAGAAAGTAAAGAAAAAGTAATAAGAATCTCATGATGGAAAAGAAGAAAAGAGAAGAAACGAAAGACAAGGAGATAAAAAAGGGAAAATATGCCGCTCATGGCCAGATAGCTAGCAATCTGCTTAGCCTCTGTAATGTGATGTAAGTACCTAATGATCAACGACCTCTGCTCTGCTCTTATACAAGTTGCTCTTCGAATCATCTCACATGCCACTGATGCATCATAACACCCCTCAACCTCCTCATCAAAACAACAACAGTCAACAAACCACCATCAAAACAATCAACAAAAAATAAAATAAAACTATACTAAAAATAAAGATGAAGAAATTTATAAATTACCCTCTGCCCCCCAGGCCTCGCCTCCCTAATCTATCTCCATCACCCGCAATTCTCTTCCTGGGGGTCGCCAGGAAGTCCAACCTTTTCTTTCTTTCTTCCTCCTCGCCGCCCCTTGGCCTCTTTTTTTGTACAGTTTGACCAAGCATCTCTTCGTCCGAGCTCTGGTCGCTCTCCATCTTCCGCTTGTTATTGACGGGAGTTGTCGCATCCCACTGCATTGGGCTCGTGGCAAACGGATCCTCAACGCCCACAGGATCGTTTTCGGTGACCTTCGGAGTTCCCATCCTGCTCCCAAACATCAACATCCCCGCGGCCGCAGCGGCCTTCCTGTCATGCATCTCAGTGAGAGTGTTAAAACCGAGACCCGACGGCCCACGGCCGGCGCGGAATGTGAAACCGGAGGCACCACTGGGTGTCTTCATTGGTGTTGCGGCAGAAGCCTCGGCAAAGTTGATCATCGTGTTGAGTCTGCTAGTTGTTCCGGGGGGCTTGCGGGTGCTAGTGCTTCGGAGTCGGCCGGGTGTCGCAAACGTGGTTGAGGGTGTGAGATTGAGCGATGGGACTGGCCTAGGGAGAGTGTATTTCTGAGGGTTAAGCGCACTTGATTGGCCGCCTGGTGTAAACATGGCACGCTTCATCGGAGTGCTGGAGGCGCCGCTTATGCCGGCGAAGCGGGCGATCTTGGTTGGCTTGGACGAGAGTGTCGGGGCGGCAGCATTGAGACGCTGTCGCTTTACCGGGCTGCGATCCTCCGCGCGACCGGATGGGTTGACTTCGTCAGGCCTGCGCTTCTGAGGCGACGGGGAAGAGGGGGGTTCCCGCTCGCCGAGCACCGATTGGCACTTAGCGCGCTTAAGGTTCTTGAGCCCCATATCGGGGGTTTGGATCAATGCGTTCTTGGGGGTGACTTCTGGGGCGATAATTTTCGGAGCATTGGGGGTTGTGGTGGGGGTACGTTTAGCGGCGTAGTGTGACGCAATGCTGTCCATCTTTGCAAACTGCTCACGGTGGATTTCGCTGAATCGCTTCTTGCGCTTCGGCCTCCCCGCCTCCACCGAGGATCCCCTGCCCTGTTCATCCGCCTCGCTGCTCTCTGCTATCGGCGGGGTCTCAAGAATCATTGGCGTGGGGGGAGCAGGAGCATCCGGAGTGCTGGGGTTCATTCCCGAAAATCCATCCATTATCTTCTTTCCAGTCATTGTGAGCCCACTTGTGAACCCAAAGCCGCCTTTCCCCTCCGGAACATCGAACCCTCCCTTCATGGGTGTAATGGGGCCCGTCTTGCTGCGGGTGGAGAAGCGACCAGTTGTAGAAGTGGCACTAGGCATTTTGGACTTTGACATTGGCGGTGTCTTTGGAGATGGGTTAATTTTGAGAACCTGCTCAAGCGACAGATATGAGGGAGTCGCTGGAGTGTCGGAAGGAGGAGGAGGTTGTAGTAGTGGTAAAGGAGTGGTGGCAGGTGGCCGTGGAGACAGGAAAAGTGAGGTTTCACCACTGATGCGGTGGTGACGGTGGTTGCTGTTGTGATTATCGGACTGTGAGGCTGCAACTTCTAATTCTTCCTCTTCAGGGGTGGAGATAGTGGTTGTGGCTGTTGACTGCTCGATGATAGCGTTGAGTCTTGAGGATTGTTCGGTGATGCGGGAAAGCGTCGGTTGCTGTGGGAAGATATGAGGGATAGGGGATTAGCAACGGGACGGGGGGGGGGGGGGTGTGGTTGATGAAGAAGTTGAGGTGAAGTGAAGTGAGGCGGAGTGAAGGGGTTATGGGTTGTTGTTGGGTTTGGGGTGTGGGTGATGGATGTGAAGGAAAGTAGGGGAGCAACCGTGGTTGCCACAAGAACACAAACTGGGCAACGGGCAGGGCAAGTCAAAACACTGCAGGGATGTGAGGGCAGGCTGCAGCAGAAGCAGCAGCAGAACAAAAAATAGGTAGACAGCGGGGTGTAAACAAATGAGGGTGTGAGGGAAACAGTCAGGTTCCTGTGATGATGAAGGGGAAAAAAAAGAAGCGGAAAACAAAACGGAAGAAAGGCAGAGCCCGGGGAAGGTGGAAAGAGAAAGAAAAAAAAGAGGAAAAAAAAACAACTCTCACAGAAATCATAACGCCAAAACCCGTGCTAGTCCCCACCATGACGGGTGAAAGCCCCGTTCGAGCACTTCTTCTCATCCCAACCGTAGTAGACCTCAGACGAGTCATCTCTCACAATTGACCCCCAAAAAAACAATTCGTAAAAGTATCGTCGGTGCAGCGGATATATCTCGTCAAACAAAAAATAAATCTTTCTTTAGATGGTAGATCTACAAACACAAAAAAAAACCGGGGTCTGGCTCCTACTTTATCCACCCTTTATCCACTCTCCCTCCCATCTTGCACTTCCACTCCCTCCCAAGAACAGCGCAACACATATCGATGCGTTTTTTCCTGATGAGCTGGACACTTCCAGTGATGTGGATTTCAACCAGTGGACTGAAGTGGAGCGCCTCCGGAACCTGAGCCCCTTGCTAGCGCCGTGGGATGTTTGTTTACACACCCCAGACCAGGCACATCTCTTGGCGGCAACGGAGGTGGTTCCATAGCAACCACCAAGAATAGTACGAATGTGCCTGCGGCGGAGGTGGACGAGGCGGGGGGCGAGGTGGTCGTGCCCGCTGCCGGTGCCTGCGCGGCGTCCCCCTTCTCCTGAACCTCATTGCTCAATGACCTCATATCACGTGAAAGGGGTCCAGGGCGTCTATGAGTCCGAGTTGAAAAAGAGTCATGGTGGCCTTGTCCGCCTCGGATTAGATGTGGGATCCGAGTGTTTGAATTTAAATGAGGGTTCTCATTACAGGTTGTGTACGTCTGCGTTCGCATCCCCCAATTCTCCCGTGTTCTATAAGAGACCAATTGAGGAACTAAATTGTCAGCGAGACCATCTCCATGGATCCATCGTTATTGTAAATACCTACATTACTGTAGTCATGGACAGTCACCGGGATTGCTTGGACAGTACTTAACCTAGATGAGGACACTACATGTAGTTAAAGAGCCCTAAAGCCCGAGCAAATGAGGAGGTTTTATCGCTGTGGACGAGTCCAAGCAAACCGCTTGCGGTGACTATTATTCACGGTTGCGGGGTTGCACCTTCCGTCTTTAAGGGCATCAAGCTACGATTTTCTTATAATTTCAAAGATGGATGCTTGGCAAGAAGAACATTGGTTTCAAATTTGGAGTTCCGAAAATACTCATGTAGAAGGTAGCCATCAAGCTTCCTTATATGCACATAGATGCTTGCCACGGTTTGATGGAAGAGCAAAGAAGAAACAATATTACAGCGGAAAATAAGGGTAGTTGCTCAGCTAGAGGCGTTGGTTGACACATACATCGCCACAAACGACAATGAACTTAAATTCTTGAACTCCCGACTAGATAACTCCATGGCTAGCTGCTTAGGACTCATGTCCATAAGAACGCCTTTGCTTCATCGTCTTCGACACCTCTTCCATTACCTTCTTTAGCCGTTACGAGCCCCAACTTATTAACCCTCACCTCTCTCCACATATCGACCCTATCACCATCCAGCTCCTCCGCATAGATGGCCCTCTTCAACTCTTTTATAATATCATTATACACCTCCGGCTCATCGAATTCTGTAAATGCATCTCTTATAACCTTCAGCATCTCACATGCACGTGCGTAATTTGTGTCTGCCAAACTGTGGGTGATGAGTCCCTTGATGATTTCCAGCATTTCCTGCCCTGCGGATATAAGTTCATCCAGATCGTCAGTCTGCGTAAACCGCTGCTTGAACTCTGGAATCGCATTGGTGGCGGAAATCTTTTTAGGCTTTTTAGGGGCGTCGGAGGTTGAGCTGGGTTCGTCTTCGTTGAGGAGTGCTTCAATGTCGAGACCAGATTTAGGTGCTGGCTGTTCACGACGGCCTCGTTTACCAGTAACCTTAGGATCAACTACCTTGATATCACAAGCTGCAATGAGCTTGCCAAGGGGATCTTCTATCTTTTCCAACAGGCCTTCGGGAACCTTGGAATACTTGAGCAAAACTTCGTAAGGAGGTGGGATTGGTTCGTTGGGGTGTATTGCGCGCCAGCGAACGACTTGGTTGATACGGTGGACGATAGGGGAATATGTGTCTTCCACAGTGATATACTCTGATGGATTCCCTTCCTCGTCTTCACCAAAGTTGGATAAATCCATGCTATCCACATAATCACTCATATATTTATCCATATCCGGTGTGGGGATATATCGATGCTTATCAAGTACCTTTCCTGAAACAGTCTTAACTCTATCCAGAGGCGGGAACTTGTATGCTCTGACATCTTCGGCAAAGGGTACCTATTCTAGAATAAGCCTTTGAAATCTTGTAAATAAAAGCCATTTAGACCTACCTCGACATCGATCAGGCATTCAAACTCAGCATCAATAAAAGGTGCCAAGACAACCATCAATGGCTGTGTATCTTTCTTCTTGACAAGCCTCGCCAGTGCATAAGAATCAAGCTCAAAAAGAGCATGAATCAAAGATGACAATGCCATTGCAGCTTTCGGGTTTCCCTTTGCTCCAACGATAGCATTGGTACTTGACATGCTGAAGTACCGTTTATACTGAGTAACGGTGGTTAGTCGAGATTCTACCAAATCGAGTCAGGCGCCTTACATTTTCTACTGGAATAAAGCCAACAATCTGCAGCCCTGGCTCTGTTTCAAAAAGCGTTACTGTCTCATCTGTACTACTAATTGGCACAACCTCTTTGCCATAAGTGTATCCCTTTTCCATTTGATCTCTATCAACATCCATCTTCCCGCCAGCTGCATCGTGATCGTCAACCTGGTATGCCCTGGCTTGTCTGACTGCTTCCAGGCTGACGTCTGCTTCTTCGCCTTCCCTAGCCTCCGCTTTCATGATGTAAGAGCTAGCGCTGATGGGCTTGGCGACCATTGTGCGGGGATAACGCTCAACATTGATGGTGACAGCGTTTGGGTATTGAGCAGGATCTCCAAGAGTGAGGTCACCTTTGAATGAGGCTACTGGTCGAGTCTTCTTGAGACGAGGGTTACCAAGCTCCTCAATTGCTTCTTGTATGGTTCCGAATACGCCACCAACATCCTCGCATAGCTTTTTCAGAGACTCTTCGACTTTGGCCTGTTGATGTTAGACTTAGTACAACTTCAAACAGCCTAGCCCAACCAACAAGAACACTACCTTCTTTGGGGGTTTATCCTCCTCCTTGAATCCAAAATCCTCGTCATCAAAGTCCACACCTCTAGTCACTATCAGCAGCCAATTCCCCAATCCTACTCAACCAAAAACCTACAGAATAGTAAGATTGATACCCTCGGCTTTTATCTGTTCCTTGATCTGTTCAACCTCATCCATATCGAAAGATCCTCTACCATTCGTGACCAAGCAGATATTCCGGATGAATTTAAGTCGTTTACAGTGAAGCATGATCAGCTGTATCCCGATACAGAGCGCCGAGATGCCATCTCCCACATCCACCCTACTAGGAACAAGCTTCTCCTGCATCTCTCTCAGGTCCGGTAAAAGGAACCTGCCCGTTCATCAGCTCTATAACCGGGGGTAGAGAAGACCGCAGCCAAACATACTGTTTCACCGGGCTCATGACCGAGACATTTTCGTAACTATCATCCTCCTCGACCATCTCATTATTAGTTCCTAAAGCGCTCGCACCCCATTAGCTCGGCCTCCACCAAGGACGATAACCCAAAGACCCACCATCGGTGCGAAACCCCACAATCCCAATCGTATCCGTCTTCCTCCCATTCGCAATCTAGACCCCCACCCAAAAAATCAGCACCCAATCCCATCTCAAGAAAACGCCAGGAACAGGACAGTGCCATACCGTTGACGTGATCTTGTCCCACACGTATTTCAGCACATACTCTAGATCCGTCTCCGTCCTCCCGTTCTTGGGCCCCTCGCCCATGGACTTTCCGAGATCGATCACGTAGATGGTGGTTTGTTTGTCGGCCATTGCTTTTTTTGAGTCTTTTTTTTCTCTCTCTTCGGGCAGAGGAAAGAAAGGGGACCTTTAAAGGCTGCGACGGGTGGACGCGTCGTGGGAATTGCGAGGGAGACGTGTTGAGTGGCACACGTGAGGTGTCGCTTACATGCCTGCATGCGGGATGGCGTAGAGGCGTTGAGTCAGAGGCTGGGGTGGCACTAGCGGGGTGGGTTGATTGGTTGGTTGGTGGGCTTGCATTTGATCCTGGTGGTACGGAACAACGACGTGGGAGATGTTTGGTAGGTAGGGATGTTTGGTAGGGACACCTCCAAGCTGTACCGTGCCTGATCACCTACCTGTGCGTGGTGTTGGCGCAACAGGAAATTCTGACTCCCAAGTGTTAGAGTACATATTGGAGCGATCATCGTAAACCGGCCATCGATAAACTGCTGGACGGGTACGTGGTTGGAGATGCTGAATCCGGGAGATGTACTCTATTAATGCAGTGTTATAGGCAAACAGCGCATTTCTGTCACAAATACATAGTGCTTCAGAGGTGTACTACTGGAATTGCACCCACGCAGTAGCAATATATCACCATGCCGGCATCTTCCATCCTATTCCATTGCCGTGGTATTCTTGAAGCCACAGCAATGAGACATGACGGTTCATAGAATAGTGCAAATACATGTATTAACGAAAGGAATCACAGTAACACATGCACAGTAACCAATGCATTGCAGTACGGACTGCTTCGAATATCATATCCCGCTCAATACCGATTCAAACCTAGGACTGAGGCAACGCCATATTGGGAAAAGACGGTACAAGTATACTATGCGACGCCTATCATACCTCTTGCGGCACCTTATTCTCTAGGGCTACAGCATGGGGAGGTTTAGCAGACACATTTTTTGTCTGCGGGTATTACTTCTTGGGTCATGGGTCTATCGATAAAAACACAACGCCCTTCAAGGATGCAATGATGGTACTTGAGCTCCCAACGCCCAAGAAGCAAGATTATCCAAATGCGACTAGATTTTACAAGCACACAACAACTATGAATAAAGCAAGCCGATTTATAATAGACTCTAGGGACGAAAAATCGTTATGCTAAACAGGGTTCCGCCTGATACGGACGATCAAATGAGCCGAGTGATTTCTCATGATGATGCCTAAAGCAGAAGGACACGAAACGGCCACATAAACCTAACCCACAATGGTCGAGCGTCGTTGCCCAACCCTTAACTGAACTCGTATTCTACACAAATGTCAATCATGGAAAGTCGTCATGGCAGTGTAAAATCCTACATGTACGTAGTCATTGTCGTGGTAGAGTCAATGTAGGGTAAATCTCTCTCAGCACCGGATGCAGCGCATGAGTACATACGTGGTCCAATGAGTACTATATGCGGCCTCATGACTCGATAACACAAGGCGCTTAATTAAAACGTGGCTCTTACGCACCTGTTACCCTGTTTGATTCAGAATCTAAACACAGTATCCTCTTGCCTCGTATTCCTTTCCTTTCTCTTGGAGGCGGTAGCCGCAGCGAAGGACTTATCTGTTGTTGTCTCTTCTTAATTCCTTTTTCTGTTTGTTATTGTTTTCTTACTGCTTCCTCTTTTATCCGTACGGTTTGATCCATCTTCCCACAATTTCACGCTATACATATCCAATCTCCTCGGCTCACACCTGTTTGTGGGGTTATTACTTTTTGCTGTATTCTGCTATATAACCTTTAGTATTTCCTACTGTGGTTGTAACGAATTTTTCCGAAGTTTTGTTTGCAGCTATTCGAGCATAAAATATAAACAATTCCTGCCTAAGCCAATTATAAATGAAAGCGAGCCAGGAGATTATTTCGTGAAGGGTCCTAGAAGATTAAAAATTCCCTTTCTGTTTTATAATCGAAGCTGAGCCCACCTGGGCTGGTTGCTTGATTTGCCCTTAAGGCGAAGGACGAAGGGCTCATAGTTAAACTACATGTGCAAGATAGAGCGTCGAGTGATAACTCGTGAATGAATCAAATAACGAAGTTGTATAGATTGCCGAAACCTTATGCAGGAGTAGAGGTATTTCTGCAATGGAAGAGATATTGCAGCTTTTGACTCCAGTTGAATTGTCTAGTAAGTGTGCCAACCGATATCCATGTCACCAAGCCCCTATGTGAGCATGTTGTATGAAAAGTATCCAGGGATTGGTGCCTATTGTTACCATTTCCGCTAGTTTTTTCTGGGGTGAAGTGTTTTACTCTATTTGAGTCTTGAAATAACGTTGTGTGTGGATGGTGTCGAGGAAGCGCCGCCAGAACTCAGTTACATTACCCCATGACTAGGGACAGGGGTATTTTTCTAGATCTGCTTCTTTGCCTTAAATTCAACCAATGGGCGTATTGTTTTGCTATGAAGTGTTGGTGTTATATCCTAGCTTTCGGACTCGGTATCAACTTATGCTCCATTTTTGCCAATGCATTGGGGGATATTGAGCTTGCAATTGTCTATGCGGAAAATGCAGAGAGTAGCATAAAAGGCTTGAATCCCATCGAATGATACCGTAAGAGTATTCTCTTTGATCTTCGATACGTAGAGTGGCTACGTTAGTTGTGTAATATGGCCTGAACCCTTTCAGTCTAGAGGAATACGCCGAATTACTCCTGATGACATCTCTCTCCGAATAGGGAGTGTCCTGGATTATTAACCCTTTGCACACTTTTAAAATACTCTTTTAGAGCCCCTAGTGCGCTGGGCAGCGATAGGGATCTCGACGATTCGAAACTATCGGCTGTTAGCGTGTTGAGGTGAGTTAAGTGACAGGCTCCATAGATGATATAAGCCATCTACCCACCAAAATTTAACCTAGGAAGGCATGTTCTACCTATCCGGATGTTTATGGTGCGAACCTTGCCGAGATCGAAACTGCCAAGACACAGCGAGTGATTTCGTATGATCCGAGGCAAGGGGTTGGCCTTGGTCCGCCCTTTCGCTTTCTGCCATCGTCCCATTTCAGAGAAAAAATTTCTGCTACGTTTATTATTCTTCAAACAATTCAATATTTTGTTTGCCTAGATTGGTTAGCATGTGTGGGTGTTGGCAGCCTGTCAACTCTAATCATCAATTGACTTTGCCGAGACACCTCTTCACATTCTTAATTGATACTCATCCTTCATTCTTATATTGTCTTATCGGTTAAAATGTGACTATGGATACGTCCATTGAGATGTGACTAGGTTCACAGATGCTTTCTTGTTCGCGGGATGTCTTCTTCCAGGTGTTGATATACTCCGATAGCCCTAAATCATTGTATTCGAGAGACAATTGTGCTTTGGTAAAGTGTATGATTTATAATTTCTACTGTCCGATAAACAAATGATTTCTGTACCGATAGTTATATATGCAGAAAACTTCCGGATAGAATGCACTTACACCTCGAGCAAAGAGCAAAAAAGGAACTCCGCAAACAAGAAAGCCTCTGCGCACCTAGCCCCACTTGATCGGACTATTACAAGCCGATAAGTATGGTGAAATTTTTGTGATGGTGCGAACTTCTCTCACCATCTCAGAAAATTTATCACATCTGTCAACCCGAAACTCCCACCAAACAAGGCTAGATGCATAGATGATTCTTTTGCTTGCAAAAGTGACCACAGTGCCCTGATTGCTGCACTCCAGGTACCAGCACTGGCTTGAGACCCTCGTGTCGGATTGATGCATGAGGTAAATGAAAGGTCCAGGAAGTTGTATCGACGCCTCCTGCGTGGTATATATCGTGAAGTTAAAAAAAAAACCGGTAAAGAATGTGGAGGATCGAGGCGGGGCAAGTAATCAGCAATGAAATGATGAATAAACATAACACAGGGGAAGCCAAAGGATGCGGAAAGATGTGTGGACGATGAGCGGGATATAGGGAGAGAGGTAGTTTTATGCGCAGGCTTTTACCAACTCGTTAAAGAATCACACCACAGGCTAGGCACGAGACTAGGGGAGGGTGGCGCGAGACGAAGACCGGATGCAAGGGCATAAAGCAAGGGTGTGGATAAAAGGGTGAGTGATGAGTTCATGTAGTGAAGTGTGATGAAGATGAGGGGTGAAGGGGAACAGGGTAAGAAATAGATGAAGATAGAGAATTTGGTGTAGCGAGGGATGCAATAGGTATCGAGGATAAAAACTGATGGAGGAGCGAATGAAGCCTCGGGGGAAGGGTTGGGGGTGGGCAGGTGGAGCAATCCTGGGGTGAGAACAGCAGGGAAAGTGACACAAGTATGAGAGCATACAGATAGTGGAGTTGGACCTAGAAGCAGAGGGAGCGCGGGGGACCGGCCTGGCATGATAAAGGTTAGAGAACGATCGAGATGGAAAGTTGGGTGGGTGAAGATAGAGATAAGATGAAGGGTAGAGAGAGTGGGGTGCGGTGAAGGAGTGGCTAACATCAATAGGGTTAGGGGTCACTGTTAATCTTGGCACCGGCCCCTCAAGTATCAGGTAGAATAGACTGTAACCCATAAAAAAACACAGAAAGGACGAGCTGGACATGAAGCGATCGATGCCTCGACCAGTACACGCCAAGCCAAACGAGTGACCACCCATGATGACATATAAATTAACCCCTCTCCTTTCCATAGCCGCTCCGGCCGGGCCTCAATAGTACTACACGGACATGAGATTTATAATATCTATCCGGGTCGGTTGAAGTACAGGACCTAACCTAGGCTCGTCCCCAACCCCCCTGGTTCAATCCTTCCAGCGGAGTGAGCAGCTTGCTGCTAAGCAGGGGATGGGTACGAGATTAGACTTAATCCAACCTAAGAGCGACTTGGTTTAGGTTCTCTTCTCCTACAAGAAGTAGCGCCGCCTAAGATGAAGTATTCAAACTTTACGCTAAGAGAGCCCAACGTATGCCCTGAAAGCTACCCAAACAAGCACATCAAGCATCGGGTTGAATAGCCCAGCGGTATTGAGTCACTGGCTCAATAACTGTCTGTCCTAATATGCGTGCGTTCAACCTGTGCTGAGATCACTGCCAGAGTGATTCAGCAGAAGATTACCAGCCTGAAACCCCGCCGCAGGGGATGAGGGTTGGGAACTTTTTGTCTTTTTGTACGTACCCACTCTATAGACTAGGTCTCGTACGGGACTTGTATAGTCTGAGAATGAGGTTTCCGCCCCACTATCCGTTTCTTCTGCGTTAGGCTCTTCATCAATGTGTCGTCGTGCGCTCCCAGATGCAGAAATATATATACGAACTTTTGAGTTCCCATTAATAGATTTAGCGACACTTGCGGTTGATTGGTTGGAAGAACATGAAATAGGAATGCCGATTAAAGACTTGTCTAATTAATTCTATCATATTGGAAATGATTGATCTGGCAGGTAATAGCTGCTTTTTAACAACTCTCTAAAAGTCATCTCTCCAAACTACGTATACATCATGATCAACTATGGTTATGGCCAGGTTAAAGGACCGGTGGTGGATTGTAAAGGCGTACGAGAAAGTGGTATTTACTAGCTTGCTATATATATATAAACACGTGTACACGGCTAAGACAGTGAATATTTATGTCTAAGAATTTAAACCAATACCGGTTGGCACTGATCACTCTTTCAACCATTGAGTGAGTATAATTGACGAAATCGCAAATTTTCAAATCCTCTACATGTTGCAGCGTACGGATGATATGATCGAATGTTAGCAGTCTGAGAAGATGAATCCTAGTGCCGCCGGCGAATTATTACTGCAGTACCAATACGATAGTTACCCTGTCTACATTTCACTGGGCTAGGGTTACTCTATCAACATCACAGACCCAAGCTGACAACAGACCACTCAGTGCCCGGATAACCCATTAGCTCGCCATAGATCTAAAATACACCTCCACGCACCCCCCCCCCCAAAAAAAAACCCCGCCTCGTACACAACCAACCATGGGTAAATCCACCCCCAAAGCCGCAGCCAAGGACACCAAAAAGGACACCAAAAAAGACTCCTCCTCCGGCTCCTCCTCGAAAGGCGGCAAGCTTAAGGACGACAAGCTCAAGTCCGCAAACTCCCTCAACGTGCGCCACATCCTCTGCGAGAAGCACTCAAAAATGGAGACGGTACTCGAGCGCCTGGCGAACGGCGAGAAGTTCGATGCGGTGGCGAGGGAGCTGAGTGAGGATAAGGCGCGACAGGGCGGGTCGCTGGGCTGGAAGATCCGTGGGAGCTTGTTGAAGGCGTTTGAGGATGCGGCGTATGCGCTGCCGGTGTCGACGTGTGATAAGCCCATCTATACGAACCCGGCGATTAAGACGCAGGAGGGGTATCATTGTGAGTGTTGCCCTGGGGGTGGGTGGTGGGGTGTGCGGCGTGCGGCTTGAGTGCTAATGTGGGGTTAGGTATTATGGTTGAGGGAAGGAAATAGATGTGGCTAGCCTGTTGGGTTGGTAGGGCGTTTCGGGGTGAAATTGGGTACTCCATGTTGAGACTTTGATGATTTTCTCTGCTTCCCCCCCCCCCCCCCCCCTTTTTTTTTCTTCTTCCTATTGCGGTTGCTTGCGGGCGGCCTCCCGGAGGTGTCGAATCGGGTTTATTTGACTTGTTTAGCTACTGCGGTTTCTTTGAATGAATTATGATATTCCTTTCATGCAGGGACGGAGGAAATTGCTACAGAAGAAACAGCCACAATTCTCCAGCTCCGTTATTTGAAAGCCGCTGGCACACTGGCCCCAGCCTTCTATCAAGAGATCAGTAGATAGCAGTTACACCCCAAAGCGTATATGCGATACCTTAATTAAAAGGTCCTAGTAACTTGAAAAATTTGGAATGAAGCAACTAGAAAGATCCGGGACTTGAGCCTTTTGGGTTTAAGATCTTAGTAGAACGACACCAAGCTCATCTGGGATTTGATGAGTTGTCGTTGAACTTCGATATATATATTTTAATACCAGAGGATACCAGATCACATTCATATGTAATGGCACTCCGCAGAAGCGGTGGGAGGCAGAATATGCCCTCGAGATTTCCAGTTATTCAGAGGGCGGGTGACGGCCACCTACATATATCTGGACAGCAGCTAGACATGCGTTAACCAACTCGCATCCGAGTGGCTGAGTACGTGTAGGCAACCGAATATCCCTAGATGCCGGCGTGTCGGTTGTGCGGTGACGTTGAGCAGCGAGAAGAAGTTTTTATTTCTGGCAAGTCATTGCGGGCACAGTCGCGTTTTTGTCAACGCTTTATTATGCGGTTTGGATGTGGCTTCAAGCTATCTGTACTACTATGTCTTGGTACCATTTTGACCTCTAACATTGAACTATACCTTTCAAGAGAGGCCTTCTCTCCGGACCCCTCTTTCTTTGTTTTGATCATCAGTTCCTACATACAGTAGACCTCAACTCATCGATTATCTCTTGCTCTAAAGACCGTCTCAGAAAGTAGAAGTTTCTCTTGTTCGTTCCCCACATGCGGCCGCCGATAACGTCTAGCTGTTTCTCTAAGCCCCACTCATGCACATCATCCATGTAGGATGGAACCAACCACATAGACCTCGGGTTTGCTGTATATAAATTACCAAGGCTATATTTATAGCAGGCTTAATTCTGAGCCGCTTCGAGTGCTTGTGAGAGTCTTATAGAATTCCCGATTTTAATGAGGAGCACTGGCTGGCCGACTATGGTTCTACATGGTGCTTGAAGAATTATTCTAACCATATTAATGTAGGCGCTGACTCGCCCATTGCCAACACTTCAGTATACTGGCATTGCGCTGGCTATCGTTCGGAAGGACCTACTAGACCTAGGACCATCATGGTGGAGATAGAATTGCAATTGCTGCTGTAGAATCTACTCGAACACGGTAGCTAGCAGTATATCTAAGTGGCCCGCGGAAGGGGGGGGGGGGGGGGGCGTTAATTCCCCTCGGCGATACTGGTCAAAACCGGAGGTTTCGTTCGGCGTTCCCTGGTGTTGGTGCGGTTTTGTTTTTCCATTTTTTCGATCCCGTGCTGGAGGTCATGCACGGCACTGGTGGTGCAATCTAGTACACAGGAGTCATGTATAGCCCCTCGAACCCTTAAAACTCCTCGCCATATCCAGATACCTAGAGAGACTACATCATCGGTATCCAAAGGCCCAGAATATCTAAACATGGCATTAATCGAATATAAAAACCCCCAAACATCCTCCTCTCACCCACCGATATTCATCTAACACTGCCCTCTGCCACAAGAGACCCATTCACCAACCCACACAATGGCAACCCCCGACCACAGCCGCTGGAAAGCCATCGGCTGTCTCTTCTGCACGCACACCACCACTGGCTACCGCGCCGCCACCCTCCAGCGTAGACTCCACACCCACTTTAGTGCCTTCAGCGTCCCCAGAGTCCCTTTCAACCATGACACCGGCTCCTTCTGGGAGCGCAACCGTCACCAGCCCAATTTCCGCCCTGTCGGGCATGCGCAGTCGCAACCCGCCAACGGTGGTAAGCGGCCAGTAAACAGAGTGTGCGTGGACGAGTTCCACCACGTGGGGATTATCGCAGCGCTGTACAGTGCGCAGGGCGGGCGGGCGGCGGTGTTAGGGACGGTGAGTGAGATACGGGCGTACCCGTGGGCGGAGGGGCTGATGGAACCGGTGTGGAGCCACGATGAGATTAAGGCGTTCGTAGTGCGGCAGTTTGGAAAGGTGGCGGCGATGGAGCTGTTGGAGGAGTTGCATGTAAGTTTGTTGACGTTGTCTAAGTGTGACGGGGCCAATGATACTGATTGCAGGTAATTTATGTAGATACTGAAACACTTGTGCAAAACACCCATCCCCAGTGCATGGTGGGAGGAAAAGGTAATGCAGGCAGTGGCCCTGGTGAAAATAAGTGTCAAGAGCCCCTCTCGTGGGGTTGAGGTCATCTGCATCAATGACTTCATCAACGATACCCTTTACCAGGCCCATAAGCTGTGGTACAATCACCCCCGATACTCCCAATTGTATGAGCCCTAGTATCTTCCTAAATTTTATGTCTTCCGGGTGCTTCTCAGTTAATGTAGATGCTAGCAAGGCAATGGGATGCTTCGACTCCAAATCCGAGGCGTTCCCTGGCACCCTAGGAGGAACCGAGATAGACATGACCAAATACCCATACGTCTACGGCTACAAGCCTCAGCCAAAGCAAAACATGGCACCAATAAAAGCCCCTGAGATCATGACCACGGGACCGACGAGCGACAATATTTTCAAGCCTATGCCGTCCAAAACGTGCTCGGGGAAATACCTACTCCCGGAGGTGGAATATGGTGTGAGCAATATCTCCTAAATCCTTTTGTCCTGCTGTACTAAATAACTATTCACGTACAGCTAGACAGATACGAGGATGATGAGGAACCAAAATACACTCCCCCAGACCCTGTGGTCCCAAATCCCCGACAGATGCTGCAGTATGTTCTGAAGCCTACCCAGCCCCCCATTGTAAATAAGAAGCCGGAGATGCCCAAGGTCTTCATTATCAAGAAGAAGAGAAAATTGCCGCCCACAATGAAGACCGAGCCCGGAATCAAGGCGGAACAAAGGGAGCCAGGGGCCTTGATGCAGCCTGTCATCAAGAAAGAAAAGATTACCGGCGAGGGGCACATCAAGAAGGAGAACACGAGGGTGGGTCCTGTGCAGTCGCTGGTGGTGAATGCTGTGCTGCCTCCAGTGGTGAGGGGGGCAGGACCTAATGGTGCTTGTGATGGGAATATCGGGAAACCGAAGAACGGGGCAGTGTTTACGGGAAAGAGTATCTTTCTGAAGAGCGAAGCGAGGTTAGACAGCCTCTTTAAGCCGAAGAGTGAAACAGTATCTACTGGAAAGGGTCTCTTTAAGCCGAGAAGCGAGGGTGCATCTGGTGGGCAGAGTCTCTTTACGCCAGCCCCTAGGAATGAGGAGAAGAGGGTTAATGGTAAGCTGGATAGAAAAGAGCAGAGCTCAAGGGGTAATAAGATGTTTACGAACGCTGTGTTTGTGGATATCACTTCGGACTGAATGTGTATGTGGGTTGATGCTTGGGAAGGAATGGGGCAGGTGGCCATGGTATAGAGAGGTTAAAGGTAGACTTTGGGAGGTTTTTTGTGACGTGACATGGTTAGTTAGGGGGTTTATATACCTGTGGCTCTGGTTTAGCTAGCTGGCGGGATCTACTCATGTTCGTTACCGATGCCGATGTGGCTCTGAATTATCTGTACTTTTATCTTACAATTGGAGCCATTTTATCTTTTAAGCCTATAATGAGGGCCTTCAGTTCTCATACATGCACAACAATTTATAGACCTTATTCATCCTCCTCTACTGCTCTAAAGACTACCTGATTAATGAATTGATGGGTAGGTTGGGGGAATGTGTTTCATCCGGTTGTTAAACTAATGTTTCTTCACTGGCCTTTGTTAGAGATCGAGAACGAAGGGGAAAGGATGTTTTTTTTTTTTTATATTAGTACTACATGTAGTATAGTACAAAGATCCATCAAGCAATTTTAGTTTAAGGAAACGCTTTGTTGGTAGCTTTGATTCCCATAGCATGATCCACAGTTCTTGTGGTTTCGGCATTGTGTCTCGTTTTTTTTTTGAGTCATGCATGTCAGGTTGTGGAATTAGTAAACGTAACTAAATTAATCTCAATCCCGCTCCAGCAACAAAGGTACATGTACTTATGTGGGAACCTTCCATGTAGTAGTGCCGACTAGTCCATACATGTATATAGCCCATATATATATATAGTCCCTCCGGCCGGGCCACAACAGTACTGCCACGGGCATAAAATCCAACTACTTATGTAGATCCGGGCTGGTCGGAATATATATATATAGAACCCAATCCAATTGCCAACCCAATCAACCCCAATTCTCTTCTCTTGACGTCGGCCTGGCCTGGCTGGTGCCGCATATTAAGCTTTACGCTAGTGCATGAGCTACAACGCATGCCCTCAAAGTTACATAACCTAAATAGCCCATCAAGCAGTGCGGTACTAATTGAGGTCATTGCCTCAACACCTGTCTATGTCTTGATATGCGTGCATCCATGATACGTTACCCATGCTGAGATCATTACTTACTTTCCAGAGGTGATTCGGCCCGCCGCAGGGGATGAGGGTTGGGAACTTTTTTTGACTTTTTTTTTTTGTGCCCACTGCGCTAGACTAGCTTGTAGGTCTCGTGCAGGATCCGGGAATGAGACCTAGCTAGGCCCTACCAACGGTTTAGATTGTCTTCCTCAATGTGTCGTCGCTCCTCTAATTCATCAGCCCTCCCCAGTACCTACATGTAATTAAGTAGTGACTCCCGTGGGTGACGTGACGGGGTTGTGCAGGCTGGTCGGCTCTGGAGACGGGCAGGCACTGAAACATGTATGCGTAGGGGTTGTCAATATATTGGTTTTTAATACAATCCTGTGCCTAGCTGGGTTGGTGGATGCTACTGCGGTACGGTCTATGTAGTCTTGCAGTCTACACTACATGTAGGCTCGTCCCCATGCAATCCGTCTGCTTACAGGGCACGGCAGCTTGCTGCAAGTAACGGGCTGGGTACGAGACTACACAGCTACATGCACCGGCCGCTCATCACCAGGCCATAACTTAACCACCATCATACTCACCATCATACATACTCACAATTTACTTCACAACCCCCACAATAATAACCACACACATTCACCATCACACTCACGCTCTCATCATCACACAACCACAACCACCCTCCCTCCCACCCTCACTCATCCACAACCGCCCTCACTCACTCACAACCGCACACTGCACACAGCACACACCGTAAAGTCAAGCCAAATCCCTATATTTCACCCCCCCCCCCCCACTACAAACCTACAAACAGACAGGCTATCTAACACGTACACTCCTAGCATACACAAAAAAAAAACCAAATACGCCACCCAACCCTAGTGAATTGGATCATGGATCATGGATCATCACTCGGTCACGTTACATAGAAAAAGAAAACTCATGATGATGAGAAGGCCAGAGGGAAGACCGGAGAGGGAGAGAGAGAGAGAGAGAAATACATACAGAGAGCGCACACGCACACGCACCAAAGTACCGAACCGAACCAAACCGAACCAAAAGGAGGAGAACCGCACCAGAGAAAACACTACTCCACACCACACGACAAAAGAAAGAAAGAAAGAAAGAGAAAGAAGAGAAAAACCCAAAACCCAAGAATGAAAGAACGAAAAGAACGAAACAAAACAACCAACCACCTCCACACCCCCACACCCTAACAAATCACACACCGCCCCCTCCCCCTCCTCTCAACCCCCATCCCACCCCCGGCCTCCCACATCCACGCGCCCACTCTCCGTCTCCTCCTCCTCCCGCCCTCCTCCCCGCCACCCATAAACACCGCCCACGCCCTCTCCACCTTCTCCGCCTCCGCCACCTCCCCCCTCCCACACCGCTCCCAATGCGTATCCACCACCGCCTGCCACCCAAAATAGCACTTCACCTTCACCCTCCCCCCCACACCCCCCGAGTTCTGCGCCATAACCCCCCTCACCCCTCCCACGTCACCCCCGCACAATCATACACCGCCACCGCCACCTCCCCAACCCCGCGATACCGCACCGCCCGCACAGCCTCATCAAGCACCCGGTCCGTCACCGCCGTCCCATCAACCTCAACAGCCCTCACGCCCCCACACCGACGTAGAACGTCGACGACGCCAACATCGCCAACCTCGCCGCACCCGCCGACATTGAGATACACGACCCGCCCGGCCCGCGACAGCGCCGTCAGCGAGGCGTCGCTGACGGATACGCACCCCTCGAGATCAACGTGCGAGAGCGCCTTTGCACCCCCGAACAGCGCGACCAACCCAGCGTCTGTCAGCCCCGTGTTGCCCGCCGCCTCAAACCCCTCCAAGTGCGGCGCGTGCGCCGCAAGCACGTGCAGCGCCGCGTCCGTGAGCCTCGGACACGCCGACACCGACAACCGCACCAGCTTCCGTGGCGGGGGCGGCGCCCCCGCACCCCCGCTGCCGTGGTGGTGGTATGGGCCTAGACACAGCGTCCGGATAGCATCGTCCGAGAGCGCCGCACAGCTGTTCATGTTGAGCGTCGTGAGTCGATTCGCCGCATGTATAGCGGCCATGACAGCAGTGTCATCGAAGCCGTTCACACCACACGCGCGAAGCTCGCGCAGCGCCGTGCATCCCTCCACGATTCTGCGAAGCCCCCGCGGCTCGAGGCCGGTGCACCAGCTGATGTCTGCGGCCTGCAGCGCGGGGAGCGACTGTGCGATGAGGCGTGCGACGCTGTACGTGAGCGCGCGGCAGCCGGCGATGTCGAGGCGGACGAGGTTTGTGTTGTGGTGGACGATGTAGCCGAGTGCTGCTTTGGAGGGCTGCGCGCCCTCGAGGACGGCGGTGTGGAGGTTGTGCGGGACGTAGTATGCTGCGTCTTGGCGCCAGTCTGCCGCGAGCTGGTGGCAGCCGCGGAGGTTGAGGTGGCGGATGAAGGGGCCGGCGGTGGTGATGAGGGAGGCGAGCTGGGCGGCGGGGATGCGCGTGTAGTAGGTTGTTGTGTCGAGGGTTGACCAGAGCTGGCCGTCGCGGGTGAGGGTGTGGAAGTCGCGGGAGGTGGCGGCGGTGCGGAGGAGGTCGGGGGTGGAGAGGTGGCGGAGGATGTGGAGTTTGAGTTCGGGGGGGAGGGGCGTCCAGAGGTCGCGCCGCGGGGGTGGGGGGATGGGGATGGTGATTTGGAGGGACTCGCCGTCGGTGCCGTAGGGGATTTGGACGGTTTGGGAGGGGTGCGGGGTGGGGATTGTGAGTGTGAGGGTGGAGGAGGCGTGGTGCGGGGTGAGGGTGGGGGGGAGAGGAGGGGCGAGGGGGGAGGGCGTGGTGAGCTGTGGGGAGGAGCTGATGCGCGAGAGGCGGTCGAGGAGACGGCGGCGGCGGGTGGGCATTGTGTGCTGTCTACTGCGGGGTGAGGAGTGAAGTGTCGAGGCTATATAGCTAGTGTGTGTCGAGTCGAGTCTGAAGTGTGAGTGTGTTTCCAGAAGATCGGAAGAAGAACAACAGAAGAAAAAGAAGAAGAAAAAGAAGAAGGCAGGCAGCAGGTCCACTATCTATCTACTCAATCTGTGCATGTATGAGCATTCCTCAACGGGTCCAAAAAAAACGAGCGGAGAAAAAGAAAATGCAAAAAACGGCGATCAGAAGGGCGCGGAGGCAGGTGAGATATCAATCAGCCAGCAGGAAGAAGAAGAGGGTGTGCTGGGGGTGTGCTGGGGGTGTGCTGGGGGTGTGTGTGCTGTGCTGGGCAGGAGGAGAGGGGGGTAAGTGGGGTAAGCCAGTCCTCTACTTTACATGGAGGTAAGCCCAGTCCAGCCAGTCCAGTCGAGTACACAGCTACCTCTCAAGATCCTCGGACCTCAGTTCAGACAGTGACAGCATAGTCTCTCTCCGCTTCTATTCCTCTCCCTCTCTGCTCCTATTCCTCTCCCTCTCCCTCTCCCCCTCCCTCTCCCCCTCCTTCACCTCCACCTCCAAGTCCCAAGTGAAATAAAAACCCAAAGCCAGAGCACTGTCGCGTGTCCCGCCAAGCCACCCCTCCCCCTCACATCGATCTTATCGATAACCCTTTCTTTTCCCCGCTGCTGTTCCCCATGCACGCGCCTGTCACGGCTCACCCCTCCTTCTCCTCTTAGTGTATCCGACTGCTCACCCGACACACCACATTCCCATTCCACACACATGCACACATGCACACACCTAATCTAGCATATGTAGGGTGGCATTTGTTTGCAAGGGCCCGGCGTGCACAAACAAACAAAAATCGTGTCGGTCGGTCGGTCGGTCGGCTCGGCCATATATGCAGGGCCTGTGAAAGTGAAAAGTGAAAGTGTGCAAAGGAAATAAATAATTAAGAATGTGGTGGGAAAGAAGAGTCAAGGGTCTGAGTCCCTGTCGGCGTGCCCTCGTGAGGATCGTTTTTGGCCTCTCTCTCGCGTGAGTGTCCCTGGCAGTGGCAGTCCAGTGAATCAGAATCTTTACAGAGGGCGGACTCCTCTACGATTCAGAGACTCTGCTCTGGATAGCCTAGCTACTCGAGTCTAGAAATGCTAGACTGTCCGCCTGGCCTTCGTGAGCTCGTTTCAATTGGCTGCAGCCAAGTTGGGCCAAGCAAGGTCGCGGGCGGGAACTTAACCTAACCCTGTCTGTCTGTCCACCTCACACAACCTCACCTCAGCATAGCAACAAGCCTTTTTTTTTTGAACGACTGCGCTCTGGGTACCTAACCCGCCGTTTGATCATTGGCATCTGGGCATGATATGATGATAATTACAAGCAAACGGTAATAACCAGCTACTCTGATCTATCTCCTGCGCTGGCCCGCTAACACACCCCCAGCTAGCAATCCTGCACCGCACTCACAATGTCCATCACCTTCCACAGCTCCAAACCGCCCTCCCCGCCCACCGCACCACCAGACCCCCCCACCACCCCCTCACCCCCTCCCCCTCCCCCGCAGCCCGACCTCCTCCTCGACGCCCCCACCCACTCCCTCATCCGCCGCGTCCTCTGCGCCCACGCGCCCCCCACCCAACCACTCTCCGCCCTCCTCCCCCCATCACCCACCACCCCGCAATCGACCTCCAGCTCTACGCCCTCCTCGCAATCCTCTGCCGTGACTACATCGACACATGGTACACCCCCATCAGCAGCGACCGCGACCTCATCGCCGAGCTCATCACCGTCGTTGCCGCCGTCGTTCGCGAGATTGAGCGCCGTATCCATAACGTACCCCCCCCCCCCCCTGCTGCTTGGGGGCTAACAGACACTAACTACAAAACAAAACACAGATCGACATACCCCTCCTCCTCCTCGACGACCTCCCGGCGCTCATAACGCGCCACATAACTGACCACCGCCTCTCGCACGCGCGGGCAGGAACAACAAGCCACCACACCCCCGCGCAGCTGTTCCACAACCTGCAGCCGCACCCGGCCCTGTCTGGCGGGGCGGCGGCGGCGGCGGAGTATAATAAGCTGCTTGCGCACGCGCTGCTGGACGCGCTGCTGCCGGTGGAGAAGCTGCCGAGTCTGTGTGCGCGGACGTTTATGCGCGACCTGCTGGCGGCGCTGGTGGTGGGCGGGGTGGTGGAGAGGATGAGTGAGCCGCGGATGATGTATGGGCTGGTTGTGAGTTTGTTGGAGCGGCGTGATGCTGCTGCTGCTGCTGCTGCTTCTTCCGCTACATCTCCTCCACCCCCACCTCCGCAGCCGCAGGAGGAGGGGGAACCGAAACCACTGCAGCAAAAACAGCAACAAGAACAGCCACCCGCAATCCACATCCCCATCCCCCCCACGCTCGACTCCACCCTCACCACCCTCCTCCTGCTCCTCTCCGTCCTCAAAACCCTCGCCATCTCCCTGCTGCACACGCTGCACACGCCTCCCGCGCCATCACCGCGCGCAAAGCCGTTTCTCGCGATGGCGGCCGTGCCGCTGCTGCCCATCTACCTCGGCATGCCGCATCTGCAGCCGTGGCTGTGGGGTGTGCTGTGTCTTCTGCTTCGGCCATTCACCCTGGGACAGGGGCAGGGACAGGGGCTGGGGAGAGTGGGTGCGGTGGTGGACGGGCTGATTGGCGAGAAGGTGGCGGGTGTGTTGGGGGGTGGCGCGGGGGTTGCGGAGGTGCTGAGGGGGGTGAGGGGTGTGCTTTTTCCCGGGAATGCACCGATGGGGGTGGGAGGAGGGGGGGAGGTGGTGGGGTGGAGGAGGTGAGGGGCGGGCGGTGGATGTGGTTGCTGAGAGGGTGCCGGAGGGGGCGTGGGGGTTTGGGTTGGTGGTGGGGAGGGGGAGAAGGGGAGGGAGGAGAGGAGGAGGTGGGTGGGTGAGTGGTGCGTGGATGTGTGGGGTGATAAGGAGGTGAATAGGCATTTGTGGTATGCGGTGCTGGACTTGCTGGTGGGGAGGTTGGTGCCGGAGTTGGTGGTGGGGGTGGGGAGGAGAAGGCGAAGGCGAAGGAGAAGGAGGAGGGGGGAGGAGTGGTGGGTGGGGTGTAGATCGATGGGTAGATCAATAGGTAAATGGATAGATACATGTAGATGGCGTTGGTTGGTTGGGGGTGAGACTTGGGCTTTTGTGTTTGTGTTTGTTTGTTTGGGAGCTAGCTGTGTGCAGGTAGTTGGCGGCAGGTAATACCCTAATAATTATATATGAATTAATGATTTGCACTTCCGACCTGTCCTGTTCCGACGGCATTGCAGTTGACGGTGTAGTAGTAGATCGAGTAGAGGTGTAGTTAGGGTTTGTGTGTGTAAACCTCATGATATATATATATATATATATACGTGCATGTATCGAGGATGGAAAAGTTAGAATTGTGTTGTATTAATGACTTTGATTTGCTGCTTGCAAGCATCTAAGATAGAGATGCCTTCTTCATCGGCAATCACTCGCGTCAGGTATTCTCACTCGTTATCCCATGAGCGATTCTGCACGAGATCCGGTGCAAATTTGTCACATAAATTACCCCCCCCCCCCCCCCAACTGCTGTAACTCTATAGAGATTGGTTCCTTTATGCCCACCCCCCCCCCCCCCCGCGGGCCTGAAACCTGCAGAAGAAGATGATTACCAGATAATAGTGCCTCTATTGCACTTGAGTTAGCATTTTTTTTTTTGCTGTATTTATTCATTGGTTTGTACCATGGTTGATTAAATGCATAGAAATGGACGTAAAATATATATATATATATATATATATATATGTACAGGACAGGGTGACAGGATTTGCACGGAGATAAATATTTCAGGACATGGCAACGGATCCCAGACCCACCAGCTTTCGGTGTCTTTTTATTTTTATGCTACACTGGGACCAATAAAATCGAAATAAATACAAACAAGACAGGGATCAGTTATCAAGCGCGGTCTAGTAATAACATATGCATCAGAAAATTCATATAGATAAAGTGGATAAGTATCTACATTCCCACTTTTTTTTTGGAGTTTTCAAGTGTAAACCTATATATGAGGTTTTCAATTTATTCGGTCAGAACTACATGTACAGATCAAGAAGTCGTATCTAGATTAGAAAAAAATTATTTCTATATTTCTTGAGACTTCTAGATATGAGCATACAACTGTCTTCAATTTACCTGCCGCTCTACTTAAGGTAGAACTAATCAAAGCATACCAAATCTGCACGGAATCCCGTGCAAAACCAGTTACGGTCCATGGGATAAGGCCGGCTAAGAAAAAGAGGGTAAAAAAAAAAAAAAAAGAGAATACCGCCCTTATGACCAGTGTAGTAAGAAGCTCTTCAGTGTAGTCCACGAGCCTTAGACATGTCTCGAGCCGCCTTGAGGGTTGAAAGGAAAAGCTTGTCCGGCCGGTGAAAAGCTTGTCTCGAGCTGAAAGAGGATTTGCCGTAATTTATTTTTGACTACATGTATTCATACAACTGTTCCCACTCCCCTCTTCTTAGAGAACTGACACCCCCACTCTCTGATATATCATCCCCTCTAGGCTCTAGCTCAGCCGTTTCCCCCTAGTTTTTCGTATCAGGACGAGCAAGAATTGGTAAGGATGGGTAAGAATTTGTGAGATGTTAGCGTGGGTGTATGGGTGTGTGGGTTGGTACAGCAACGTCTCAAGCCGCATTTCAAATGGACTTGAGCCAGCTTGGGCTTGTGACTCTCTTGACTTGTGAGGCTTGAGCTATTGGCTCAAGCCGAGTCCTCGTGGACCATACTAGTAAAAGGAATGAATACAAATAAGTCTAAAAGGGGGTCTAGTAATCTCCGGCCTAGCTATAAAGGTAGAGATTTATGATCCGGAGCGTATATACCCTTATAGCAAATAAGCTTTTCGCTACTCTACTTAGTGCTATGCCATATATAGGCGGGAAAAAAGTCAAATACTGCTTATTTTCAAATTAGTTAAGCAGAGAGATAAGGACATACGTAGATCTTACGACGGCGGATTTTATATAAGCTCTTGCTAGCTTGGCATTACTTAAAAATTAAATAATCCAGCGTCGGCCTAAGGTTCTGTTTTAACGTACTTCATACTCCAATCAATAGAAAGCAAGCTAGAACCTCGCCATCGGGCTCGTTCGTTTTTATCACCCCCCCATCCACCGGCCTCCATCCATCTTCACACAGTCATAACCGTTTGACATCCATAGACATCCTTCCATCTACCTCGTCCTCCCCCCCCCCCCCCTTTCCAAAAACCCCTCCAATAACCCCCACAAACACCCTCATCTACCCCCAAACACCCACAATGTGCACCTGGCTCACAATCACCTACGCCTGCGCCCACACCCAGCGCATCCGCAAGTCCACCCACAGCACCTGCGAGATCCACCACCACGAGTACGTTGACTCCGCCCATCTACGCGACCCCGGCCATTGTGCCACTTGCGCTACCGCAAAGCCTTCCTGCTGGAAGTCGAGCCTGGGCAGGATGCAGGCGCCGATCATGGCCAAGAAGAAGGAGGAAAGAAGGCCTGTCACTAGTGTCAAGGAGGAGGAAAGGCTTCTCACGCTTAAGGAGGGGGAGAGCCAAGTCCAGAACGCACATGATGGAGAGATGTGAGCGTCGGTGGGCGGGTAGATGGTAGGTGTTGCGCAATAATGAGATCGGCGGCTGAGTCTTTGGAGGAAGGTTGCGCGCTAGGGTGGATGTCTTCGAGTGATGGGCTGTGAAGATGCGTTGGGTGTTCCTGGTTCGTCGGTTACAATTGTGTCGGCGGGATTCAGAGCTGACTGCTATTAGGAATTGGCTGGTAATATGACTGAATGTTAATGAGCTGTGTATCTGATGCAAAAAAACGGGGGGGGGGGGGTGTATTCAACGTCTAAATAACTAAATACAATATCACAATTTTGCTGTACCTGAATCGTGCTTATGATTGTTTTAATGTCTTGTGTGCTTCAGTTTACTAAGGCAGAATAGCTGAGGAAAGGGTTTTATAGCTACCTTGAGATGTGTTACGGTTCATATCCACAACGGTATCGTAAGCTCTAGTTAATCCAGTAACAACATTCCCGCTTTGGGGAGAAACCAACGACAATATACCACAGCATCCCAACCCCGTATATTAGCTCAGCTTGCTTTCCGCTTCAACACGGCGGCCAAAAGCTACTTGAGCCCCTAGTTTGAACAGGAAAGGGACCCCGGGGGCTTGGTTGTAGGTAGCTTGCAGCTAATAGAACCATTCCTGCGCCCGCGGTAAGGACTTTGTATCGATATCTGCGTGGGGTTGGTTATAAGATTCTGTACACAGTGAGCGAGCATAATTGAGCAGGGTCGAGAAGCTCCCAATAATTCGTCCTATATCTTATTTATCCCGGGATCTGGTACTTCGTTTTCATTCGGTGCTCGTTATCGGGTTTCTTCGTAAGGCTGGTCATCTGTAGAATGTGCACTCACAAAAATGAAACCACAGAAACATTCCCCAAGATGTGCATGTAGTTGTTTTGATGGTTAGTTAAGTAACATACGAGTTTCAAGGCCAAAAAAAACCCACCTTACGCACCATTTAGCCACTACCAAGACATACCCAGAACCTTAATTGCCCAACCTCGAGCCACAATTGAGCCCCCACTCGTCTCTATAAAACCCTCCAAACCTCATCTAAACACATCTACACACACTCATCCATCCACAATCTCACAATGTGCATCTACATGACCATCACCTACGGCTGCGGGCACACAGAGCGCATCCGCAAGTCCACCCACAAGAGCTGCGAGGTCGAACCCCATGAGTACATTGATTCACCCAACATGAAAGACCCCAGCAGCCACTGTACATCGTGCCTTGCGAAAAGCGTGGGACCTATCAAGAAGTTGTCTATCAAGATCAAGGGCAAGTTGGAGGAGATCAAGGAGCGGAGGACCGAGAGCAACAAAGATTGATCTAGAAACATCTTTTTTTGTTTTACGTGGAAATATGAAGTTGGTACGTATACGTTGAGTGATAGCTAGTGAAAGAAATAGACTAATTCTAGTTATGTTGCTTGTTCTAGATCTCTCTCTACCTTTTCGAAAACGGATGGTTGGGGCTTGGTGGGTTTGGCGATTAATTGGTGCGGGAAGTTTCATATGGCTTGGATGACAATTTATGGTGGACTGCGCTGCGTAGCTGCGGTAACTGTGGATCTGAATGGAGGAAAGCAAATCAGAGAACATAAATTCAACGTCTAAACATTTAAGTACTTTGTAGAAATCTTAATACGCAAGAGTACACATAAGCATGAGTCCTACTAAAGCATGAGACTGAAACTCGTACATTTCACCCTGACATTAAACGTAACTACTAGCCAGCGAAGCATAAATGTGGTCAAATCTAATTCGGCACTATGTGGCATATATCACTATCCCCCTCATGTCACGACGGACCCCCAAATACTACACCGTACTTTCCGGTTGGATCTTAGAAACCAGACCCTCAACGCGAGATTCCACCACGGGATCAACCTGTGACCCAAATCAGAGCTCACACTTAATCAACGCCTAGAGTCTCCCAAGCAAGCCGGTAAACAGCTAACACTAGCTACTGAGAACCAGCATCAACCCACTTGGCGAACTCTAACACTCCCATGGCCCGATTTCTAGCTTCAGTATCTATCTTGATCTCATTGATGACTTGCAAATGATTATAACTACCATGGTATTTTGTGTGCGTCAACTCTATTACCCCATTTAACCAATTCTTGAATACCTGCTGATAAAGGCTTTCCTCGTTTTCCACAGGTCTCATGGTGGTCATAAATATCCTGATGTCATACTTGATCTCCTTAACCCTCCACTTTATGTTCTTACTGGTGTAGCCACCGCGACTAACCGTCGCACTCGTGTGCTAAGCCGCATCCATAATCGACTCAGTGACCCCAGGACGAGACTCAGAAGTCCGTGTGAAGATTATAGGCGACTCTCAAGGAGTTAATAGACCCTGGTTTCATGTTTAAATGAAGATTTATTTACCGAAAACCACAAATAAGATATTAGTAAAACTTCCTAATACTTAAAGCTATTCCAAATCTCACGGCTGTTGCTGAAATTTTGAGTTGCAGCGTAGGCATTAATTGCTAGGTGGGCAGTCTTCTATAACAAGACTTATTTCGAGGGTATCATAGCCCACGAAGCACATACTGTTTTCGTCTATTGAAGAGGTACGAGGCGAGGCTTATCGTGGCCATTGTATGCCCTTGCTTTATATGTCTCGAGCTGGCGCATCCCCGAATACCTCAAGGCTAGAGACACAGACAATAATAACTCTGACGAATTGTGACCGCAAGGTTTAAAACAGATACCAATCAGCGTTTCTTTATCAGACGAGTTCTACTTCAATTAAGAACTATAACTATATACGAGACAAAAAAAACGAGAGAGTAGAAAATTCGCTCTACTTAAATCATAGACGATCACTCGATAGGGTTAGGGTTTATTGCGCGGGCCTCGGGGTTTCGCCTGGGGTTTCGCCTGTGGTGCCGCCTGCCACAAGGCTCGAAAACATCCTGCGGAAGAGACCCGAGCTTGTGGGAGATTGGTATAACTATGACTAGCGCTGAAGATTTATGTTAAGCGTCGATGTCTATCGTAGTTCTAACCATAGGCGCAGAAAACATTTGTGGGCCGGTGCCTAGATACAAAGAGAGGTTTAGCCACGAAGAGGGCGTGTTAATGATTAGAGTCTATCTCGCACTTTGGAGATGGTAGAGCATGTAGTTGGTTGGTACGTTGGGGGGATACTACATAAGGAGTGGCAGCTTTATATCTAAACTCTACTCGTGCACAGGGGATCCGGGACAGAGTCTTTATGGTGTAGTGGGGTCAAGAAGAACAAAGTGAACAACAGAGCGCGGGGTAATATTGCTAATGGTTCACTCGATTATCACCTTCTATCACTTTTTTATTTTTTCTTTTTCGGTTACAATGGTTCAATGTCACAATCACTAATTGGCTTGAGTCACAAAAGAAGAAGAAAAAGAAGACAATTTAGTAACTTTCAAAAGTTTTGATTGAAAGTTAGATTACAGAAGTTGCTGACGAAATGAAAGAAGTAGGAAATAGGGGAGACGAATTGAAGATTGCCCCCATGGATCCCATAACATCCAAGAAAGCCAGAATCGAAAGCCGAAGATGCCATCTAGCTGCCGGGGCGACTGTGCCAGACAACGATGCGGTATTCGGGGCGTTTGCCGACGTTCTGGATCCAGCCTCCAGAGCGTTTGCGGCTGAAGACAGGGTCCATCCAGGCACAGGCAGAGGCGATCTTGCGGATGTAAGCTGCAACGTCGTCACAGGGGGGGCAGGTGTTCGGGAGCTGGGCAGAGGCGCAGATGGAGACGGCAGCACTCCTCTCCTTGGTGATGAGGTCATTGCAGTTGCTGGCAGAGTCCTGGCAGCAGAAGGGTCTACGATCGATAGTAGCGGCGGCTTCTTCAACATCATCTGTGAAGGGGGACCCATCGGTGGTTTCGCATTTGAGATACTCCATGCGCTTCTCGAGGATGGTGGAGTTGAAGTTGCCAACGGAGTTTTCGATGTTCTCAGCAATGGGAGTGCCAGCTGCGAGACCGACAATGGCGAGGCCAATGGCAACGATTTTGACGAATCCGAACATGATGTTTGAAGAGAAAGATTGGAGGGAGATTGAAGGCTTTGGGAGTTTGTAGGAGGGATTGGAATTTATCGAGATGCTGTGTCGGGCGATAAATTTTGGAAGCGATGGGTAAACGGGAATAAACACGGGGAAACGCTTGATTTAAATAGTGAGTTTATTGAAAAAAATTTCAAAACTCCCCTTTCTATGATAACAGTCGAAAAAACCTTTTTTTGCCTGGAGCTAGCTTCTTTAGTAGTTGAAAGTGAAAACTATCTTGGCTCTAGACTCCTACCCTCGTTTTCCACCTTAAAAAAGGGAAGTCAAGAAATTTCCACTACGAATATCTGTTTTTACAGCTGCAGCAGATACGTGTACACAGCCTTGACATTTTTAGTTTCTCAAATTTGTGCATTTTGCAGGTCAATTCCTCCCCCAAAATAAGGTAAGTCGCATTCATCTAAAGTGAGCGTACATCGAGTGATACTTCATGAAGGAAACGCAGAACACTTTGTTGCGCATGTCTTCGGGTCCTTTACCCTATAGAAACAGATTCTGCGTTGATAGTACTAGATTTACTCGAAATAAACCTCTGGGTCAATAATTTCTGTCCTAAGACATCGCCGTGCATATTTTGGTAATGCCCAATCAGTGCTATAATACCTGTCTCGAACCAGGCGTTACTTGTAGGTAGGCCAGGTCATGTGCCTGAATAATTAATACACCCCGACGTTGTGAATGCACCCAAAATGATTACTTGTCTAGCTCGAACTAGACCATGGCTAAATATTGAACTTGGCGCAAAAACAGACGAAAAATCGTTCATCCATTCTATGTACCTTGGTGGGCCAGAAAAAATTTATCAATCTTGGCATTTTCTGGATTGCAGATTAAAAAAATTCTGCTATCTAAATTTTTCGTCATATCACTTAAGAAGAAAGTAAGGGAGATAGTAGAGGCTGTAAACCAAAATATAGCCCTCGATTTATGCCCACGAAATTTGTAGGACTAGAACTCTAGGTTATAGAGATGATATAATTTTAAATTTACAAGAGTTCTAAGTACATAAATCAAGACAAAAGGAAATTTAAGAGCCAAACGATGAAGGCCACATCCAAGTTCCCACGAGAAAAGAAGCCCACGATTAAACCCAAAGCCCAAGCCAAAAGCCAAAAAAAAGCCAAACCCAAAAAAGCCAAAAGACCCAAAAGACCCAAAAGACCCAAAAGACCCAAAAGACCCAAAAGACCCAAAAGACCCAAAAGCCAAAGCACTCAAAGCCCCAGAGAACCAATTAAAACCAAAACCCCAAATATTAGAGGGAATCAACTCCTCGCTATACAACCAAGAGCGAATTCCCCCACCCAGTTCTCCGTCTCCACACGCTGAGCAGATGTGTCCTACCTTGGAGCTCGCCCGAAAATCGAAACGAGTCTCCGTCTCAGCCATAGATCTAGACCCATAAGCATGTGGAGGGTGGGATAGTGGAATGAGAGGGTGGTTTCAGGCAGATGTAGCCTACCTTGGATCTCGTCCGAAGATCGAAACGAGTATCCGTCTCAGCCATAGAAACTAGACCCGGCCCCACAAGGAAAAAGGAAGAGGGTATGGGGGAAAACCGTGCTTTTATAGCCAGATTTCCAACTGCTCACATGGTCTTGGCACAAACGGCTATATTAGGGCAGATGTATTAGGGCAGATGAATAATTTTTCTACATCATTATAGGCTACAGCGAAAGCTTGCTATAACGGTACGCTCGGGACCGGAATTTGGTACCGTTATAGAGAGATTACCCTTATATAGGAGGTGCTGGTGCTGAAAGCCAGGCAAAAAGGACCGAGAAGTGCTACCGTTATAGAGAGATTACTCTTATAGAAAGTACCGTTATAGCAAGCTTTCGCTGTAGCTCGTAGTTGAGGCCAGGCGCTACCAGCCACTCAACCCTAACCACTGTTTTTCCCCTCAAGAACGGTGTGATGCGAGGCAGCTCTGAGTACGAGTGGGAAGGCTGAGGCCGATAATATCACAATACCTGACCCTGGATTTTGAGACCGGCCATTATAGGTACATTGATCCTACAATTTGAAAAATTAATATGAATTTATCAGTAGCTTTATTATTTCTACGTCTCTGGATCTTTATCAATTAATTTCGTTATATATATGTTGTTGGGTATCGATAGTAAACGTGGGGCATGAAGTTTTTTCGTGGTTGATGGTATAAGGTTGATTTGCATGACCCCACCATAAATCTTTTTCGTGCCCTTTTTTTTCTTTTTTAGCTTACACGGTAGTTACTGGTAAAAAAAAAAAAAATCCATAGAATGCGAAATATTTCAACCTTCTTTAAATTTTGACAACGCGCCAAGATATGGGAGGCATATTATAGCAGTTTAAAGTGACCTAATCTCTTTTCATGGACTATTCTGATTCAATTGCCTCTTAAATATGAACAATTCGGCTTAAAATAACGGCCTTCAGGGGAATGATAATTTAGTCTTCGTAAGTTTTCGAAAAGAATTAGTACAAGACGAAAAGGAAAATCAAGACTTTTGTCGTACGGGTTGACTGCAACCACAAGTGTATTGAATTCTGGAATTGAACCACCAGCAATTGCATGCAAGAATTCAGAATTCGAAGCAAGGAAATCTGTGAATGTTAAAAGTGTCTGCTTTTAGTGTGTTCCCTACCAAGTACGTTCTCTCGGATCAAGGCCACCTTGTAACCTACATGTACTTAGCATAGTACAGCTGACTCATGAAGACAAATTTGCTCAGTGTATATAACCCCCTCCCCCCCCCCTTCCCCCGCTTTTCAATTAGGATGCTACCCACAGTGGGACATTTCGACCTAGCAAAGTTCAACCCAGCTTAGGGAATGGAATTAAAAGGATACACCCACGATTCGAGGTCTGTCGACAGATCGGACACCCCCTTCCTGTTTAATGGGCAACAGTTGCGGAAAAACGCCCAGCTACACCCCCGTACCATATGAAGCGATGTCCTACGGGCAGTGTAGTCCATGAGGACGCTTGAGGCGAGGTTTGAGAGTGTCCTCGAGGCACCTCGTCTTCATGGACCGCTTTCCTCGTCTGACCTCGGCGTCCAATACCATTGTTCTCGAGGACGATTCCAGGGTCTAATTGCCAAGAATTACCCTCGTGGGCCCTCGAGCCCTCGAGACTACGTGTACTTGTTCTTTTATGCCATTACTCGCAAGTCCATGCTGGTAATCGGGGACATGGACTCGTCCTCGTGGACGACCCTAGTGCACCCCGAAATGTAGGCATTCGTTTCAGAATACCACACGCTTCAAAATGTCCACTGCTACAACTGGAATTTCCCAGAAAAAAGACCAACTGTTGTTACGAGGAACTTATGCGATGTCTTTATGTGTTTTATCTAGATATTATGAAATTAGCTGTAAGCAATAAACTACCATAGTTTAATCCCGTACCTCGTCTCCCATACTTGAAATAGTGTGCTTTATGTTTTTATTGCTACCGCTTAATATAATAAGCACATTTCTATATGTACCTATTTGACTCTTCCTCTACTCTCAGTAAGGCGATTATCAGCACTTTCTGGCTATGTTAAAATGTGCGCCAACCATATCCATAGCAAGTTCTGGAGCTTTCAAGTAACTGTATAAGTCACTCGTCGGTCGCTTTATTAAGCCTTAGTATCATATCTTAGTGCCGCTACTTTATATTTAAGCGATTCGAAGATAGCAAAGACAATCATGAGTTAGCACTCGCAGTTAGTAAGGTCACGTGCTATTTTGAGTATTAGACGGTAAGAATATAAAATATTATCCATTATATACCTTAGTTATTGGATTTTATCTACCTACTGGTAGAGACGTGTCAGTTCCTTTTGAGATCTTTTCTAGGAGCTCTTGAGAAATGATTTTATACCGCATTAACTGGCGAGAGCGGACAAACCTAACTCGATTTCCTAGGAACCCCGCAGAGGGCAAAGTTCATCTCCCTTCTAGAGGTTGCTAGTGGCTTGCCCGCTCTTGTCAGTAGATATAGCACATATTAGATATGTGCCTGAAATTAATTCCACAGAGAATTATGAGTAGTCCCGTGGCCGCACCTTAACCGTCCGCATTTGAGCTCTTTAGTCAAATGTGTTTAGACAGCGTGAGTCGACCTTTAAACTTGCTTATGTACCTACGCAGCTGGCAGCCAACGGGGGCTAAGGTGGCAGTTTAAATCACTCCTTCTCACTCGATAAGCGCGACGCCATGGCAGTTACATAACATATTATTGCAGAGCAGTGTCTCTCATGTCGTCGTTGTAGATGAATCACGGCACTTTGAGCATGTATCCCTCTTATAATAACATGCATAATGGTGTTACCATAACAATTCGTTTTCAGCTTGGTATTACACCGGCATGCATAGCATTTTGTTAGCTGACCCTAATCATGAAACAGATCTGTAGATAGGCAAAATACCTGATGATGGCATTAAACACCAACACCCGGCGCTTTTGATCATTTGGAGCAAATCGTGAACTTAAAAGCCCCTTTCGTGATTTTTCCCGTCATTAGATTTGTTGAACGTCATGGACTTCCTCGTGCGCCAAGAGACACAGCGGTGATCACATGACATGCGCCAAGCCTCGGAGTCAAAACCAACTTTACCCGTACAGACATTTATGAAGCCTCCGCTGCCGAAAGAAAGAGCTCCAACTACATGTCTCACTTATCTATCAGTTAGCTATCATGGCTCTATCAAGGGGCCCTGATTGCATAGATAATCGATAACGAACTTACAGTGTGTATGATAGCCGAGTCAAACCGTGGGGTCTGATCCAGAGAAGGGTACTCTACCAATGAGTACAGCAACTCTACCAACGAGATGGATAGGCGCTGCAATGTCATGCAGCTGCTAGGAAAGGCAGGGCCATGCAGGCGTGAATAGTAGATTATCTACTATTCATCTAATTGAAGTGCTCGCGCCTCCCCTGAGTTGTAGCTTAGGAGTTGAGGTCCAAGACTCGAAAAGGTCCTGTGATGTGTACCCGCTATACCTCTAACGCGTTTTGGAAATTGTGGAGAAGGAAGAGCTGAGAGCTGGTCCCATCAGCGAGGTCACCCGGGGTACCTACATGTACTGCGATATTCTACCACCAGCCTCCAGTCTCCAACTGATGTATGGCGCTGTACGTATCTACTCTTGTCTATCATAGAAACCTGATAACACGTCCACAAGTGAGAGCCTCCGTGTGATTGATCTGCCTACCCTGCCAGCTATCTTTACCCGAACAGTTCTGGTAACGTAGCCGTCCGATGCGGCTACGTCGACCCTAAAAAACCCTTCGCGAGACAAATTACCAAGTTCTGAGGTCAACGCACAGCGCTGTGATATCTTCGTGGGCACTGGGAAAGGGGAAAGATAACTACTACATCTTGGACAGCACAGAGCTACCAAGGTTGCCCGAAGATAACCGCCGTTCAAGATAACCGTGTTGAGAGTCTCAACATCCATTATATTTAGCACACTCTACCCACCTTTACTTAAAGAGATAGCTACAGATTGTCTATCCACATCATCCTACTCTCTAACAATTCCAAAACTCCATAACCATTATATTAATTATTACCGCAAAATTATCTTCAACAATGGCTCCATCAGCAGTTCAGCAAACCCCTCCCGATACTGTCATCACCGAAGCTTATACCCAACCCATCAAAAAATGCATGTGTCTAAAGTTCGATACGGATAGACCTCTCAATGAGTTCGAAAACCTAGTCGAGGATATCAAGCGGGTTCTTGGCCCGTCCTCCGGTATCAACAGCGCCGATGTCGATGTTAAAGATTTGATCAGGGTCATGGAGCGATACACCTCCGATGAATCCCATTGGGGAGGGTTCGCGCTAGAAGATTTGAGCAGGAACTACACACGAAACTTTGTTGACCACGGGAATGGAAAGGCCAATTTATTGATTCTTGTGTGGACTCCCGGGAAGGGCAGTCCTGTGCATGATCACGCAGATGCGCATTGTATCATGAAGGTAAACTGACCTAGCCTTCGGACTCAATTAAACGCATTGTCCTAACGAACAATTCTATTTAGATACTTAAGGGAAAGCTCCAAGAAACACTATACGAAATTCCTTCGGAAGTTGCTGTAGATCAGCCTTTAAAGGTCGAGAAGGTTACTGTCTATGGTACTGACGAGGTTACCTATATCTCGGACGATGTACGTTTTTTCCACATTCACATATCCTTACCCATACCTATTTACTAACTGTTCATTCAGATTGGCCTTCATCGTGTTGAAAACCCAGACCCAGAAAACATCGCCGTATCACTACACCTTTACACCCCTCCATGGGCTGAAAAACGTAATTCTGTCCCAATACTGTAATCAAATTTTTCTTGCTAACGCTCAATCTAGGTGGTTGTTACTGTTTCTGCCCTAAAACAGGAAAGAAGAACAAAGTTCAAATGAGCAACTACTACTCAGTTCAGGGGAAAATTGAAAAGATCAAGGGCGCGAGCTGTTGATCGACCTGTAAAATCAGTGGAACCAGTTCCTCCGGCAAGGGATAACTTTGGGTTCATAACCGCTCTCTATGGCTGTTTTAATTCTCTCCCGTTTCGAGTACACGAAACGAATAATCGCGATTGACCCGGCTCTTTTTTCTTTATCTAACTCAACATATCCTTTCCTTTTTTTCTCTTTTCTTTCTTTTACATTTTCACGATAATGCTCCTCTCAGTCTTGGTTTCCTGGCGTTATTTTCGTTTTATTTCCTTTTAGTCGGTTTGTTTTCTGGGCGGCGCACGGAACTTAGACGGATAGCGTCGGCCAGACTCGGCTTGTAGTTTTACTGGTTAAGCCTCATATAGTAAATTATATCGAACTTAATTTACTGCAATTGATAGCACTGACTGGCTATGATGTCCTCTACTGTCGTGTCAGCAGATCCTTCGTGGTCGTCGGGCCCCAAGGTGGGTTGAGAAGAAGGCGAAGTTGGAAGTTGGAAACGACCGTCTTGACTGAATGGTTCATTTTGACCAATAGATTGCAACTCATTCAGGATCCGTTTTCCGGCCGCAAATCTTTTCGAAACTTGAATGAGTATTACCTTAATTACATAAATGGCTGGTTTGTGCACAACTCAATAGAGTCCCATCTGTTGGGACGCGCAGCAACTAAAACCTTATGACTTCTGTATTTTCTTGCAGATATATCTAAAGCTTACTCGTTCCGACCTAGTCAACGAGACTGATTAGAGTAGTTGAATTGAGGAGTTAACTTTAGGCATAGGTTACTCGATATGCTAGAGATCGAGTTACCGAGGAGAGAGAAGGCTGGGGAGCTAGGAGACTTGTGACCCATGATCATGAGAAGGGTATGTAGAAATAACTCGTCAAGTACCTACATGTAGACACATGGACCACTCATAAGAGTCCGGGTCGTATGTATTTGGTAATATTTATGTTGTGCCATGGCTTTCTATTGGGCAGAGAAACCACTACTGCGCGGGGCATTGTGGCTTGACATCCCCAGCTATTAAAGCTCGCCGGTCATGTGTATATCTAGCTACATGACATAGCCTTGTCTAGATGCGTTGCGTTAAATTTGATCACCACCTGTCACTCGTTATCCGCTCTAAGCTGGACAATTGTCGATTTGGCCATACAGGGGATTTGTTGGGGTTATAGGATTGAAAGACGTACCGTACCAGGCCTACGGTATCTGGGGAATGTGCACGTGGTCGGAATCACTGTGATTACAAGTATGCATATATGGCCGTACTATTTACTCCTACACAAAATAACAAATGTGCGTCATACCAGTATGTAGATCACCTATTGTACGTAGATTTCTTATCGGGAAAAGTATTTCGGAAACAACTTTGAACAAATCTTGCGGTCGGTATCTCTAGGAGCTGGAATTAATAGTATTTACGAAGCTAGCCGAATGTTATCGATATATCATGACCCTGGTGGATCTTCTTAGCTAGTAATATATGTCACGTAGCCAGCTCGTCCACTCGACGCGTTATCTAATAGCAATTGAAGCCCCGTAAGTACAAGCACATAGTCATACAAGAGAATAATGACTCTGACCCCGGCTCTTACTTACCCCACCAGTTCTGTGCTTGCATGCAATTAATGAATTAAACAAAAAACAAAACAAAAAAACCAGTTCTGTGCTTTTCAGGATCGATCTTCACTCTTGGGGCTTGGCACGAGTGACATTCCATGAGCGAGCTAATCCAGGAACCACAACAAACACGGTAAACCGGGGTAATCGATGAGCAACACATCCCAAGGCAGATCGAGTAACATTCCTGGGATACCGTCAACCAAGAATACATGTAGCTCCACGACCCAGCCAAAAGACAGCAAACTATGTGCTTCTTGAGTCAATATGTGCATACTCTTCGATAGTGAGCGCCATAGAAGTTCGTGAGCTGTCTTGTTCGACTCTATCCCCATTAATACCACACTTATCATATCGTTCTCTATCGCTAAAGCTAACCATCATATCAGCCAGCCACCCAACGGCCCAAACGCTGCATGTCTCACCTGCCACCCTCCCAACTCGACTCAAGCCGCGCTGCACTGCACGAGAAACTGCCGGGTCTTCTTATTGCCCGAAACCGCCAACGGGGCTATCCGTGCGTGTTCCCTGGGACTCCCAATCGGCGCCCTGAGCGGAATTTAAAGCGATTGACCCGAAAGAACGGCGCGTGACCTTCGGCTAATGGTCTTGGCGGCAGCGGGTAGGGTAGGTAGGGGAAAGGACTGATGGGACACGTTTTTCTTCGGGGCCGGGGTCAAGAGCAGGGTTTTGGACTAATTATGGGAGGCGGTGCGGCGGGAGATGTACCCTACGTCAAGTGGTGATTTTCGGGACGTCATGATCGCGGATGGCGATGATGCCCGAGCTCCTTGCATGATGGAATCTAGCTGGTATCGTAGGAGGTTTCTTGCCGGCGTTCGAAAAAGGTTTTCGGAGTATGTATCTATTTTCAAATATATTTATTGACCTTGAGGTATTCTATGGGTTCATTTTGGCACCACTAACTAGTCGCACAATTACCTAGAAGGACGATGACAGCCTAGCTAGCCAATCGGAAGAAAGAGCTACAATCGCACGAGTTACCAGCACAGAATACTTTACCACGCTCGCGCAGCCAAAAACCCACCATTATACTATTAGAAGGCATTGATTAACTTGGCGTAAAAAGGATTGACGTTCGGTCACAATGATATTATAGAAAGCAAGGTATCGCAGCTGTTTTATGGTTTATTATTACGATTCTATCTCTAACAAAAAATTGTGCCCGCTTTCCTTTTTTGGCCCAACAAGCCCAGCAGATAACTCTAAGAATTTGTATTGCGGAACAAACCCAGCAGATACTCTAAGAATTTGTATTGCGGCCTTGATTCTAGTTCCAGGAAGAACGTAGTGTAAAGAAGTTGTATTCTCTAATAATGATTAGGACTTTTTCTTTTAAGCAAGGAAGGCTACATACTATAAGCGCATTAAATTTCTGGCCGGCGGCTTGAAAATTAAGACTAAATGGCTTATAGCCCACAGTATAATCGCCCTACAAGAGGTTGCGTGTGGGGTGCCAGTCACGGTGCACAAGCGGTAAGCTATTCACGGCTCGACTATTAGCACAAATCAAAATACGTATAACAGAGAAGACCTTCTTACCTTGTTGTCCTTATCGTTTTGGCCCCCCAGAGACACATAACAGTCTTTCGATGTTAGAGTCCATCCTATTTTTCTACGTAACACCTATTAGTACAAGTCAGGATACATAAGAGAATATTCTTACCCTCATTGCACGCAAAATACATCAAAGCAATTATTTACGCTCCACATACATGATGTGGGCGTATGTGACGTCAACAAGGACATCAATCTTCACCACACCCATTAGTACAGGTCAGAACTAGAATAAAGAGGGAAATGCTCTCTCACTATTTTGGAAGCTCCAAAATTACTTGTCGACAATATCTTCTGCTAGAAGCAAGCACGGTAGAAGGTCGGCCTCCGTGTTTTGCTGTAAGTCGATTAAATTTCCGACTTATTTGAGATCCCAGGACGGACGAATGCAGTGGTCATTGGATTTCCTGGAGACCCAAGGCAGAATACTTGAGATTTTCAATTTCCTGCTTGGTACTGTATGCAAGAGACCCCCCAAGGCGGAAGAACCGGTTTTCGGGGATTTTGGCATATACAGCATATGCCACTTCTGGCGAGGGCATCCGACAAGCCCCGAGATGTCGGGGAAGGGTAGGGAACGTTATGTTCCATACAACCTTGTGGGCTGCTGCTCTTATATAGCAGCAGCAAGCCCATGGGCCCAGTACAACTGCCCTACAGGAATAACGTATCCTGGACAATAACCTCAGCTGCAAGGGGCCAGCAAGGCAGTAGTATCCAATAACGAGATTGCTCTCGAGTGTTGTCCCACTGCCCAGCCTTGCCGGCAACTTAATACATAGTTAGAAAAATGAGATATTCAATGGGTGGTGGATAATACCTCGATCGAACTTTCTTTCCATATGAAGCCCCTCTGGAATAATAATAAGTAGTGGTCTGTCATACTATCTGTTAGAAACCCAAACGATTTAAATCAAAAAGCCTATGGAGATATAACACCTTGACGGGGGCCGATGTTTTGCTCGGTGTTCATGCTGCAGACTGGTGCTTCAACCAGTGGGCAGCGAGATGCTGGTTGGGGTGATGATGAGACGGGTTGAAGCATCAACAAACATGATGAGAAGCAGGATAAGCGGATAAGAGATGAGAGAAAGAGGGAAGGGAGGAGGGGAGAATGGAAAAAAGGAAGTGGAAAGAGAGAGAGAGAGAGGAAGGGGGAGGGGGAGGGGGAGGGGGAGGAGATGAAGAGAATTAGACGGAGATACGAGGGGGAGGAGGGGGAGGAGGGGGAGGAGAAGAAGGGAAAGAAGGCTTAAAGTCTTGGAATTCTTAGATGCTAACTGGGAAAAGCTTAATTCGTCATGCATCGAGTACAAATGATCTTCGGATCAGACAGGCCCCAGGTCGCCTACGAGATGCTATCCTGCTCAAAATAATGGGCCGCACGAAAAACGCAAGTAGCTGTATTCGCATGGCAAAACTTGTGACCTCAGGGCATCGGACATCGCATCATCTATAACATCTGATCCCAGGACTGGAATTTGACGGTCTCATTTTATTTGCCTGTCTCAAAACCTTGGGTATTAAACTTTTAGTCAACCGAGGGGCGAGTGCATGAAGGCTATTTTTCCTGGAGATATTCCAATCGGCCAAGATGTGACTGTTTTGTGTGGGCGATTACAAAAATCTGTGCGAAGTATCATTGTCTTTTTATCCTTTCGGTTGCAGGAGTGAGTGATAGTTCATGATACAAATAATGAAAGTTGAATATTATTGTATTGGTTGCCATGATTAGACATGTCGGTGTAGTATAGTGGTTAGTACTTCTCGTTGTGGTAACATGGGTTTACCCCTGTTTGTCTGTTCCGAGAGGACCCATGTTCGATTCATGGCACCGACAACTTCAGTTAAGATATCCTTGGTTGCAACAGGTTGTCTAAATCTTTTTTTTGAACTTTTTTACCCAAGAATGTCCAACGAGAGTTCATGCAGGTACAATACGCAGAGGGGTGGCAGGGGTGAACAAGGAAACTTTCAAGTATCAAATCCCAAAGCAACCAAATTAACTATTCAAAGCTCCCCGAGTGATACACCGTGACCAACACCCCCACCCCCACAACCCGACGTACGACACGCACAACGACCACCCTCATTTCCTCATGCCAAATCCGGCTTGCACTCTCCAAAGCCCCGACCCCGATCGGCGTCCGACCGGCCGGCCACATCAGTTCCTTCTCCCATCCCGCACATGCAATATTTTTTTCTCTTTCCCCCCATGGGCTCAGCTCGAAACGATCACACTCTCTGCTCCTTGCCGGCCGTGGATGTTTTTGGCAGTCCGACGGGTGAATGCATGATATGGGTTACTCTACATGTGACAGTGCGCACGGGGTTGAAGGGAAAGGAAAGGCAAGGTTTGGTACTAGGTGTCAATTTCCTAATCCGTTTGGTGTCGCCCCATCTCTCCCCTCACATTGCACGGCCCTTAGGCGGGAGGGAGAGGTGGGGGGGGGGGGGGGTAACATTGTAATTACTAAAAAATGAGGAACAGAAAGGGACACTGATATCGAAACGATTGCTCTCTCTTTTTTTTTTATATATATATCTCTCTTGATTAGATTCTGCAAATATTCGACCCTAACTTCCCTATAGAAAAAGAAGACAAAAAAAAAGAACCACCGCAAAAAAAGCGAAAGTGTAACTAACGACCAATTAACCCATCCCATCCCAACAACGTACAGAAAACGGCAAGTTAACAACAACGAAGAAGACGAATTCGAAGGCGATGACGACAATAGTAGTAACAACAACAAGTAATCGATCACAGTACAAAAAGTAGAGTAGAGGTAGAGTAGAGAAAACTAATAAGAGCGCGGGGGGGGGGGGGGTGGGGGGAGCTTAAGGTAATAAAAAATAGTAAATGAAACGTTCGATAAGTAGCATCGACGGGCCAAGATGTAAGCTAGCAGAGCGGGCTGGCGGGTTAGGAAATTAAAGAAAGAGTAAAAGTACTGCAGCCAAACACACGCATACTCTCGAGGGAAGAAACGTGAGGTGGAGATGATGAGGAAGGGTATCTAAATATATACAGAACGAACGAAACGAAATTCAAACCATGCGATTCCCAATCAGTGAACAAAGATAGAGGTAACCAAAGCTAAGCACCAACCAACAAAAAGCCAGCCATCAGCAATTATATCTTACGCCAAAGGGAAATAATACCATAAAATAAAAGGAATAGTGCTAAAACAGTAGAAAAGTAGTAGTGATAGTAGTACCAGCCGTAAATAACAAAGCTTGAAGGAGGACGAGACAAATAAGTGATCGACCACAATCTAGCAGTCTAATCTTAAATAGGATCCGTAGGATAGTAACATAGAGAAACGTGATTAAGTAGCACACGTGGTCAAAAGGGTATAGAAGAATCCCCGCAATTATAAAAGAGAAGGAAGATGTAATGCAAGTTCAAAACGAAAAGCGTACTCTCCCTTGAAGTTGTTCGCATGCCAAAAAGAAACGCAACACAATTAGGAGCAATAGCGCTGAATAGAATATCTGAAAAGAGTAGTGGTATTTGAGACAAATAAAAAATAAAAAGGGAATATAAAAAATACCCTGGGAAGGAAGAGGAAAATGAACAAAATTTTATAAGCCAAAACAAATAATAAAAAAAAAAGAAAAAGACTTCCCCACGAGACACGGCACATTCTCAGGGCGCAATCCCGGGGAACCCGGCATGGTTTTCGTCGATTGGCCCACCATCCAGGCCAATTCTGCCTAGCAATTTCCCTACAAGTACATAGTCGTCCGAATACATGGACCCCACGGGTTGCTGCCGCATGAACGACATGACGACTTCCAGTGCCCTACAGGCATCCTCTCTGCTAGGCGGACCCATAGGCGTCTGCGGCGCGCTCTGCCCTGATATCGTGGTGTGGGATGAGGCCGGCGTGTCATGCGGCATATCCTGCGGTGAAGCTAGTGACGAAGGTTGGAGGGAGGTTTGACCTATCATCTTGGGAGTGAGAGGCTCCGATGAGGGTGGTGGTGATATATATGTCGAGTCAAGACCATGAAATGTTTGTGACCTTGGTCGTTGTACACCTGGAATTCGAACATGCGGGGGGTATCCAGGGCTGGTGAGCCTTTCCCCTCTAGCGTCTGGAGAAAAGAATGGCGAGGTTGGTGAAGCGGGACCTGTAAAGGATGAGCCTGTGTCGGTAAACATACTTGACATGGAGGTAGCAGTGCTGGCCGAACCTGGTGTTTGCATCTGATGCTTAAACCCACCGAATTCCATATAGGATTCTGGAGACTCAGTATGGTTACTATCCGTACTCTTAGACTCCCGCATCAACGGCGAGCCAAGAGGGCCGACGCCCTCCTGCTTGAACATCGGTGTCGACTCCGTCCTCGCGTGTCCCTGTCTCGGCGACCCGAGCAATCCTATTGATGCAGCTCTTCCCGCACCTGTCACGTCGCTTTCCGATCTTCCCCGGCCATTTGCATGCAGGTTGTTTTTGTGTTTGAACTTCTCCAGCCACCCCGCACTATTTGCTTTGAACTGGCTGTCTGAGATCCCAACACTCGACGCAAAGAATTTCGCCTTCTCCCGTATCATCATATCTGTTAGAGCAACGCCTTGCTTCCGCGTGTTTTTCGCCCATACTGCCAATGCTCGTTCGATATCGGGGAATTTCCCTTTAGAACGTTTGACTGGCGATCTACTCCCATCGTCAGGGAAGAGATATTTCTCTTTTTGTCGAAGAACCTTGGAAACAGTACTGCACAAGAGGAATGATTAGCTAAGCCGCTTTTCGTCTGATGTTTTATTATGAATTTTTTTTTCGCGCGTGATATTACCTTCTTTCAACCCCAAACATTGCTAATGCCAAGAAAGGGTCAAGGTCAGCATATTTCGTTTCGAAACATAGGGGAAAAGTATGAAGGGGTGTGTGGGGTGCATGAAAAAGGAAAAAAAAATAAAAAAAACGCGAGAGTTTTTTCCCATACCTCCGATCTCAGTCTGCTTGACATTCGGGTGCTCTTCGTGAAAGATACACATTCTCCGCCTATCCGCGTCGGTCAATGTTCTCCTCGGGCTTGAAGTCGACTGAGTAGTATGTGCCGACACGCTGTTTGGCAAGGGCGCCGAACCCGGGGGAGGAGCAATTGCAGGCGACGGCATAAACTGGGCGTGCGAAGCAGCTGGGGGAACCATATTTTGGCCCCAATGGGACAAACCCAAGTAGTTGGGAGCTATCGGGACAGGAGGTGCCTGAAGCCTGAACTGCTGGTCCTGGGGGACGAATCCCGGTGACTCCACGAAGCCGTAGGCACCAAAGTCATGAGAAGGGTGGTGCTGATGATGCTGGTGGTGTTGCTGCTGGGGATGTATGGGAGCAGGTTGTTGCTGCTGCTGCTGGTGCTGGTGCTGCTGTCCATGATGGTTATGGTGCTGCTGGTGCTGCTGCATCCCAATCTCAACCCATTGCGAGTTGACAAAGTCGTCATGCGGGTTGTGCACACCGTCCATTGCATAAGAGAAGAGCTATGTATGAGGACCAGCAGAGACAGGCGGGCGGTCGACAACAAGCAACGAGCGAACGAGCAGATAGCTTCTGGACTGGACCGGAAGTGAAGCGAACTGAGGATTTTGGGGGAGGGGGGTGGGGATCCCGTGCCTAGCTTAACCAACCTCTGCGTAGTAGTAAACTGAGGAGTGGCTGTGGAGGCGGTCAGTTCAGTATGAACCCTGAGATTTGTTTATTCCTTTTTATTTTTTTTATTTTTTTGAAGACCAAGACCTACCTACTGGGTCCTAGGTCTATCTAGGTCTAGGCATGGGGAATCAATCAATAGTAATTTTGATCACCCATCCTCATCTCCAACCTCATCCATCATATCAGTCTTTCTCTCCTTCCATCGGCAGTAACAGCCCCTTCTCCCCTTATGTAGCAAACTTATAATTATTTGTGTATGTATTCACTCCCGGAAGAGAACTACAGACCTAATACGCACAAGTAAGTTTTTTTCTCCGCATAGGGGATGCAGAGCGCGCGTGTGCATGTGTGTGTAAGGGAGGGAACGGGGAGATATTTTTTTTTTATTTGAGCAACCTGGTCAACCTGGATGGGACAAGTTGGGATAGGATAGGAAGGGATGGGATAGGGTGGGATGTGGATGGGATGGATGGGATGGGATGGGATGGGATGGATGGGATGTGGTGGATGGGATGGGATGGGAAGAAGTCATGCAGCCAACCAGCCAGCCATGCAATTAAGCCTCAGGAACGCATCTCTTGCCCGACCGACCGGCGCAGTATGCTGCTGCGGGAGAAACTCTGAATCTTCTTTCTTCCCCCAACCCATTCGTTCAATTTCAATCCCTATCCCTATCCCTATCCCTATTATCACTACATGATGATATATGTATCCCTATCCCTATCCCATCAACACTGTATGATCCATACAATATCGTATCCATATCACAGAAGCAGCAGGTAAGAAATAACAGGTTATAGGTAACAAAGCAGATGTAATCACCGGGGAATAGATAGTGATGGGATTGGATGGGATGGGATATATATGACAGAGACAGAGAGAAATCGAAATAACCAATAAAAAATCCAGGAAGGGCAATAAAAAAAATATAGGGATAAACACACAAACACTCACGGATACTGCCTATCTCGGTTATTTCGAGGAGTCCTCGCACAACAATAACAACATGGGAAATAACCAAGAAGGGGAGAGAAAAAAAAGAAGCTGTCGACTGGATCGCTCGATAGATAACATGTTAGACGAAATCAGAAAACTAACACTTTTTCTCTCGCTTACTTAGACTAACGCGGCGGGGGCTGCGGCCATGACCCGGCTGAACGCGAAGAGGGAAAAAAACCCCTTAAGCGCAGAAAAACTGGCTAGGATTGGGTTTGAGAAACTCAGACAGGGTTCATCGTCATACGGTAAATCAAAATCAACCACCATAACCAATCGATAATCCATCCTTTTGACAGGCCGGGCCTCGGGAGGGGAAAGGGAGACGAGGCTTGGTTGGAATTTGGAACTCCGTACAATGCCTGTCTCGCTCTCCCTGACTTGGGTACGGACTGCGACCGGCAACCATCTTTCCGGTAAAAGGAAGCTTCCCTAGACTCTCGTCCGACATTGTCCCTCTGGACTTCTTCCCGGCGGTAGAATGTTCTTTGCATCTTTCGGGAATCCGGGAAGCTTTATGGCCTACAGATTGCAACACAGACAGGGGGATTTGAAAGAGGATCAAGAAACAGTATTACTATCTCCATTTCTCGTATGCTTCGTCTTGCAAGCGCCATCGCATGTGGAGGTATCCCATCTCATTTTTTTGCCATTATCTTTTTTTTCTCTTGGCCTCCTCGACAAAAGACACGCCCACCCACCCACCCACCCACCTGTCTGTGTACTTTAAAGTATGATAAATGGGACACGTTCACAGTTAATGTTTCATCACACGGAAGATCGTGATTCTAGAGGGAAATCAACGGTCGCTTACGAAGTTACCAACTTCCTTAGCCTCTTTGCTCTTGCTATTCTTGCGCCTTGCGGGTAAAAGCCGCCCTGTAAAGGAAGCAATGGTGCTTTGTCCTCCTCAGAGGTCCAACAAGAATAATCATTATTGGCTCCCAAACTCTCGGGACTTTTTTGATTCGTGGATGCTTTAACCTGGTGGTTCGAGTGGAGAAAGAAGAGAGGGGAAAGGAGATTTTGTAATACGCTGTTCATAATAGTCACCCCTGCCGACATCCCCACATGTGTTGAGGGAGTTCGATTTCCCTTTGGTCAGTTTTGCCTAGATAACTGATGGATGCGGTATCACACGTGAATAGTTGTGTGGAAAAGGATGTTTTGATATTGCTTTTGGCGGGTGAACGTCAACCAGGCAAGAACTGTCTAACTGTTTTAGTTACTGCAACGGATCTTTTACCGGCCCATCATCCTATGTCCTTCCTCATCCATGTTGCCCCCCGAGAATCATCCGGCCCGGAATGGTTACTAGTCATACTTCCTTACCCAATAATTCGAAAGCGAATGCCATTCACTTTTTCAAGATTGTAACCTAGGCGATGGGGGAGGTAGTGGGTTAGCCAATCTGGAAACATACCGAGGATGGGAAATCCCGCAGAGAAACATACAACATCCTCATCCTCCAGAACGTGACTCAATCCAACTCTTTGTGGCTGATGTTTGACACTTGAGCCGTAAACAATTGCAACCTTGAAAGTATCAACGATGGTTTTGTGTATCGATTTACACTGCGGAAAACATCAGCGCCTAATCAGCCAATAAATAGCCGAATACGAAAAGGGGTAAACCAACAAAGTCTTCAACAGTGCACGCGTTCGCCCTAAGTACGACCGGCGATGAATAATCTGGGGATTGGCCTTTAGGTTTCGTGTAAATTCGCCTTAAGTTAAGCTTCTCCCACCTACAGCTTTTGATTAGTAGTTTCTCCAAAAACGTGAGTGTTCTTCTCCCTCACATCATTTCGAGAAGCTCATCAACATTCCATCCCTTTAGTTCCTCAAAGTCAGCTTTGGAACAAAGTTAATATGAATGAAGGTGGGGAAAACTGGCTCTTTCAGAAGATATGGGAACCGAATTGGGAATCCTGTAGAGCAAATCGAGTTCCTCAATTGAGATAGCGTCAATCTTGTTAAGAGCATAGATAACGGGTATATATCGTCGACTCTTTTCTTCGATAACATCGATGAGATCATCTACCGTCGCATCACATCGGAACGCAATATCAGCCGAGCTGATCTTGTACTCCTGCATAACAGCCCGAATTTCCTGCAAAAAAGAAATAAGCATATTGTCTCTCCTCACGAATTTACTGGGGCATACATCTGCGTCTAGATGGGTAAGTGGCACTGTATTAGTAACAGCTATACCACCTTTGTCCTTCTTACGAAAGACGATATTTGGCGGTGACTTGTTGACCCTGATCCCAAAGCCCTCCAACTCGGCCTCAATGAGCTTCTTGTCCGTCAATGGCTTGTTGACATCGAGGACAATGAAGATTAGGTTGCAGGTTTTGGCAACAGCAATAACCTGACGACCACGACCTTTCCCGTCCTTTGCACCTTGGATAATACCTGGCAAATCCAACATTTGGATTTTGGCACCGTTATACATCACACATCCCGGTACCGTGGTAAGCTGTATGTAGCTGTTAGCGTAGCTCTCAATGCACCAACCATTACTCTTCCCCAAGAAATATATCATACAGTAGTAAATTCATAAGCAGCCGCTTCGGAATGCGTGCCGGTTAGAAGATTGAGCAATGTACTCTTGCCGACCGAAGGGAATCCTGCGCCTCATAAGCAATTCCGTCTTTTGATCAGCTGGAAAAGATGCGAATATGTTGAAATAAAGTACCAATAAAACCCCTGCAAAATAGTCGTAAGCCGATATCCTCTCTGGAGCAGTGCCCCGCAATGATTCGTTGAAGGTGGCACATACACACTGGCGACACCGGTTCTCGCAACATCGAAACCAACTATGCAAAGTAATAAGTAATCCGGAGTCCCCTTTGGATTAGTAGAAAAAGAGCCTCACCTCCGGCACCTCCGCCTCCGCTGGAGGGGGTGACAAGCTCCTTTCGTAACTTAGCAAGCTTCGCCTTTAGTTGACCCAAATGACTGTGTTCCCGGTGTTAATTGCCGTAGCTGTAATTCGAACGCCGAGAGCTCTTTTAATTGAGTGCACTCACAAGGAAGTGGCCTTATTCTTCTGGGTTTTGGCTGTACGACCCGCTGTCAATATCACACTCCACAGAAGCGGAACGGGAGCATTGGCTAACTAACCCATTTCATCTTCAATGGCCTTGATCTTATCGACTGCATTCCAAACTTCGTTAGAGCCGTTTGAGGGGTCTTTGACTGGTTATTTATCATACCGGTTGTACTCATTTTGGCAGCGTGGGGTTTGAAATGGCTATGAAATTTATTCGGTGGCGACTGGAATGTCGGACGTACGGGTCGGGCGTACGGTGTGGAAGTGTGTATACGCGAGGGCTTGGTAGAGAAAATATGAGGTTGTTGTTGTCTGTAGATATTGAGTTGGACCGGGAAACGTGGTGGAGGTTGTAATAACTTTTTTTGCTGTGTCATCAAGGGTAGGTACGCGGGGATGCAAACTTTTTTTTATCATGCACCCCACATATTGATATACGCTACATGTACTTATAAAAGCTAGAAAAAGTACATCTATATATTATAGATCTTAGTTGATTTTAACAAGATTGCAATGTTCCTTGGCGGAAATGCCTCATTTGAGATTTTCTATACATGATCCATAATTTGCATCAAAATGGGTTAGGGTTAGAGAGATAGACCTACATGCTTGTAACTTCCAGCCCAAAAATGATGGGACAACGCCCAAAGCACACCAAAATTTCGACTTTTTGCAGCTCTGCCCCGGCACCACCACCAATAGATAGACCTTGAAATTAACAACATAGGTTATGGAGTGTCTATACTACCCACCCCCAGGCTTTGGTCCAATAATTTCGAATTGTGTGTGCGTAGCAAGTCTGAAAGTTTAAAGGTATTTGAATTCCAACAATAACCGTACGAGATTCTTTACTACTGATACACTAATGATTTATTTTTTAATCTAAGTGCTGATTTGCATTCTCCTAGAGATTCTACGCACCAAGAAGTGTTGCTGAAATATTAAATTTCTTGGTGTGGTTTAGGTTGCTGTCCTATCATTTTTGAATAGGAATTACACATACCTCCTTGAGGCTTGTATACAGTACAGTATCAACATACATGTAGATGATCATGACTTCTATCCTTAATTGCTTCTTAATAAAAATCTGCGCCCGAAAAGAAAAAAAAAAGCTATTGGTAATTGGTAACTGAAGAAAAGACCATTGAACTAAACATTCGGAGTCGCATAAAGCATCTTATTCTAGGTAGCAATCGGATCATATCGTGCATAGGCTACTTAACAACTGTAATCTACTTATTTAGGTGTCTAAGATTCAGATACAGAGGATGATGAGTACTGCATGGAGTGAGAAGGGTTGTTGGGCCTTCTTAATTGCGCTTTTGGTCTTGGAGAGGTGACTTGATACAACGCCGAGTGATCTCTCGTGCTTATCCGCTGCCTGATCCTACATAATTCAGACTTTGAATCACGTTTAATAGCTTGATTTTATTCACCCGACCAACTGACTTTCATTCTGAGATACAGATAGTACATTAGGGTATGGTTACAGACCATATATTAAAATGTACGGAAAAGAACTAAAATGACACACTTTCTGGTATACTTGATGTAGAGAAACACATATTTATATAATGCATAACGATACACTTCTGCGGTCCAAAATGGCATGTTCAAAACTTTGGGCTCTTTTAGAAGAACCCGTTGGCGAACTATTACTAAACTTCTGGGCTGGAGGGCCTTTTTGAGCTGTTGATAGTAACCTATCAACACAAAATTTAGCGCTGTTAGGAGTACCCGCGCGTTGACGAACTATATTATTATAGTTTTGCTGGCAAAAAAAAAAAAAAAACGGAAGACGGCAAGATTCCAGAAGTCATTAGTACTTGTGAAAGAAGATGAGTTTTTCTAAAAGAGCCCGATGTTTTGAACTGTGTAAATTTGGATCATAGAAGTGTGTCATTTTGCGTTATGTGTTGCTCTGCATCAAGTATACCAGAAAGTGTGCTATTTTAGATATTTTTCGTAAATTTATCTGTTAACTTTATCGGGATCTATAACCTAGGAACTAGTGCGTGCTACAAACAGTCTTGGCCTAAAACTCGTATATAACTTAAATTTGAGTTCTCTACGCGTATACCTTCAGTAATTGACTGATGGATCGCAGTCCTACATGTAGCTCATGTAGTATTCTTCAGACATTGAGCTTGCGCATAGAATGTTTGTTCCTTGTCCCTACTTAGGCCCTGATAATGAACCCCATTTGAGGAATCTCGTACCATAGCTACATGTACGTATACACGCGTTCATCCCTTAATTATAAGCTGTAACTTAAATGTTACCAAGATGAGACACGGCAACATCAGATGCAAGTCAGAGAATCGAGACATGATACTTGGCAAAGCCGGTGGCGGCTTTTACAGCATAAGGGATAGGCCTGATGGGTGGATAAAGTTCGCTGCTTCGCTGCTTCGTTGGTTCAATTGGACATTTGTTAACTTAGAACTTTGGGTGCGCAGAACGTTATCACCGGCATAAATTAATGGCTGCCGTTATACGTACCTGCGCCCAATCTGACGGGCTGACTTAATTGGACCGTCTGATTGGAGCTGAAAACTAGATTGATCTTATTATAAGGTTTTAGTTTGAATTATGGGCACATCATTCTGGTTTGAAAGGCGAGGTGAGCGTTTTCAGCTTTATAATCCTCTTTAAAATAAAGACTGTTCTATAGCTGTTCCAAGAATTATGTAACCAACTAATGGACATAGAAATTTCATCACCAATCACGGGATATTACTCCCATTTTTATTGCTCAAAACTCATAATAACCATAACAAAATCCCAACCCCGCACACAGGATCATTTCAGAAAACAACAACTTAAACTACCATACTTCATACCAGTGTCATGATCATTACCAGAGAGAACTCAAAGCATCGCCGATGAAGCATCGAGTGAGTTATCGTAATTCTACTTACGAGTTGCTCATCTCAAGTGTGATACCATTACGAGGTTGCGTTAGTTCTAAAAAAAAGACCCTTACAATTAGAATCGTATCAATAGGGCGAGGTGCATGAGAATGGGAACTTACCAAACCACTTGAGATATAAAAGCGATTGTTCGTCGGATGTAAGTTCAACGAAAAGTCTTCCTTCTGGGCATGGTATACTCGCACCAGTAATAGCCGCTTTTCCGCCAGAGATAGGTTGCTTGAGTGCAAAGTTAACCACTATCTCCAACATATATATAGTTTCATAAGGGCGTTGTAACTTACTGCGACCGACCATTGCGGTACTGGAGGAGACCTGGCAGGCCTGTTATCCCAACTAATTGTTCTATAATTGATAGGTGGGGAGTCTGAAAGAATATAAACATTCATTCTACCACCGCCAGTAGCCTTCCAAGTGTTCTGGGGCTGGCCAGGCTCCTGAGACAATTCAAGCTTGATTATGCAGTTTTTAGGGCCACCGGCGGGGATGTCCCATCCAACTTATCCAATAATCTTTGTTAGAGTCTACTCTCAATTAAATATTTAGGGGATCCGGTTTTCTTACTCATAGACCGAATTTGATCGGATCTGCCAGTGTATTTTATCTCGGCCTCGTACTTTGTACCGCCAGTAAAAGTGGGATTGGATTGATTGATAGGAACGATGTAGTTGGGGAAAAGGGTCCTGTGGGGGAGATAGTTGGGACCGCCATCATCCGGAACAGGGGTAGCAGAGACAGTGACAGCGACGGCACAGGCAAGGAGGGCATGGAACAAATGCATCTTGGTGGATTTTGTAGGCGGGTAAATATGATATGTAGATACAGTTGTAGAGGTAGAGGTAGAAGGAAGACCTGAGTCGTGGTGAAGAAAGGAGAGATATTACATGAATGGCTCTTTATATATATTTTTTTGGTTTGCATTAGCACGATATCCTTTACTGAGATCACCTCGATGTCTATGAGTTTTCAACCGTGAACCTGCAGCTGGACACATCAATCAGCCCGATCAGTTATTACATCACGCGCTGAATTAAAGCTTAGAAACGTATGAATTATTCTGGGCCGGTACATTGTACACCAGATTGGTATATGATGGTTTCAAACTTGCCTTGACCCACTCACAGGATATCACTCGGGAGCATGTATATCTGCATCCGGCAGAATAATATATATTACTTTAAGGCCGAAGCTCCAGGAGGTGGAAGTGAATATCCGGTCTCCACTTTCTGTATTGGGCCGGAGTCGGACGATTTACTAGACTTAAACCAGCGTCTGGAACGTTACAGTGGATATTTGCCAGCCTCGATCGGCCTACCCGGCTTAATATTTATACTCCATGGTAACGCTGGACACAACAGCAGAGACCCAAGTAGTCATGTGGAACTTGATATTAATGCGTTGTTTATAGTAGATCTGTGCAACGTTTGGGGTACGGTGTAGTACGGTATAACCTTATGTTACGTATGGGGAATGTCGGCCCCCATTCCTCTGTAGCAGTGGCCTGACTTATAGTTGCTGGTTTTATTCACGCCGTTGAAAGCCGCGCTGAACGTAGATTCCTCGGAAATGAGAGAGTGTCTCGCTTTGTAGTAAAACGTTTTTGTGCCGGATTTATTGAAGCGCCATTGCGATCGCAAGATTGATGTTTCCAGAATAAAGATTTCGATCGTGCGCCTGTAAGACAAAAGGGTCTTAGCCGGCCGGAATCCAAACTCAGCAAGACAATATAAGTTGACAGTAATAACGCGAAAGAATAGTAAGGCAAAGATGAAATGGAATATATGCATATATATGAACTTATAGGGTTCATGTAACTGAGCTAGAAGATTATATTTATGAAGTGGCGTGGCAAGTTAATGGGCGTGGAGATGGGTGAAGCTTGTCGGATAGTAAATACAGCCATCAAGGATTCGATCAAAGATATATTAAGGAAGAGAATTGATAACATGTACACAGGTGCACCACATGGAAGTGAGTTGAATTCAAGGCGTTGCTAGGGTCAAAGATTACGAGAACACCCTAGCTAGCTTGCTATAATTGACTTCCAGTAACGTCATCAACGTCGTGCGTGGTTGAACCTTAGACCCTTCGAAGTTTCCCCATCAACCTTCAAGCTTCTCCAAATTTGGTTACTATCAAGATAATATACATGATTCACCGCGATCCTCATCAAGTTAAATGTCTAACTCATCGGCCAGACTTTACTCCCTTCTACGGTTCTTTTGGGGCATATATACTCGACAGGCCGGGCTACGTACAGACAATCTCAAGCCAGTCAAGATATACAGGCCATACTGAGAACCTAGCTCCTGTTGTTTCGGTCGTTAGTTGTATTCCAGATTCAAAAGAAAATCCTGTGGAATCTTCAATAGTACGACTTGGTTACTTGATATTACTTGAGTGCAGCCAGAAACACTCTAAATAGGTTGGTTTTGCTACAGCACCCTGCCTTGCTTATTGAGTGGATATAAATTAAATAAATTTTTAAGGGATTGTGGTACTAGCTACTAGGCATATATTGCGGTCTTACTACCGTTAGATTCCTGTGAATCACGACGTCGTATCCTCCTCACAAACGTGTCATTACTGCCTCGACACCAATTATAGTCTGTTAGACCTAACAAAAGGCTGCATTTAAACCCGTGCAAACTCCAAATACCATCCTTGGCCACTCGCAGTCTCTGTAAACGCACACGGTCGCGATTAGCAGCTCATCTTAGTCAAAAACAGAATCGAGGGCTAAGAAATAATGGTGCTCATACGGAATGTCTCCACCCGATTCTTTACATCTCCGACATGCGCAGCCGTAAACTCCCAATCGACTCTCTGCGCATTAAATAATGCCTGGCAATCTAACGCTACTCCCGCGAACGTCGCCTCACCACCTGCTCGATTAACCTGCTCATCATTAGCCCCCAATCTGCAGAAATTAGTGCATTGGAAGTCAACTCACAGTAACAGTTCCTAGCTGTGCAACTCTTCCAGGCCTGGTGTTCCATGAATCTGTGGCAGGGTTGACAATCCGATCCAGACTATAATAATTCATGATACCTGCGCCTTCAACGCTCCATGCAAAGCCAGATGGCGTTGTTGGAAGGGCAAAACGAAGATAGCAGGAATTGGCACCAGCGACGGTAGGGATATCAAAGCCAACGATTGTGGTGATTTCGGTCGCTGCATTTGGAGTCCAGGAAACTTCACCGGTATATTGAGAACCGAATACGCGGGAAGGCTCGGATTGTGAGAGGGGTACAAGGTAGTTGGGCGTGATGGTCCTGAGGACTGTTGCAGCTTGACGTTTCTCAGCGACGGGAGCTGAGAAAACAGAGGCAGTGAGCAGGAGGATAGTTGAGAGGGTGTACAACATGATGGCTAATTGCTTTTAGAGTAATTGGTGTTATAGTGAGTGTGAGGGGCTTGCTGATGAAGTGAGTGAGTGAACCAACAGAGCGTTTAACGTGGGCTTTATAACAATCTGCCCCCGGCAATTCTTTATGAAAATAAACCGGATTTTCTACTGATTGGGATACGAGAGCTGAAGTCTCGAGGCGGGCCAAGATCAATCGAAAAATTAGCTCCCGCATAGGACCAGTGTTCCTAGCCAACCTCAAAGTAGTAAGATAATTGTATAGATCCACGATGGCTTTCGGGATCACCTGTTTACACAATGTCAATATCGGACACATGCATGCAGTCCAGCTAGCACCAACCGTTATCATAAAATCAAGTTTATTGTCCAATGGAGCCCTAAAAGGGCTGTTCTCTTTTATTTCTGACTTGGCTGGACCAACGTTAGGTCTCAGCTTCAGGTGGGCCGGACGGGAGGATGTTACTTCTGTTCTGTACACCATGCCAGTTCACGACGTTAGAACCGTTATTTCGCATGGCCTAGGGTTTATTTAATCTTTCTTTGACATTCTCCTGAAGGTACTTACATGAAGGGTTGATTCCCTATTAATTTGAATTTTCTGGGGCTGGTGTTGTACGATGCAGCTATGCAGGTGATACCTATGATGAAATGTGGCAATTGATAATATGAGTACTTATCCATGACCATATTGCAGTCAAGACCGTAGCTGGCAGTGGAATATTATATTGGAGGTCTTCCTTTAGACCAGATCAAGTACCCTGTTACGGCATGGATGCTGTACCTTGGGTATCCCGGAACAAGTTTAAATCCCATCGATTGAACCTTGAGCAATTGAGACTATATGATCGAACAGGTCATATATTAGAGCTCCGAGGCCAAACAGCAGCTAGCTAGCTAGCTGGAGAATCATATACTCTAATCAACCACTCGAGCGGTTTGTAGCTCTGCAGAAATACGAGGCCACGGCAAGATGGTGGTGATATCGGCCGGGTATCGGCTCAGATGTGGTTCCGCTTCAATTGGTAAAAATAGCAAGAGGCAAGCCCAATATTATCTTCATCCGTACGTGGTGAGATACTGTTTGCGTCACTTTGGCCCATACCGTCGTCGGCTGCTTCACTCGAGAAGATCAATGATAGTATAGTATACTCTTTGAATAAAGCTATAGAGTATTCACCTGACCCCCCTTGCATCATATGCATACGTATTGTATTTACTAGCTACAGGTGCAAAAAGGTACAAAAAGCACCCCATGACATGAGAAGCATCCGCAAAGATGCTCCCAAAACCTACAAAACACACAATGTTGAGGTTGACATTCTATATTAAGCTCTTTCCCTTTCCCTTGCAATTAATTGTGCTTTTAGATCGAGCTTACTTGATACACAGTGCAGATCTACACAAAACCGGGAGAAGATGGATGTGCATTAATTAACAACATAAACGGCCGGAGCCCTCGGCTGGACTAGGAAGGTGTCGCCCGGGAGTCGCGGCATGTGGAGGGATAATTAGTAGAGTGTATAGTAAGGTGGTGGGCGGTGGGTATATATATTCCGGGTGTCTTCGCTCCTCTACTTTTGGGTAGGTATTGTGCTCTATATCTACTTGTGCTGCTTGTGTGCGAGTACTGCGAGGTGGGATAACTATCATTGACATGTCTGACTCAGCACTGGCGGGACTTGCATGAGCTCGGTGATGGTGATGTACCCGGGTAGCTGGTTTGGCAGCTTGGCGAGACAGCTTTGGGCAAGCTAGGGGGGTTTCACTTGAGCTTGTGTGTGAAGAGCGACACTTTGGGGATTGGTATTGGAGCACCTAGGGGAGGATGGGCATGAGGGGGGGGGGGGGTATCATGGAGCTTTGGCCCGTGTAGGGGGGAGGCCGGCATGGTGCTCCTCGGGAGCGCTGTCGTGTCTTTGTTTGCCCCACTTCGAGCTGGTGGGTGCTACTAGTACTAGCTCGTGCTCGTACTCAGGAGTGAACATCAACAAACACCACTGCAGTTAACATAGATTGTAGATACACCACTCCTCTCGTAAATCTTCTTCTCCAGCAAGTACAGTATATCTCCATATCACCACTACCTCGGTGAATTATGTAACCTCTCCAGAGCTGTTGTCCCGCAACCTCCCATCATGTAAGCTCAGAATATTCTTGGCATACATACAGACAGATCCCAGCTTGGCGGCAGCGGGGGCAACGCCCGTCATTTGTCGCCAAAGATAGATTCCCGCATGGTTGTGGTGAGTGGTGGTGGTGAGTGGAGTGCTCAACTGTGAGCTCTTCCAACTTCTGCATTCTGTCTGCACCTGGTTTGTTTTTTTTTTTCCTTCACACCAAAAAGAAAAAGAAGGAGAAGGGGGAAGGGAAGGGAAGGGGGAAGGGCAACAAATAATTATATGTCATCCCAGCCCACACTCCTACTCTCTCACTCTCACACACTCTCACACACTCACTCACTCATACTATCCCTCCCCCACCCCTCCCCCATTTCTACCGAACCTTGATCCCGAGGCCGAGAAGCCCCCTTTCTTTATTTGTAACCCGCGAGACCTGACTGGCGCCGTATATTGCCGTTAACTTACCTGCCTGTTCAATTGTTACCCTTCGCCCGAACCTGGACCTGGACCTGGACCTGACTGTAGTATTCCCAATCGATCAACCAACCTCCTACTAGCCTCCATTCCTCTCTACCTCACTACCTTACTACATACCTACTACTTACTGCCTAACCTACATACTCACTGCTGCCTACCTTACCTACCCATCTACATACTACATAACATAACCCTGCCCATCCATCCATCCATCCATCCCAGCACACCGATGTTTGGCTCGCCGACCGAGAGCCGCCGCGGGGATGGCTTCGAGGGTAAAGCCCGGGGCGTGCTGCGGGCGGTCGAGAGGGCGCGCCTGCAGTTCCTCCAGAAGACGAAACCTCCGAGGTATGTACACTAGCTGTAACTTTTGTGTCTCGTTGTTTTTTTCTGCCTCTGCCTGTGTCTCTGTGTCTCTCTGTGTCTCTGTGTCTCTCTGTGTCTGTGTGCTGTGCGTGTGTGGTGTGTGATATGAGGGAGGGGGATCTGCGCCAGCAGGCTAGCTGGAGAGATAAGAATTCGAAAGCTGCCCAATGGATCTGATCTCTGTTCTGTCTTGTTGGTGAACAAAAGGGATACCCCACATACATACCTACCTGGGTGGAGATCCCCCCCCCCCCCTCATGATCATCCCCCACTTCATTTCCCCGGATATATAGATAGATACCCGCCCCCACTCCAGACAGACAGACCTGTATACACACACACATATGTACATCCCGAACCACAGAACCCTACCTACCCTACCCTACCATTTCATATGTCTCACGTCACACCCCCTCCAGCAGCTCCCATCATCACCACCACCACCGCCCCAGCCAAAGCCAAAACCGCATAAACTTACACCACAGCAGCGCCAACAGCAATGGCCCCATGAGCCCCGGCGGCACTCCCAGCGCCTCCCTCACGCACACGTACTTCGACCTGCTCCCCACCGAGCTCCTCATCGCAATCATCAGCCGCACAACCTGGCGCGACGTAATAACGCTCCGCCGCGTCTCGCGCGCCTTCCGCGACCTCGTCGACACGCACGAGCACATCATCGTCACGCAGTGGCTGCTCCCCGGGTCCTACCTCACGCTGCTCTCGCAGCTCTTCTATCCGCCGCGGTCGCGCACGGGCGACGGCACCCGGCGCGCCACGGTCCAGTACTTTTACGGCCTCGAGAGGCGCCATGTCACGTGCTCGCAGCTGGCGTACTATCTGTGTGACAAGGCGCTGACGCCGATGTTTTGTGGCGGGAGGGGCGGGGGGTCGGGGGAGTTCTCGTTGGATCGGAGGGCGAGGAGGGAGGCGGAGGGGAAGAAGGAGTTGGCGATTAGGGCGGTGCAGAGGAGGTTGACGAAGCAGTTGTGAGTGGCAATGATTTGTTTTGACTCTCGCTTTTTTCTTTGGGGTAGCTGTTGACTGATGTGTTTGTGGTGATAGGTACTATGTAAGCCCGCCATATAGCACCCCCACCCTCCTACCTCCTACCCCCGGGTAGTAAGTACCCCCCCAATTGCACAAGCTAACCAACCCCCCCATCTAGGTCCTCCACTTCCTAACCTACTCCCGCCTCCGCCTAGAAGCCTCCCAAGCCGTCACCGCCGCCGAAAACAGCGACGACTACCACACGCCGCCCTCCCCGCTGGACCTAACAAACACCTACACAACCATCCAATCCAGCATCATCGGCACCTTCGACAACAGCACGCTCATCAGCACGCACCACGCCATGCACTTCCTCGTCAACCTGCTCCGCCTCTCTCTCTCCCCCGAGCCGCCGCACAACCAGAACGACGAGCAGGTCGCCCTGATCCTGCGGTGCACCATGCCGCTGCAGCGCTGCGTCGAGTTCTTTGCCGCCGACGTGCCGAGCGCGAGCGGAAGGCTGCGGAAGCAGTTTATGAGCGACATGCAGGACGAGCGTGTCGAGATGGAGGCGAAGCTTGTTGGCCGTGCGCTGGGGGGAAGTGGTGGTGGGAGGAGGGGCAGTGCGTATGGGAGGAGGGTGTGGGCGCCGAGGGTGGGCGAGGTGTGGTTTGATGCGGCGAAGAAGGCGCTGGGCGAGAGGGGGCTGAGGGAGCATGGGCCGGATGGGGTGTATTTTTTCCCGGATTGTAGTCAGGAGTTGTTGGTGGGGTGTCCGGATTGTCAGTTGAGGCCGACGCCGCGGTGATGAGCTCTGGTCGGGGGTAGGTAGTGTTTGTGGGCCAAGGAGGAGGAAGGGAGTGTGGGATACGTATACCATGGATTGCATTTCGGGATGGGGAGGGTTGGGATGGGATGGGATGGAGGTGTTTGTAGCGTAGATCGTTGGTAGTGCCAATGGTAGTGTGTAGATTTTAACGAATTGATGACGGTCTCGTTCGGCTCTATCTCTCTTCTGTGATGTTAATAGCCAAGTGTCAATGATCATTCGGGCCCTGTGACGTTAGCAACCAACCCAACTCAACCTAAAATATTATCAGGGGTCAATGATCTAACACCCATGAGGGGGGGGGGGAGCTGAACTTTATATCTACCCCTAGACTAGAACCCTGCCCCCCCGAAACTATATTTTAGCTTTTGTAAGTTTAAGCGTTGACGTTAGTTATGCGGCGAGTCACGTGCGGGCGGGCCCACCCACGCGTCATGCATTATCACTCACATTCCATCTCGTCTCACATCATCATTTGTGCGCCAACGCACGCAATCACGGTTGTTCCTGGTCGATATGGATACATGTATATATGTCCCCGCACAAGCTGGGCACGCACATGGGCGGGTAAAGGATTGGAATCTACCTCTACACCTCCTCGTTCCCTGGTCTTTATCGCCTCTTCGATTCGAACTGCTGAGCACTCAACGCTACAAGAAACTCAATCACCCAATTGCAACAGACAGCTCGACTCCTCCAGCCAGTGGTAAGTAAATATAACACAATAAAGATAATAATGAAAAAAAAAAGAAGGAAAAAACACGAGGATAAGAAGAGGATAAGAAGAAAAAATATAATAAATAAGTAATACAGTAAACCCTACATCCCCCTCCATTAACGTCACATAAACACAGAGAAATACAAAAAAGAAAAAAGAAAGAAAAAAACGCCTATAACAATAAAACTACCAAATCCAAACAAACCCATCCTCCCCACAACCCCCCAGCCAGGTCCTTCCTACAGCTCACTCATATCTTACCTACCCCCCCCCCCCCCCGGGCCCCCGCCCCCAACCCTACATCTTACACCGACAATCACACTCCGGCACCGGACACAACACATGCCTCGCAAACCACTCCCTCGCATGCCCCGAATGCATACCATGATTACACGACAAGCAAAAATTAAACCAGCGATCAAACTCGCCTCCGGGATCACTACTCTTGCCGTCCTCCGCGCCCCGCACCACCCCGCCCTCGGCGCTCTTCTTGTAGTACTTGGTGCCGAGGTTCAGCAGACACACTGCGCACCGCGGAAGGCTCTTCTTGCACTGCGGACACACCGTCGCTTTGGTTGCTGCGTTGACGCCTGCGAGTGAGGTTGGCGCTTGGGTGATTTCGCGCGGGTTCATGTGCGGCTTGGAGGTGCCGGCGGGTTTGGCGGTGGGGGTGGGCGCGCCGTAGGATATGTTCTGTGGGGCAAGGGGTATGTTAGTGGTGGGGACAAGGGGGGACAAGGGAAGGGGGGAGGGGGAAGTACCCGGTCGCAGTATGTACACCTCACATAGACCTGCCTCTGCACCTCCGGCACCGTCATAACGCCCGCCCGGTTCCGCGAGTGCTTCCCGCGCGCCACGTCGAATTTCGCGCGTGCATGGAAGAGGCGCCAGCTATTGAGCAGCTGCCGATAACTACACACACACACACTGTCAATGATCACCGCACACACACACACCCCGCCAATAACCACCTCCTCCAGAAAGCAGACAGCACACATACCTCTCAACCCAATACCCCACCCTCTCATCCTCATCATACCTCGGCACCGCCAGCCCCGCCACCAGACTCGCCGTCTGCACATCCCCCTTGCGATTAACATACACCTGCAACAGCTCTCCGATCTTCCCCCCCACGCCCGTCAGCACAACACCATCCACATCCCCATCCCCCACCACCCTCTCCGCCAACCCGCCCAAATACACCGTCAGCTCCGCATCCTCCAACCACCTTAACGCAATCCCCAGCCGCTCACGGATCGGCAGCCCCACATCGTCCAACACATCCCGCCACTCGCCATTCGCCACATACGCAAACACAGCGCGCAAGTAAGGCTCATCCAGCTCCACGCTCATCGCGCGACACAGCTCCTTCCAGATCCCCGCGTTCTTCACGCTCTCCGCCGTCGCTGTCGCTGTCGCCCCCGCCGCCGACGACGTGGCATGCGAATAGTACCCCGCCACCGCGGTCGACATGATCTTCATCTGCTGCCCCCCGCGGCCCAGCGTCGCAATGCATCTCTCCGTCTCGCCGTGGAAAAGCGCCCACCCGGCCGCCTTTGCAAACTCACCCGCTGCCTCCAGGCGCGAAAGCTGTGCCTCTAGCTCCGACGGCGCAAAGTCCCACCCCGAAATGGCCAGCGCCAACCGGCGCTGCTCGGGGAATTTTGTGCGCCCCGTAAACGGCGAGCGCTTGGCACGCCGGTTGATCTCTGCGATGGCGGCCGTCCAGTCGGCCTGTGTGGGTGTGCGCGGCGGGGAGGACAGGTTCCGCGTGGCCAGGTTCGTGATCGCCGACGTCCCCAGCCCCGTGCCGTTGTTCCAGATGCCGAGCACGCCCATGTAGCTCAGGTCGAGGATGCCACCGACCATGCCGCCGCCGGCAGCGGCCTCCGTGGCGCCCTGCAGCCACTGCCACATCTCTTGCAGCTCGGGCTCCTCGGGGACGAGTGTGATGTTCTTTGCGCAGTCCATCTCGTAGCCCGCCTCGACCCGCCGCCGCATGATCACGCAGATGTCGTTCTTCAGCATCTCGGCCGCGTCGTAGAGGAAGTCCTCGGGCCGCGCGATCGAGTTGGACCGCCCCAGGCGCCGCCCCTCATGCATGCCCAGGCGCATGCCCGCGCCCGGCGGCGACCCCACCGGCGAGTCGACACTCGCCTCTTCGGCGTCTGTCTCCGCCGGCAGGCTCGGCGCCGTGCTCGGGCTGGGCAGCACCTTCAGGTCCTTCCCATGCGTGATCAGCAGGCCGTTGCGCGACCCGAAAGCCAGACTCGTCCCACTCCCAGAACACGACATCACCACGGGGGTGCCGTCGTTGCGCAGGCAGATGGTGCGGATGTCCTCGGACCCGCAGTCGCTCATCCAGTCGAACGACACAATGCGGCGGTCGTTCTTCGCCGTCCGTACGGGCGTCGTCTGGATGTCCTTGATGCGCGTGACGAACAGCGTCTCCCCGGGCTCAACCCTGAGGTTCGGCGTCCGCGCGCCCGAGTTCGTCCCACCACCGCCATTCATACGCGCCCCATCCAGCAGACTCGCCGCGCTGTCCCTCCACCCCTTGCGCCCGCTCGTCTGCACCCCCGCAATGACACCGGGCCCAAAGAGCCCCTGCCCCAGCGGCGGGTCGCCGTCGGCGATCTTGCCCGTGTCGTATATCCTCAGGCCGCCGCTGGTATTCAGCACCGCGAAGGTCCCTGGCTTGGTGTTGCTGTAGCGCAGCGATGCGATGGGGCTGCCCTGCCGCCCGTACTCCTCGGCGCGGTTGAAGAGGAGGGCAGGGCGCGGCTCGTACGCGGGGCCGCCGTAGCTGATGTGTCGCCGGTCCCACACGGCGATGACGCCGTCGTCGCTGTGAGAGGCGAAGTAGTTTGAGTCGAGGTCGAGGCTGAGGCCGTGGGCGCAGCGGTGCGGAACTGCAAAGACTGTTGTCACGGGGGATTCTACTCATCAACTGTCAGCGGTGGGAGGCGCTCCGGGGAGGGGGAGGGGGGAGGGGGCACTTCTGATGTCATAGCAGCGGATCCAGCGGTAGCTGACGCCGCAGATGAGGACATCTGGGTCCTTGCGCAGGAAGCGGACGCTGGGGATTGCCTCGCTGCTGGCGAGCTGCCAGGAGGGGCGCGCGATTCCGCCCTGGTTGGCGGAGAGGTGCGAGGCGGCAATGTCCCAGATGTTGAGGCAGAAGTCGTTGCGGACCTTGTCGAGCGCGGTGGCGAGCAGCGCGCCGCTGCTGTTGAAGGAAACGCTGTTGCAGGAGCGCTGGTGCTTGACGCGGAGGGGGATGGAGGCGCGGGTGCTGAGGCGGTAGAGGAGCGTTTCGCCGGAAGATTGGCCGACGGAGACGAGGTCTGCAAGGGTCAGAGTTTGTAGATTGGGAGGAGGAGAGATGGAGGATAGATAGGGTGTGTGTAGGTAGGGAGGTAGATAGATGTAGATGTAGATGTAGATATATACCTTCCTGCGTGGGCGACCAGTCGAAACACTATATAATACATTGCGAACACACAAATTAGATCCAAGACATTCCTCAATTGCACCCCACAGTAATAGCAGTATGTAGTAGTAGTAATAGTAGCAGTACGTACACGAATATACGGCACCTTTGAGTGCTTCGACACCAGCCTGCACTGCGGCGCCGTCCCCTTATTGCCCTTCTATAGATGTATATAAAACCCCGCAGTCAGCGCGTACTCTCCCACCCAACAACAACAACAACAACTACTGCAGAACAATATAGATTAGGCCAGGAGGGCAAACCTCGTGGGCGAGATCATACAGGCACAGCTCCTGCTGCGTGGAGTTGATCTTTAGGAAGCGCTGGTTGTCGGGCGTCGAGTGCGGCGACCAGCGGATGCTGACGGAGCTGTTCATTGTTGCGGGGTGGTATATGTTTATTGTGCTACCGTGCTGCTGGGTGTGGGTGGGTGGGTATGGGTGTATATTAGGTGTGTATTAATGGTTTAGCTGTGAAGTTCAATTCACCATGGCCATTGGGACTGGTTGGATGGATGGTTGGGTGGATGGATGTGTGGAGTGTGGAGTGGAGTGAGATGAGATGAGTGCGAGATGCAGCACAACGAGAGGGAAGAAGTGAAGTGGAGTGGAGTGTGGGGAGGGATTGCGGGGTGAGCAAAGAGGGGAATGTGAGTGGCCAGATGTATGTATGTATGTATGCAGGTATGTAAGGTACTGTGTGCAGAGCAGAAGATGAGTGGGTGTGTGTGTGAGGATGTGTGAGGTGAGCGGGTGAGAGCGTGTGAAGCAGCAGCCCGCAGCAGTGAGTGAGTGGAAGCAATCGAGAGAGAGTGAGAGTGCACTGAGTGGGCGAGAGCACCGAGTGGATATTATTAACAACGCCCTCCGTCGTCGTCGTTGTTGGCTGGCACGCACACGACCCGCCCGCAGCTGCAATGTTTATCAATCAATTGATGATTGACGTTGTTGCCGCCAAGCCCCCGCTGATAAGGGCCGCCCACACACCCTGCAGCCCTAACCCACCCCACCTCGAAAATTATCTCTCTAGAGTACTCTCTCTCTCCCAAAAAACCAAACCCACCACCAACCCCCTCCCCCCCCAAAAAAAAACTAACTACAACCCCAACTACATACAACCCACAACCCACAACCCAAATGGCAGACACAACCCACCCCTCCCGCCGCCCCCACAAGCGCCGCAAGCCCGGCGCCCCCCACACCACCAAGCTGACGACCCCCACCACCGCCGCCACCTCCATCCACACGCTCAAAAAGAAGATCCGCGACCTGACACGCTTCCTCGCCAAGAAGACGACGCTCCCCGCCGACGTGCGCCTCGACAGCGAGCGCGCGCTCGACGCCTTCACGCACGAGCTGGCCGCGGCGAAGGTGGCTGCGCGCGAGGGGAAGATGGTCGAGAAGTACCGGATGGTGCGCTTTTTCGGTATGTATTTCTTCTCCCGCCTGTGGCTGTTGCGGTGTTGTGGGGTGGTGGGTACGGGGGCTAATGTGGAGATGTGTGACAGAGCGTAAAAAGGCCTCAAGGAAGCTGGCGCGGCTGGTGAGGCGCCGGCGGGACTCGAGTGAGAGCGATGAGGCGCTGGAGAAGGCGATACATGAGGCGGAGGTGGAGGTCAACTATACGGTGTTTTATCCGCGGGGGGAGAAGTATATTTCGCTGTTTCGGGACGCGACGGGAGACCCGAAGGTTGTGGAGAAGAGGGAGGTGATTAAGAGGGGGATTGAGAGGCAGATGGAGATGGGGACGCTGGGGAGTCGGGAGGAGGCGGAGGAGGAGGAGATGGAGGGTGTGAAGAAGGAGAAGGTCGGGGGGAAGAGGAAGAGGGAGGCGGTGGATGAGGAGGAGAAGGAGGAGGAGGTGGTGGAGGAGGATGACTTTTTTGAGTTTAGTTAGATGGTGGGGGGATATTGAAGTAATTTTCGGTGTTTGCTGTGCTTTTTCTTGCTCTTTATACATTTTTTTCCCCTTCTCTTTTCTTTATTTCTGTTTTTTGCTGCTACTATCGATAAAAGTTCGGGCTGGGCTTTCTTATGTATACGATATCAAATACGTTTACTTTTTTAGGGTGTATTTATGTAAATACCTAATCATGCAATGGTTCCAAAAGCGAAAACTATTCTTCAATCGCTTCTAAATCATACCATCTAGATCTCCAGTAACCCTAACACTTCAACCATTAGTAGGAATACTGGATTAGACCAATGGTTTAATTGTTACGGATGAACACTCATGATGCGAAAACCGATTGATTGAGCAGAGTGGCTAAGTTGGGTACGAGTGATTGAGTATGAATGTAGTGGTTGAGCGTGTGTGATCGAGTGATTTGGTGTGAGTGTGATTCCACGTGATAGTTACTATGATGTATCAACATGACTTTACAATCCGCAAAGAGTGGGGGGTCTATATTCGCTAAGCAATCCTATATTATGATAAATTGCATCTTCCTTGATAACACCTGTTCACTTCTCAACTCATAATTTCTTTTGTATATATCACGAGGACACTGTAGGTGGAGAGGCCTTCTAGAAACGCTTATATTAGGAATAGACTGCTTCCCTAGCCACTCGATCGGACACCCCCTTCACTCGGACAGTCAATGATGATCGGTGGGGAAGAAGAGGTACAGAAGCCACTTAAAACGTTGATATGCTCTCTTCTATCTCAACTGTCCGAGTGAGGGGGGTGTCCGGGTGGCCAGGGAAGCCGTCTATATCTGAGGTTTGAATTTGGCACATAACGCGATAGCTATCCGAGGATGACTGGATTTGGCTCGATTGACCAGATAGAATGCCGGATAGTACATGCAAAAACCCCCACTCGGGCGGTATCTATTCAACTCTACTGAGCTTTGGTGCATTAGTGTCGAAACCCGCTACTATGACAGAAATCCAACCCATTGTAGTTGAAAGTAACAGGTTTTCTATACATTTGCTAGGTATTCAGGATAAACGATCATTGACCCCTACTATGAGTTTTGCTTCGAGTGATAGAATGCTGTGCCCACGCGAAAATATCGAATTGGTCAATATCACCGCGCACAGAGCGGGCCAGCTGATAGAAAAAAACCAAAAGCACAATGCTCCTCGAGCTCCTACATATATATCGCTCCAATGATATCAAACCAGTCCACAAAAACCCTCATACGTTGCAACAACAACTCGTGAAACATCCACGTGCACTGTGCTCGCACAAAACAAACAGCTAGCACCGAATGGGAGGGAGGGAGAGACCTTGCTCACATAAGCAATTGCCACCAGGGCCAATCCATCGATCCATCCAGCCATCCATCATCAACCATCAATCCTCTCTCCCTTCTCCGCTCTCGCGAACGCGTTTTTTCGACCCCCCCCCCCAGCCTCGGTTCCTACACACGAAGGCCATCTCCCCTCAACACCCAAATAACACACCCCCCCCCCCCCCTTTCTTACCTCTTTAGCAGCTATGTCTTATCGCGGAGGCGGTGGTGGTATCACCGGAACTAACAACATCCCCCTTGGGAACCGCCGTCGCTTTGGCGGTGACGGTGGCAGCGAGTCTCCCGCCCCAGCTTCAGCCCAGCAGGAACCGCGGGAGCGGGAGCGCGAGAGAGAGCGAGAGTACTCCCCCCGGGACCCTGGGACCGGATTGGTAGATCTCAAACGTGGGAGGTCGCCTGTTCGAGGTTGGTCAATTTTTTTTTTTTTTGGTTGTGTCCTTTTTTTTGTGAAATATGTTGTAGATATTAACTTTGATACGTATAACCAGCCGACCCTGACGGCCCAAAGAAGCGCAAGAAGAAGAACAGATGGGGCGACCAAACGGATAACAAGGCGGCGGGATTGATGGGATTGCCCACCGCCATCTTTGCTACTATGACTAATGAGCAGCTCGAGGCTTATGCGTTGCACTTGCGTATTGAGGAAATCTCACAGAAGCTTCGGATTAACGATGTTGTCCCCGCAGATGGTGATCGGTATGAAACTTTTTATCCCCCCCCCCCGCTCGCGACTTTTTATTTGTGCGGGCGTGTGGTGTGTGTGTGTGCTTCGGGTTACTGATCCGGCGTAGGTCGCCTTCACCGCCGCCGCAGTACGACAACTTTGGTCGTCGTGTCAACACAAGGGAATACCGGTACCGCAAACGGTTGGAGGACGAGCGTCACAAGTTGGTCGACAAGGCCATGAAAGCCATCCCAAACTATCACCCACCAAGTGACTACAGAAGACCCACAAAGACTCAAGAGAAGATTTATGTGCCGGTTAATGATTATCCAGAAATTAACTTTAGTATACTAACTCCCCTCCTAACAATTTTGCTATATTACTATCAACCCAATTTTTATAAAAAAGAAAAAAAGAAAAAGAATGAACCCGCCCCGGTGGTGTCTTTAACCCTAAAGTTCCCATCGAACGGCTTCATTGCTTTGCCTTACAACTATCACACAGCCTTCACACACATATAACACTTTTTTTTACAGGGAATCAAATAGCTAACCTCTAGGAACTTTTCCTTGTGATACTAATAGTTGGTCTCCTAATTGGGCCTCGTGGCAACACCCTGAAGAAAATGGAAACTGAATCCGGCGCCAAAATCGCCATCCGTGGGAAGGGATCCGTCAAGGAAGGAAAGGGCCGCTCCGACGCTGCTCACACCTCTAACCAAGAAGAAGATCTTCATTGTTTGATTATGGCCGATACTGAAGACAAGGTTAACAAAGCCAAGAAGTTGATTAATACTATTATTGAAACGGTATGTGTGAACTCCTGGTAGCGTGTGTGTTTCTTAATCGGATTTGGCGAACTGACTTTGCTGTTAGGCTGCATCGATTCCTGAGGGGCAAAATGAGCTCAAGCGTAACCAGCTTAGAGAGCTTGCAGCACTCAACGGAACTTTGCGAGACGATGAGAACCAAGCCTGTCAGAACTGTAAGTCGGCCCGTGACACATGATCTGGCCTCCCCAACAAGTCAAGACTAACAAATCTATGCAGGTGGTCAAATCGGTCATCGTAAATACGACTGCCCCGAACAAAGGAATTTCACTGCAAATATCATCTGTAGAGTTTGTGGGAATGCTGGGCATATGGCCAGGGATTGTCCCGACCGCCAGAGAGGCGCGAATTGGCGCAATGATGACCGTAGACCCGGTGCCCCAGGCCAAGGAGGAAGGCCTGGAGCTGCAGGCTTGGGACAGGGAGATGCTGTTGACAGAGAGTACGAGGTGAGTAGTATTCTTTCCATTTTATGCCACGCCTGATATTAACATCATATAGCAACTTATGCAAGAACTCTCGGGTGGAGCACCTGCTGCAATCGGAGGTTCCGCTCAACAAGGCCGCATCGAAGCTGGTCCAACCGGCTCCGATGGTGGCTACGGTGGCCGCGATAGTTACAGCGGTCAAGGAGGATATGGAGGTCAAAGCCAGCCGGAAGAGCTGGGTCCAGATGGCCGCGCTCTCAAGCCTTGGCAACGTGGTCCTACTGGTGGTCCTGCACCATGGCAGATGGGCCGTGGAGGTGGTGGCGGCGGTGGCGGTCGTGGTGGACATGGTGGTCCCGAAGGACACGCGCCTCCGCCCAACGCACCTTCAGGGCCCAGCAGCCTTCCGCCTTGGCAACAAGGCGGTCATGGACCTCCAACTGGACCCTCTGGTGGGGCTGCACCATGGGCTGCACCTCACCATGGCGGCATCCCCCCTCCTCCTTCGACCTCTGCAGCTCCTCCATGGGCTTCTGGTGCCCCCGGTGCAGCTCCTGGGATGAGCTATGGATCTGGGGCATATGGTGCTCCTGTAAGTTTTGCCCGTTCTATCACTCGGAGATGCTTAATACTGACTTGATGACTAGCCTGGTGCATACGGGGCTCCCCCACCTCCCCCACCCTCCTCTTATGTCTCGATCCCACCACCGCCTCCTGGCAACCCGCCGCCCCCACCCCCATCTTCTCTCGCACCACCACCTCCCCCACCTCCCCCTCCGCCGCCACCACCTCCATCAAACGACCAGCCTCCCCCACCGCCGCCCCCGCCTCACTACCGTTAAAGCTTATGGTTAATAGCGATGAAAACGAAAAACTTGATATGGCACATGTTCTGCCCATCGTGTGCTGGAAATTTTAGTTTTCCTATAACTCATCACATTTTTTTGCAAAAAAAAAGACTAATCATTTTTCCATTTTGTCATGTGTTTTCGTTTTCGGCTGTTGTGTTTTTTTTTTTTCAGGTTATAATTTTTGGCACCTAAAGTGGGAGAAAATGGAGTGACAAAAAATGGTAGTGTGCGTGCGGTGCTGCAGGAGGCTGGAACTTGGATGTGGATGTGGTTGTGGAGGAAGGGGATTTAAAAAATGGATACGAATTGACAATCACTTTTTGCGTCTTTTTGCTTTGCTTTGCTTTGCATGTTGATTTTGAAATCTTCTTAGGGTTTGTCGTGTGTGTTGTGTTGTGTGCGTGTGGCGGGCATGGGGGTTTCGTTGATGGCTAGTAGTATGTGGATGGCGTGAAAGTGCTAGTGATTTAAATGAATTGATTATCGATTTTTTTTTCTTGCAATTGCTGTGTTGTGCTGTTCTGTGTGATGTGCTTTGCTGTGTTGTGGGTGTTGATGTTCTAATTGTAGGGGTGCCTCGGCCTTGGCTGACTTGACTGAATTCATGAAGTTAGATATAATCATGAGATATCACTCGTTGGGAGACGCTAGTGTGGTGATGTCAGGGGCTTGGGACAACCCCCGCGCGGTTTTTAACTGTATATCACTGTCTTCAAACATAGATTTATATGGAATGGATATAGATACACGAAAACATACTGTTTAGTTTGGGTACTGTAGGTTTAGAGGACTGAGGTAGCTGTAAGTAGAGCTACTAAATTGTACTGACATGATCGATAAGCACGTACGTACGTGCGCACAGGATTTGGTTAACCAACTTTCAGCACCACTATTGCCCAATTTGTGGTTATACCGTGACTTATTGTCAGTATTCAGATACTTTTTATTCTTATATAAAGTCTTGTGAACCTTTGTAATAAGCTTAAGCCCATGGCATTACAGCTGTTTTCATAATACTAGGCCGGCCAGCCACGCGAAGAAAATAACGCATTGATTAACGATTCTTGCAAAGTTAAGTAAAGTCACGCCGTTGGGGAACTCGGGGTGTATCCCCTTGAGGTATCTTAAGTTAAAGTCTCGGTAGGATTACCTGATGAAGCTATGGAAAATACCTAGTGCCCATGTTTTTAGAAAATTCACACTATGTGTTTTGTCACTCTGATGGCCTGCAGCTGGGCCTACCCTCCTATTGTTGTAGATAGCTGTAATATAATGGTCTAAGAAATTTGACTCTCTTCGTCTCATATGAAATAATGTTCGTTCGCACAATACCCGGACCTGGGATATTGAGAAGAAAACGTATTTGAATAACCGGCCAAGACGATTATACCAAAGCGGGGTGATAGCTTTTGGTTCATTCCACCCAACATAGGGTTAGGTATATATACCTACTACAGGAGTCTTGGCGGGTTAAATCAAAGGACGAGGCTAATCTATCTCTAGAGTACTCAAAGACGCTATGTTCTTTTGGTTAAACTCAAACGTCGCGCGGATTAGCCTGATTGGTCATCTACTTAATAGGAACCCTAACCCTGTATCTACTAACCCTACGAACTATCGAAAGCTCCGACAGCACATAGATGTCTCAAGAACAAACCTTCCGGATTTTTATGTCTCAGTCTTTTTTTTTCCCCCGAGTTTTGTCTGGCCTTGAGACATACATCAGCCTCAGGCCGTCCGACGGTCTCTCGTCTTGCCGCTTGTGCCCATCACTAACCGGAGCACAAAAAACAGTAAATCAAGTTTAGGATCCCAAAAAACGAGACAACGGGACCCAGTTATCTATCTCCAGTACATATGTTCCAGTATGCGCAGAGCTCCTCCAATATGGTTTACATATGGCCGGGTATATTCCCTTCATGAAATATCACTCGAGCACGAGGTTTCACCCGTGGGCCAATCAGCTCGCTCGAGCCGCTTTTTTTTTTTTTTAAGGCGAACGTGGAGGAGTTGCTGCGCAGATTTGTCTTGATTGTTATATTAGGCGCGATCTCTAGGGTCCCTTGAGGTTGTTTCTTTTTTGCCCCGCGGGGTGGCGAGATTTATTTACCACTAGATGCTATGGCTATCCATGAGCTATTATATAAGGGCGTGGGATATTTGGAGTTCCTGTCTATGACGCCCCCCAATGCCGTTAAACGCTTTGGGGGGGTATGCCGCCTGGGGTTACGTATTGTCTAGAGTGTGTGTTATGGTTTTTTTGTCTTCTTACTGCTGCTTAAGTAATGGAATTGCACAAGAAAAAGTCTTATATATATCATGCACTCAGATTTCATTAGAATATGGGCACATAATAGGCTTTGTTATATACTCCTACACTGCATCCACTTCGATAATATATATGCTGTTGATCGAGTGATGGCGGGAATCTCAAAAACTAGGAAAAAACCTAAAGGTCCTAACCTCAAAAGCTGTATATATCTGCCATTGGCGGACGAGTAAATGAATAAACGGCCGGAAAATAGTTCACGCGGCGCCACTAAACGTCCTGTAGCTACAATCATTCAGAGTAAAAGATTGCCGACCCTCTTTCCGATCTGATATATATCCTATACCTCTATCGAAGCTTCTGTAGCAATCGCCCGAACCCCGTTACTTGCAGGGACAGAGATCTACACAAGGCAATGGCCAAGAGATCATATGCACCGAGGTAGCCCTAGGTACTATATGTAACGAATATGATACATGTAGTTTCAACAATATTCCCCGAGAAGCCTTACCGCTCGGCAGTTGAGATTTAAGGGTAGAAATATCGCAGACGTGGTAGTCAATCGTGAAGGCCAAGCAAGCAAGGTGAGACTATTTGAATGCGATTCTATGTACCTAAGACTACTGTGGCTGTTTTTTGTTCGATATTGATTCACTTGGATAAGCTGTCAATGATCTGTGAGCCCAGGTTTCACATGCCAAGAGGTCCCTAGGGCTCTGATAACCTGGCCTTCGAGACCGCGAGTAATCTCGCTATGTGGGAGCTCCAGGGGCTCAAGCGTGACAACGGCAGTAACAGAATCTTGTGAAAAAATTAATCAAGCTTTTTTGAACTCGGCGCGAAAATCTACCTAATTTGAATGGTGTTTTTACAGCTCCCCAGTTTTCGTAGGGTAGCAAGTCTAAGCCCCCCCCCCTCTCTTTTCTTTTGCGGGTTCGTGGGGGTTATGAACTTTCTGACGGTTAACCCCACCTCATGTCTTAAACCCCAAGATTCCTGTTTTAGAATTGGGAGTTTGTTCCGTCCACTATATTATCCCGCGATCGGTTTCTGATTTGTTTGTTAAACGATCGTAGATGTCATGAAACAACTCAGTGTTTCTTGTAAATCATAAACACACACCTGCCCTTGGGCTATGTTTCTTATCTGTGGCACGAAAAGAGGTGCCTGATAACGCATGTCTCGGCGCGACATACACATTTGTTTTGAGACCAATGTACGCCAACCGACAAGCTGAGTAGGAAACAATCAAATAAGCATTGCTGGCCGAAAACGTTCTGCAAGGGCTTTCTCGAAGTGGTGGGTGCTTTGGACCCGCCATCGCTGATCCAGCAGGTAGCTGACGATGTGTAGGGCTGTTGTGGTTTGGTTTACAATGCATCACTCGGCGCGTGTGGGCGGCTTTTTTTTTATGGTACTCCGATATTTCGCTCGGACGCTGTAAACCTCTTCCCTTCCTGCATTGCAACTCCTCACAGTTTATGCCATCTCAAAAGCAGTCCGGTTCATAAGTACGCGCATTCGTCATCCAGTTACTGGCAGTTCGCCGTTGGGGTTATTATTGTCGTGTGTCCTTTGCAGAGAATGTTCTGTGGCTTTCTTGGACTCTCTGGGCACTTTAGTAGCTAGATCACGCCTAAGGAGCTTGATCGGTAAATTCTCTTTTGTTAGGTACTCGATCTTGTGTTTTTATTCATACTTCTCCGAGTTACCATCAGCGATCTTCAATGTACGTACTCTAGAGTACTGAAGTATGTAATTAATTTGAGCTTTCAAGCTTTCTCGGGACAACTACAGGCTCTCACATGAAAGATCGCCAAAATCTTCAAAGTGAGAAACTCACTCATGCTTTTTCTCAGGGTCCCGGGAGCAGGGAATAGTGGCGTACCCAAAACCCGTTTAGAGATATCTGCTTTAACGAAACGGAAAAAAGTACTTCCCCTCATCATCACCCCGCTCGTTCCCAGGAGTGAACTGAGCATTTCGGCGGAAGATCTAGCTAGCCATGTAACATGTATCTAGAATGAAACCACTGCCGCGTGAGTATATCCGTGCAATGATTGGTTCGGGAAAATAAGGTCTGCTCAGAGCTTAGATTAGCAAGAGCTGAGTGAAGCACTTCTACATGAGACATTCTGCAACGATCTCCATCTAGTCTATAAATCAAAAATTTATTACAGACTAGACATGTAGATGCTGTCCCAAGCTGTCACCGACGGCTGCTCGTAACCTAGATATGATATCTTGAGATTATTATCCCTCACAAATTCTCACTCCCCTCCGGCAGATAACCCTCGTATCAGATGAGGAGCAATTGCCCGGCTTTTCCACCTGAATAAAGCGAGTACTCTACTTTCCAGAGATATAGTAATCCTGGTAAGACTGTATTACCGCCGTAAAATGATAGTTACTGCAGATTGTAACGGTTGTTCGAGGCTGACTCGTATAAAGTTGATTCGACGAAGAGCTCAAAACTTAATGGATAGGGTACAATAGCCATAATCGGAAGTAAAAATATCCCCGCTGACTTCTCCCGGTACCCGGAATAAGAAAATTCAAAATATCGGCTACAGAGTAGACCCCTCCTTTAGGAATAAATGTATGTGCCTTCGTACATAGATTCAGCACCTCAGAGGAGACAGACATCTCAGGCTTTATTGTAAGACCAATGATTCTTGGCTCTTTTCCCGGTGTCGGTGAGAAAGTTCGATATTTCTGACCT